GGGTCCCCTTCGCGCTTTTCGCTGGTAACGTCGACGACGCGATTACACCCAAGGATGAGCGCCACGTGGACAGAGAACAACACTCTTCGGAGCGCCCACTCCGTTGTGTTTGCCAAACTTCTCCCCTGGTCGTACTTCGTGCCAACTACGCAGGGTATCGTGGCAGGCAATGGAGGAGAGAAAGGGAGGGAGCCGGCCAAGTGGCTCGACCACGAGAGGAACACGGGTGGAGCAGATGGATGGTGTGTATCCCTCTGAGTCTCCCCTCTTGTTCGCCCTCTCCCGTTGTCTTTAGTACTGGTGATCGCCAGTGTGCTCGCACCCTCAGCGCGTTGATGACACCGCCTCTGCATGTCATCATACCTGCTGTCATTGATCACTCCAACATCGACCACATCAGCTCGCCTTCATACGGTCCCGCTACGGCCTGCCACTACCTTTCTCTGCTGTTCCTACCGCCAAATCATGGTCATTTATCTCGGGTAGGGATTCTCGCGCAACTGTCGGTGGAGATAATGTCACGGTGTCAATGTTTGGGTCAGACTAGACAGGATGGAGGCCAACAGGGAGACAAAGCGCCATGAGGTTGGATGGTGAGCCAGGGCAGGCGGAGACATCGTGGGCAAGTAACCAGGAGGTCAGCGTGGAGAAACACACCGCACCACCTCCACCTCCTTCTCCTTACATCATCGTGATGTAGAGCGGTAAATGTCGCTACTATCTAATAAATGGTATATTTTTCTCTTCCAGGCTCCGTACGATATGAAGCATATCAAACAAAAAGAAAGAAAGCCGTAAACTTGCACAGGGTCTGTCATCCTCGCGGGACCGTTTCTTCTCTCAAAGCCTCGCAGCAATGTGTTCCGGAATCCTTGCTACGAATCTAGAGAATAGGACCTCTGAATTCCCGTCCTTTAATTGTGTTCAATCGGGGCTCAGGAGTCAGCGCTCAGCGCTCCTCGTTGAGCTTAGCTATACGGAGAGGGCATTGTGGTTGGACGAAGGTCGTTGGAATGGAAAGTCGTCGTTGCACTCTCGAGCCCCTCGTGGTGTGGTGGGCGAGGGCATGAATGGAAGAAAAATGGCAGATGAAATAAAAGACGAACAGAACCAGCAGAGTGTACTTCGAAATCGGAATGCCTAGATGGAGCGCTCCCAGAACGTCCTTGCTTTTTGCACACACCCTCATACTTTACTGACCGAAAAATTAAGGATGGTGAGATACGTTCATTCTACTCCCGCGGATGCAGCAGGCGAGAACTACGGATCCCCTGAATAGGGTTCTTCAGAGTGCTCAATTTGAGCTCATTTGGGCTCCATTTCAACGTCATTTGAGATTCGTTTGAAACTCGGCATGAGCTCGGCACAACTCGGGAACGCCCGAAATCATGGCCCGTTGATTTCGAGGTGGTACGGTCAAAGCTGAAGCAGAATGCCAAGCTCGTCGGACTTTAAACTGCCTTGCATACACGGCGGTTGGAGCGACGCGTTCCCCTCCCCTCCTAGACGCATTCCCGACCTTCCCTGATGTGTCATGCCTTCAGCCACCAAGGAGAAGAAGCTTCTCGAGGCTCGACTTCTCATCGCCAAGCACAACACCAAAAAGAAGCCTCCTTCCGGCAAAGAAAACAGCAATGGGAAGACGGTCAAGAAGGGACAACAAGACGAAAAAGGCGGGGCAAAAAAACCCTCGAAAGAGGGGGCCAAGGCGAGAAGAGCTGCCACAGTCAAGTACGTGCCGTAATAGTTCTTTTTTTAGCTCCTCTGGACTGATCTAATCGTGACATGCAGATGGAAACGGGGGATCTACCACCACTACACTGACAGCCTCCTCACGATCATCGAGGATAAGCCACGCTACCGTCAGGCTTTCGGGTTCTCGAAGGACCAGTCTACACCCGTTTCAACTGGTGGCCAGCCCGTGGCTGAGCTCCATGCTGAAGTGGCGCAGAGTCTCTTTTTCGAGACAGAAGAACCCCCCAAGGGCCAGTCAGAGCTCTCGTTTTGTAAAGATGACCTCTCTGCACTTGCTAAAGCAGTCGGAAATCAGATTTCTGCATGCGTGTACTTTGGATATGCCCTAATCATCATAAATATCACAGTCATACAGGTTGAAGAAGTTGTACCGTGAGCATCAGGCAACACTTGGAGCAACTGGGGAAGGCTTACTCGATGCAGGCCGTCAAGACGAAATCACAGCTGGAACTCCCTTGGCTAATCTTTGGGGTTAGCTCTTTTCTTTTCCTTTGTGAATGCATGTCTCATATTTGCCAAAGAGGAAGTCAACCAGGAGTTTCCGTGGTTCCTTCGGATGCACGACCTGCTTGGGACAAATCCCACTGTGGACCGCTCAGCAGTCGCACACAGTCAGACTTCTGTCAATACTGCTGTTCTTGATGTGGGTGCTGGCAAAAAGGTATGATAGTTTTCATGTTAGCAACCCTAGACATAATTGACACCCTTTCAACAGCGAAAACGGCCCCTGAAACCCTCCAGTGATGATGAGTCAGAGGTTGAGGTTGTAGATGATGACTCTGGCAAGTCGGATGGTGACGAGATGGACATAAACCTCAATGAGAAGGAAGAGGATGATGCCAGTGCTGCTGAGGAAATTGAGATTGACGATGATGATTCTCGTTCTGACAACTATGCTGACAAATCTAGTGTGGTTGGATCGCCACGACCGCGACACGTCAAACCCAAATCTGCACCAAAGACACCTGCACCAAAGAAAGCTAGAGCAACACCTGCACCACCATCCACTTGATGCAAAGCAATTCATGACAAGATCTACAAGATTGCTGAGGAAGATCGTCACCAACGTACTCAAGTAATCACACTCAAGGAGAAGGAGAAGACAGAGCGGGCTCGCATTCGTGGTAAGCTCAAGACTGACCTTGAGCTAAAGCGGATGCAACATCAGGCTCAGGAGGCTGATTGCCAGCGTGCACATGAGATACATATGCTCGAGATGCAGCAACAGATGCGTTTTGGCATTGCTCAGCCACCACCACCACCTCCCCAGCCATGGGATGCACCTGGTCCTCATCATGGAGGGCCTGCTGGTGGTGCTCCACCTCCACCTTTCCGCTTTCTCAATGACAACATCCACCCTGACCTTTGCTAATTTTCATGAGTCATCTTTAACTCTCGTTACTATATATAATACCAAAGCTACTTTAATCCTCTATTACTTGCTTCATTGGCCAAGATACTCTAGTATACTCTCCTTTAGCTCCACTCTCTTTAGTTTTCCCTCCAGTAATCCAATATCATTTACCTGATCCAATTGGTTCTCCTCCTCTGCATTTCTGTTTCGCCTTTCCTGACGCCAACATCTCTCAAGGTGCTGCTGCTTGCGTTGGTACTTCTTCCCCTGCCGATAAAATTTGTCAGAGGACATATCTTGGCCAGCCTCATGTTTCATTGCAAATGCATGGAGATGGATGCATGCAATAATCCAGAGAGTTGCATATTGAAGGCCTGCACTGTTGTTTATTGCAACATGGAGACCACGGAGGGATGACCATTGGCCCTTGAGATATCCAACACAGTGCTCGGAGCGCACTCGTACAGCAGAGACATGATAGTTGTGGGTTGTGTTGTCCCGTGTAAGTTTTTCTGGCCTTGTGGAAAGATACATGATCACTTCCATGTCCTGTTTATGATAGTGTTTCATGACTCACTTCTTGTATGGTGCTTGACACCATTTCTGCAAAGGGTAGGCTGAATCAGCCCACACCCACTCGCCATCTTCAAGAAGCTGAGAATGGTGCTGAAAGGTCCGAGTTTCTTCCCATGCAGAGGCATCATGCTGACTGCCAGGCAGTCCAACAGCATAGTCGATAATCTGGCAGTCAGGAGTTGAAACAAGCTGCAGATAGCATAGCTCAGTTGATATTGAGCCTTCAAAGAAATATGAGAAGCACATACCTGAACATTCATTGAGTAATTGGACTTGCGATCAAACCACACATTTCCGAAAAAAGCAGGCCGGCAGAACAAAGGAACAAGGGTGCCATCAACCATAAGCCAACCATCCCTCCATGCTGGACATGATGCCTTCTCCACCCACTGCTTTGCAGCCTCCTTTGCTTGGGGACTCGCCCACTGTACAGATGCAGCTCGGAAGCATTCTGAGCAGCAGGCCTTCATGACTCGTGTTGTCACAAGCTGGACAGTACCATACCCAACACCAAAGTGTAAGGCCACCTTCATGCATGATGCTGCATTCCCATAGTGCCCAAAACGGTAGAGTGCAATAGCAACTTGCTCTGCTACTGGCATTTGATCGTTTTGCGAGTTGTTAGAGAAAACTTCATCATCTTCGATGGCAGAGACAAGATCATCGAAACAGGCAGGGGTTATCCTGAGGTAAGATCGGAAAATTTCAGGGTGATTGATCTTGTGGTCGTCGAGAAGAAGGCGCAAGTTTTCTTGTGTTTTGGTGATAGGTCGACGCTCTTGAAGATAACGCTCTGAATAGAGATTTGCCATCTGATCCACATAGTCCCGAGCAGCTGTACCCTCTTCCTCCGAGCTTGATGATGTACTGGACTCTGAAAAAAGTGAAGACGAAGACGAGCTGTCCATGTCAATGTCTGAGCGGTCCGAGTCCAAGTCCCCAGAGAGATCGCCGTATGTGAGCTCATCCCGGAGCTTCCAGGCCTCAAGTTCTGCGAGGAAGTTGACGAGAAACGCCTGGTGGAGGGCATCAGCAGCCTCCTGTCTATCTGTACAGGTGGGCATCACTGCAAATGTGGTAGATTTGTTATCTATCCGCATCGCTATTCTGTACACAGAAGGATTGAGTTTAAAGTCCAACGAGCTTGGCATTCTGCTTCAGCTTTGACCGTACCACCTCGAAATCAACGGGCCATGATTTCGGGCGTTCCCGAGTTGTGCCGAGCTCATGCCGAGTTTCAAACGAATCTCAAATGACGTTGAAATGGAGCCCAAATGAGCTCAAATTGAGCACTCTGAAGAACCCTAATGAGCTCTCATAGACATGTTTTCAGAAGCCAAGACATACCGTCAGTCAAGCCACCACTCTCGTTCTTCGGCATCCATCCGCTCGAGATAGTCTGATATTGCCTTTCGTGCTATCTTCGTTTTGCCAGGGAAGAGGATGGACGTTGAATGGAATACGCATTCCGGCAGCGCTCAATGAGCTCGGCGGATCGGGATGCTTCAGCGAGCATGTCGGATAGGAAAGTCAGGGCGAACCGATACCCAAGAAGTTCAGGCGAGGCGTGAAGGATGATCAAGGGGGATTGGGGGGAAGTACGATACGCAAGGGTTGGAGCAGATTGGTCCCAGGGTGCGCAGTCCACGTTGTTGTGTGCATGTGTTTTCTGACAATAGTCACAGAAACGCCATTTAAACCACTTTCCAGGCATTGTTCTGAAACAAGAGCATCTAACTCTGTGTGATGTCCATGGGTGATCTTCAGAGGTTTCGTCAATTGAGCAAACATGCGGAAGACATTTGTTGGGGACACAGGGTGACACAGAAGACAAATGAATGCGAGTGCTGCATCTGCCATCCGAGCACCGTTGACGGTATGCTGAAGACACTTCCTTGAATCATGTACTGAGGCTGAAAGATAAGAAAACCATTCCTGGAATGTTGATGGATGCCAACGGAGACAGAGAGGGTCAAATTCCAGCTGTGCTCCTCCCATGGATCCAAGAATGTAAGAGAAAGCTGTAGCAGTGCTTTCGACTGCATTAGTTGTAAAGTGGCTCAGTAGTAATGGGGTGTAGGCTGGGTGAGAATAGAACTGGTCTAGGACCAATTGGACCTGTGATTCAAAGACTTGGAGTTGGGATTCATACAGTATTTGAGCATCTTCGAATGCCTGAATTCAATAGCACTGGCAGTAAGCGAGTGTGAGATAGACGCAGGACTAGCACCTACCATGATGTGGATTTGTGTAATCATCTCATAAACAAATTCGCAGAGGAACCTGCACCTATGCAGAGACGGTTTGGCCAGTAGGAGGCCAATATGACAGTCTCGAAGCACTTCATGGAGCACTTCAGATTTGCATAACCTCAGTCGACCAAAAACTAGTGGGAGATCTATAAAATTTAGCTCATTATCCACCAAATTGTTCCGTAAGACCCAAGCCACCCATCCAACAGTGCTCAGCTCTACATCCACAAAGTATTGCTTGGAGCGGCGCTTATCCGTCAGAAATTCCTCCAGAGAGGTGTGCCGCAAGTTCATTTCCCAGACATCCGGATCTTCTTCCGGCTTCTGTCCAACCTCGATGACCGATGAAAGGTCGCCAAAAATTAATCTGACATCGTCGAATTTGAGACCGAGTGAGTCATACACAATCTGACAGATCATTTGGTCAAGAGAATAAAGGCTAGTAAGCTTGAAGCTTAGGATTTTCAAAGCTGAAACTACGTCTTGGAGAGACGAAAAAACATGAATATAAAGAGCGTCGAGGTCTGCGAATGGGTTATTGGCTTGTTCTGCGCTTAATGTGAGGATGTCGCCGAGACGATTGATCGGATGATGACTACTACTGCAGGTGTAGTCGATCACGATGTGGGCATAGAGGAACTGGCCAGATGCTGTCCGTACGAGCCTATTGACATCCTCCGAACTTGGCCATATGATGGGATAGAGTGTTTGAGAAGGTGGGTCTCCTTGACTTCCTGAAACTTGTCTTCGAGGAAATAGAGGATATCTTCATTTGCATCAGCAGTGTCGCCGAGGGTGTGATGGGTAGTGATGTCTCGCAAGGGAATTGAGTCGAATTTCAGCGAAATCTCGTGTTCTGACCGACTTCCGACGAGGAAAATGAGGCAGGGCCCAGTCGCTGCTAATGAATAACTTGAGTGATGAATTATGTCGAGAATCTTGCATCGCATGGATGGGTCGATACATTCATCGAGACCATCTACGACAACGAGAGGCGGGATATTAGTTTGCTCTGCGGTTGCTCGTCTGAGGGGTTCGGTGACCAACTTCTTCATTTGCATTTCGAGGGATCGCATGTGGATTACGGGGTCGTGGTCGAACACCTGTTCAATATGGTGGCGAGCACGCGAGACGTTCAGTCCGATTTGGTACGCCAATGTCGTGATAAAGGATTTCTCATTGTTTCGTGTGGGATCCGAGCGTCCGAAGAAGAAAGTGGCAAGCAAGAGACCCTCCTCGCATATCTCCGCGATCGTTTGTCCGATGGCTGACTTTCCGACCCCCACTGAGCCATTCAGCCAGAAGACGAAGGCTTCGGTATTGATCTCCCCGCGGATCCAGGCCATGATCTTCTCAAGGATTGTTTTCCGGGTACGGGGATGGCATCTAGGCGGCTCGTAGCGCTCGCCTGAGTTGTGGAATGCACTGGGAGAGAGGACCTTCTCCCAGCCCTTGAATCCAGCTATAAAGTGAAGATTAGCGCCCACCCGCTGACCTACCTTCATGCAGCCAGACTTACCCCGTTGACTCGGAGCTGTTTCGACGTTGAAAGTGCTGTGGGAGATAGAGACGTTGCTTGACCCCTCGAAGAGCGTAACATCTGCTTGTCCTGCGGGCATTTGGAGTTGCAATTTGAAACTCCGCCGTGAGTCGTGAGCTTGGCGATCAACTCACAGCTTTTGTGTGAGCGTTGGCCAGGACGTCAGTCACCGCGGATTCCCGCCTTTTCAAGGTTTGATTCATATCTTTAGCAACCAGATTCACGCTTTTGCTCACAAGTTTTGTCAGAGACGGGGCGGAATGGCGAAGACTTCAATATTCGACATCAGCTCGACTTGCGGGGAGGCTTGACTTGCCACCGTCTCATCTCTCTTTTCACCCACTTCCATCCTCTCTCTGTACTCCGTCCGCTCTCTTCGTCACTCATGGCCACCACCCGCTCCCTCTTTTGCGGTACCCGCCGTTCGCCAATAGGAACCTTCAAGGGTATCACAAGGCCCCCTTCGTGCTCGCCGCTGAGCTCGAATGCCGCGTTCATGACCGACCTGTCCCGTTACGCACTGTCCAGCGTGCCGCGTCGTCTTTGCTGAAGCACACAATGGACATGCCCTACGATGGCCCTACGATTGCCCACCTCCACCGGGATAACACACGCGGCAGACTGTTAGAAAGTTGAGGAGACGATGCCACAAGAGCATGCGTAGTGTATGGCCGCTCTCCGGATCGTCCGATCTGTCCTATGCCGCCTCGTATCTCCTCTGTGTCGCTGTTGTTCCCGGGCCTTTCACTTTGGCACGCTCGCTTTTGTGGTAGAGGAGAGCAGATACTTGAAAAGGGAGGATCGTGAGGGATAGGTGGAGACGAGATGGCATGGGATGGCTGCGGCGGCTGTTTCCCCTTTTCTTTATCTTCTTCCGCTATCTCCTTCTCCGTCGCTCTCCCTTGTCGTCATGCCCTTTGCTCTCATCCACCCTGCAGCAACTGTTCACTACACCAACTCGATCTCACGTCTGACCCCTTGCCTTCCTCTCCTCTCCTCTGACACCACAGATGACGGCAGGTGGGATAGAGGGACGTGGCTGTTGTAGGCGGGTAGGAGTGCCAACATGGGGCGATTTGTGTTAGGATGGCCCTCCGATGGTGTTCACGGCGTCAGGGAGCATAGGTCCACAGTACAGCGTGGAGATAAGGCCTCAACGGGTCAGACGGCTCAGAAGGGGGAGCAAGGTTGAGAAGGACGTCGGTGCAGGATGAGCGACGAGGGGAACGGAACAACCCCCTATGGCCCAGTTCTTCGAGAAAGGTACGGAGCCTCGAAATTTCTTTGGGAGGAACTCGTACTGACTATGATGTAGTGAACTAAGCTCATTTGGAATTGTCGAGCTGCGTACCATCTCAGGTTGTAGCGACGGTGTAATCCTCACTCAAATTGGACGAGAATTGGACTTTTTTCTCAATCTTTCGAGAATGGCCCAATGTTGCTGTGCTTGATTACCGTGTGACGCTGCTCCAACCTCCTCTCGATTCTCCGCTCCTATCTTATCAATCTTCGCAAGAACCTGGTTTATTTCGAGAGCTCCTTCGTGTCTCTACTTCCCGTCACTTCATCGTTCTCACATGAACATATATACGGTCATTGGGGGGAGAGCTCTCCAACTCTCGGTTGCTCTCCAACTCGACCCGCAGAAATGCCAGCTACCAAAGGGTCCTTTTCGCCGCAATGATGCACCTGTGTCTGCGGACCCAACTTGTCTTCTCTCAGGGATGTACTCTATGTGACGGAATGACAGAGATTATGATGTCTCAGAGAGGCGCCCTCTGTTCGAGGTATTCAAACAGACAGTATGCCTGAGGCTACTCCCAGAAGTCGACATTGCCATGTCCCCGCCGGTTTATCAATGTATGTAATCCCGTTACTTTGGCATTTAATCCTACGGAAGCCCCGCTGCTCAACAATCGACCTTTGCTTGGGCGAGGCTGATCGAGTTTCACGGGCGCTTAAATCATGCGGCTGTACCGTACCGCTTTGAGCATTACAACATCATTTTACAACCATCCTTTTGTACACAGCACTGATTTTTACTAAAAAATTACAATGAAACAAGCATTCCCCGCCAATTTAATTTGCAAGATTCTCGCTCAGTTTCCGTCATTTCGGCACTGAAAACTATTGTGAGATTGTTACCGACGGCTGAAAAAGAAAGGACCTACGCAGACGGAGATGACGTCGCTGCCACAATTGCCAGATCTGCTATCCCTGCGGCAGGCGTAGCTAGACAAACCAAAAGAGTTAGTTCAGAGAATGCTCCATAGCAAACCAAAACTTACATGAGCCCGCTGAAGGTGTTCGTGTAGCGGTTGAAGATGATCGGAGCAGGCGAGCAACCAAAGATTCCCTGGGTGCACGGGTTGCCCGTGGTCGTGAGGCCGTCGACGACGTTGCAGTTGGAGTCGTAGACGTTCCCTGAATTGCAAGTTAGCATACAGCTGTGGAGCAATAGAATAAATGAGGCGCCCTACATCGGTTCAATTCGGCATCGCCAATCGTGCCCTGGCGGATGACATTGCCAATGCCATAGTTGAATCCGGGGCAGATACTCAGGACCTCGACAGCGGCGAGGATGGGGACAGCGAGGAGGACGGAAACGCGCATTCTGTTTAGAGGAGATTGTCCGGTTGGATATTTCGCTGTTGGTGTGAATGAGCGAGATGCTTTTCTCCCTCTGCCGCCCCATCCTTTTATACCTGACTGGACGTCGATTTTCACCGTGCTACGGCAAAGGACGAATGTTCGTTTCTCCTTCCTGAGTGATTCGCCCAGCCGTCTGTTACCGAGTCGGCACCAACACCAGTCACGTTGCTGGTGCTTCGGTCATAAATGCATAAGGGACGATCCTTACCAGAGCGCCGATGAACAAGGAAGAATTACAAGGGCACTGAAAGATGGTGGAGGTTCACACATCCGGCATAGGCTGCAGTAAAAATAGGTTCCAGGGGTGCATATTGGAATCTTAAGCGGTAATAGTGGCCTATTTCGGGCTTGTAGTACTCTATACATGGGTCAGGAAGATTTCCCCGGGCCCCTCCCCTGTACTACCTACGCCTATGTCGATGGTGATGGCAAGAGGTATGGAGTTGTACGAGAAAGTTCTCGCTCCCTCGACTCGGCTCCTTTCAGTCGCATGGTTCATGCAACCTTGAACGGGTGCCTCGGGCAGAGGCTTCCCCTTCCATCTAGAGCAGCCTTATTACTTGTCTTCCACAAAAAGGTGGCCAGCGTGGACATGGACCGCCGCTCGATGCGAACACCCTTGGGGATAGAAACGTCGAGTACTCTTCACAGTGCTACGGGCGTATCGGCCCTCTCCTCGCGTTTCTCGGGTGTCGACATTGCTTCTTGGTGGACCATATCAGTTCACGAGATGTTTATCACCAGGGCGTGTGGGGTTTCATTTCGATTCCGCTCGTGAAACGAAATCAAATTCGTATTCGGATATACAGCTCTAGAAGGCTGGGAGCCCATAAAACCCGCTCATTGTCAAGCTGGTGAGCGCTGAAGCGCAGGTGGCGTGAATTAGCTGCGGGCTTGTCAACCCATAGAGTCTTACTTAACTCAGTCCGAGACCTCTTCATCACGCGCCACTTGACGCTCTGAGGAGCTCCTCCAAAGACTTGCCGTTTTGTGAAATTACCCTGATGTCCGAAGCACGTTCCTCGGTCTCGATCATGGCTCGATCAACGCGGTCAAATGCCATTTCGGGATAAATATACCCTATTTGGGAAGACGACAACCATCCCCACACGCGAGCGCGCTAGAGCGCTCGAATACTTCGAGTCAGTGTCGCAGATTCAAGTCGGGATTGCTACTTTTTCCGCTTTAAATGTAGTTCCAAGCCGTTCCATAGAGTAATACATCACACCCTAAGTCCACTCCGACGTAAGTGGCATAATCACATCTTGAAAAAGATCAGCTAGTACACACATACAGCTTCTCCATGCCTGTCAGAAATCACAACATCAAAGACCTAAGAGGAGGTACAGGATATGTGGGTGCACAGCCCAACCCCGAGCATGGAACATGTTGGTAAAAGTTCCGGCCAACGACGAAGAAGCTCTGTCCATGGATCGCTCCTGCTCGGGGCGTCATAATCTGCGCGATTTAATCTCTTTCAGAAGGCAATTGACCGGGGTAAAACTCTGGCTTAAAAACCCACCGTAGAGTGCGGAAATTAGGGAAAGACGTAGGGTGCTCCCTTAGACCGACTGGACGTAATAGGGACCCTGGAGCAGGCAGAATATTTTGCATTCTCAGACAAAAGTAAAATTAACGGGCATGTGTTTCAGTTCTGGAACATAAGCATTTATTGGTGCTCGCGTCGTGGAAGACAAATGGTCGATAGAGGTTATTTGCAGTTCTGAGGGCTCCACAAATCCGCGAATCTGATTGGCTTGGGGCCTCCTTCAACCAATGAGATTTGGGCGATTCTAGGAATATTCGAAGTGCAAATAACCTCTAATGACACACCCGTCACTTTGGGGTTAAACCGACGCCTCCGGAGAGGTCTAGGTGACGAAATCAACGATGTTTGAGGTTTGAGATGGTAATAGCGGATCTTCCTCGGAGACTTCGAAAGGCGTGCAGGGTGAGTTCTTTCGAGGATGTGCATCCTGGAAGCGAGAACTCGAATTCAGCGTAGGCGAGAAGATGTTTTCTAAGTTTTCGCCTAGAAAAGATGTCAGGCCATGGGTGAAAGTTCCAAATTAAAGGTGGGCGTGTGTTATTTGTTGCTTCGCTAAGTCCAGGATAAGTGCCCACATTTGCGGACCTCAGTAAATGAGGATACTGGAGCTCCTAGTGCCCATCGCCCATCGCGAAGATCTCGTACACCAGTGTTGTATACCGTCCTCTAGTCGTTCTTGAAGTTCAGCTTGAAGTCAAGAGAATAAAATCAAGAGCAGTTTCTAAACTTGTGGTAGGCGGATTCTTTCAGCTAGACCAAGTTGAAAGCGGTCTCGATGAATTAAAGAGTGGCTTGATGTCAATTGTCGCCGTGAATTGTTGTTCAGATTGTTGAGAGTAGCACGCGCTAGCCAATTGACAGCGGTAGGCAAAGGAAGGCGGGCTTGATCGGGGGCACGGGCAGTATTGAGATTTTTGGAGGGATGAAGAGGTACTGTGAGCCATTAAAAAGTCTTGACAGTTCCAACTGGAGACGCAATATTGCCGAAGATTGAAAACACGTCGAATTTTCAGAGCTTGGATGGTGAAGCTGAAGCCTGACCATTGCCGACATGCCGAAGAGACGGCGCTTGCCAGATGTGTACCATGGTCCATGTGGCTTGGATCTGGGGGTAGGCCGAGATGCCGTTTCTCCCTCCTTCACTTTCGACTCGACGCTGACGAATGTATCACTCAACGCCGGCAGTATCGGAGTGCCGAGCCAAGTACGGGATGAACTCGAGGTGCTGAGACGTTTCAACGTCCAAGGAAGCCTCCTCGTCGACTTTTTCTCCAAACACCAAGCGAAGATTGCTCACAGCCTTCCCATGTTACCGAGCCATACGTAAGGATGAAGTTACCCAGATCTCTGCTTTACTTAGACTCGTTCTATGTCCCCTTCTCTGACCGACGTCTGTGCTGCGGTATGTCTTCCCTAGCCTTATTGCTGAGAAGTAGATCCGTTGACCGCTCATGAATGAAGCTTTCAAACTCGAGAGAAGCGCTCATTGCAGCGACTGAAGCGCAAGATGGTGAACATGCTCCGACAATCGCTATTGGATCTTCCCGTCGAGTTGTTGCTTCGCATTCTATCAATCGACAACGTCCTTTCCGCCCGGGATTTCTACGCTTTGGCCATTGTCTGCCGTCGGCTGCATGAGCTGGCGTTGCCCCTCTTCCTTACCGCTCATGATATAACGGATCCCACGCAAGAAGCGGTGATCCTCGTGTCAAAATGGGCTCCAGTTCATCGACTCACAAGAGAGCCGGACGGGCTCGCAGGTCTGTCAATCGCAACCCACGTCACCTCCATCAAGAGACTCCGCCTCTTCTTTCAAGATACCAATTACACAAGGGAAAGAAATTACTTTCAGCAAGCCGCCCATCTCACCCATGCGGTTCGACGAGCTATGAACTTCGTCTCCGGGCTCACATCTATTGACGAGGCGGGTATTTCACTCATACGGGACCCGTATCACGTTGTTCAGTCGCACAGTGCCCCAGGAGTCGCCCATTCCGAACTGTCCGAGATACAAGAGTGGTCGTCGGCACTAGAAGGCCTACTGAACGCGATTCTTGAGCGAGGATGTCAGCACTTGACTGTGCAGTACGAAGCGGCCATCGAAACGGGGCTTCAGTTCAGGGAGAAGGGGATCATCAAGAAAGCACTAACGCATTTATCGCGTGGTGTACCCCATCAAAAGAGGAACGAGGCCAATTTTACAGCATTCGAATGGCAATTTTCTAAATCTTACAACGAGTCACCGAACAAGATCCCTCCAGGCGAAGACGTCGTCGAGCCAGCCGTCCTTTCCTGCCTGCCTCAAGAGCGCCCAATTCTCTGTTCCTTAACGATCCACACCCCAGTTTTGCTCCTACCGCCGTTCACAAACTGGACCCTCACTCTCCTTCATACCCAAACCAACCTCACAAGCCTGTCTTTTGCCCACATCAAGTTTGCGCCAATGACATGGCATCTTTTGCTCCCCTTCGTGGCAGATGCAGTGTCCAGCCGACTCACCGAGCTTTCGGTGCTCGAGCAATGCCCGTATCTCGGGGCACTTGACCTCCTTCGGTTTGTAGCCCGCCTGCACCAACTCGAGAAGCTCGTCATTGGCCGCTCCTTCCGCGTGAGGTTCCAGGAAGTCCGGTTCCCATGGGTGGGCGGGCTTCTCCCATCCAACACCTTGATTCCTTCGTTCGTGAACCTTCACTCTCTCCAAGCGCCCGTCGAGTTCATTTCGCTCGTTCTCGATGCCCGGCCTACCAGTTCCAAGACTGCGTATGATGACGTCATGGTCGCCTTTCCCAAGCTCAGATCGCTCACCGTGTACCCGTGCAATCTCCTCATCCACCCACCGAGTTACTTCGAATCAATGCTTACCGTCAACGCTCTACATCGCAGGGTGCTTTCGCTCCTCTCCGCGAGCCAGACCGATGCACAGCCGCAGGGCAAACATGTTATCGAGTTTTCATTCAATGTAGAGGCAGATTTCATGGACTTCGAGTCTGTGTGCGATTATTTTGAAGCCCTCAGCACGCAGGCATCATTCCAGCGGACCCTGGTGGATAGTCTGAATCTTAATGAGGCAGAGATCGGGTCTCTTTCATCAACGTATCCGCTTCACGGACATCCTTCAAGTCCCTGTTCAAACAACATGCAGACGCATGTGCGTGCAAGGAACACATCCTCTTCGCCCCCGAGTGACCCGCCGACCAGGAAGCCCATGAATCTACCGAAGCCCTTCGTCGAGTTCTCGTTCGTCGCCCATCTTGTGTTGCCTAGTTTCAACCTCGTCCCCCAGGACCATAGGAGGCAAGGTTTGGCCAAGTCGTCAGAGCAGTCGTCGCGCCCGCCCACAAGCGCTTCTCTCTGTCAATATCTCAACCTTCTCTTCCCTGCCTTGAGGAGGCTGGAGTTCACAGATGGATGCCAGAATTTTCTGGACGTGTCCTCGGTGAGGAGAGACCCTGATGAGAGGGAGAGGATGGTGCGCGAGCTTGTGCACGAGCTGCAGGAGAGGTGTCCAGTAGTTAAGGAGCTGGTGGTTGGATTGTCGAGATATGAAGTGTAAGACCGATGCTACATCTGCTTTTCAATGACAATCAATTTGAAATGTATTTGTTGAGTAGTTAGTATATAGCGTATTAATTTCGAGATAATGATAATTTGAATTATCCCTGTTATCGCAATCGCCCGTTCCCCCTCGTTAAATATCCGTATTTCCAGCTAACCTGTGCTGACGATTATGAAGCTTCTGAGAGTCCTTGATAAAACCAATATTGCCATCTTCATCGACAATAGAGGCACTGACACCAACGCTCACGGCCTCTAGGATCCGTCCGAGAACCTCCTCGTCGATGAGATCTGGCAAGTCTTCGTCATCAAAAGGTGGTTTTCGGCCTCTTCAGGGGCCTTGAGCAATATTTCTCGGGTTGTGGTGTTGGAGGGAAGAGCTTGGGAATAGAGCCCCACTTGAACTCGCATGGTCCTAATATGAAGAGGCGTTGAAGGAGCGGAAGGTAGCTGGGACTGCTACTTCCATCTGCCGTCGAGGAAATGTCGCCTGGGAAGTCGAAGAATTCATTCCCGAGCCAGGCATCGAGCAGAGACAGCGACTCAAGGGGTGGTATGCTTGCAAAAGTGGGATGACTGTTGGCAAGAATCTATGTAGATCATCAATAACTAAGTCGGTGAGGCGACAGCCTGAACGCATAAGGAAGGGATGCAGAGGGCCGAGCGCGCTACCACGAAGTGTCAATTCCTTCATGGCAGGGAGTGATAAGCAATCGAGGAGCCTGCCCGAGGTGATGGAGGCCGATGCTCGATCTTGAATGACTGTAGATGCTGATGAACGACGAGCGAAGCAAGGGTTGCCAAACTTCCGTGGCCTAGCACGACCTCACATATGTTGCAGTTGCGTAATCGATGAGTGGCGAGAATAAATATACACGACACGACGACGCATCGCGACGAGCCCCCAGGCTCTGACGCCAAAGACAAACTCATACCGAAGAGCGGGTTCCTAGATAATGACATTTGCCGTTATCACCTCCAACCCGTCGATTTCCATCAAGTACAACTCCACGATCTTCCTGGCCAAGCATCCCGTCACGTCCCATTGAACAACGCCTCCGAGCCTCGCCCTAGCAGCCAGAATTTCAAGTAGCTTCTTATGGTAGCACACGGGGCGAAAGTCGACATCGCGGAACCTCAGCATAGATAACGAGGGCAAGTACATGAGCTCCTCTAGCTGTCCGTACCGGAGGTAGGTATAGTGAGCGGCGTGCAGAGGATGCCTTGCAGGTTGTCAAATGCCGGGTTGCCATTGATACAAATGCTTGTGATGTTGCACTGGCCAAGGCGTGGCATGGCGTCGAAGAATGGGCCGGACTCATTGAGCTGAACAGGTGGATTCGCCTGTATATTGAACGAGAGCCAGCAGGATGCGACTTGCGGTATGATGATGCTGAGCTGCTCTCGAAACTCTGGCCCATTTTTCCTACGTCCCGAAAGGCATGCACAAAGAGTGTTGGTCTTGAGCTTGATATGTGATATTGACCGAGTATTCCTTCAGCAGCATCGACCATGGAATGTGCGTCGTGTCTGTTGGGAAGCGGCCTATAATAGAGATAAGGAAGTTGATGAATAGCTGGGTTTGGGCTGAGATAGAAGTCGACAATAAAGAGAGAATGTCGACGGAGCTCTGTTGGGGCGCGGAAAGATGGCCGATAAATCTAGCATATCCAAGAAGATGCCCGCTGATGTGAAGGCAACGCAGGTTTGGTAGTTTTATCGCGGAGAGCTTCTCGACCTTCGCGACGTCGTGGGTGCACTCCTTCAACTCGAGCCTCTCCAGATACTGCATGGACGTTATCCCCTCCAGCAAAAGTTTCAGAGCCTTGGATTCCCGGACCCAAAATTTTAACAGAATCAACGTCATAATCTTCGAGAAAACGGATAAGTTCTGAACCAGGTGGATAATTTCGTGCGCGATGACGAGCTCCCTCAACAGCGGGGCTTGATTGGAAAAGGGCTTCTTGCCAACGAGAAAAGGGACCAAGCAGGTTTCAGGCCGGTAGAAAATGGATGATTCCGGCAGCGGCATCGGGGACACCAATATGGCTTCAACAATCGGAAAGGGGTACCGAATCTCCACGGGAAGGCGATCTGGGCGCTCGAAATCGATGTGTAACCTCTTTAGCCAGGGCGCGAATTGTAGAATATGCCTGTACTCCTTGGCTTTTGTGTTGTATATTTTCACGGTCAACGGCGCGTTCTTCGACCTCGGTCCGAACGCGTCAAAAACGGCCTGGCGGCCCACTACCGAAGTCGACCAGTATGTCCATCAAAAGGGGTCCTGAATAGCGATCTGCCGCCACCGATGGCAGACATGCGAAGCGTGGATGAGGTGCTTGTTGGTCCGTTTTGGGTGGGTCTTGTCGCCGGAATTGTATAACACGTCCCATACGATTGTTGACGCGAAGATGGACGAGAGGATCTCGTTCGGGAGCCAGCCTATTGGAACAATCGAGTCGCGCTGACGTTTGAGTTCTGCGACTTTCTCGAGGAGCGCTATGCATTGGGTGTCACCAAGTTCGGATACGTCTTCACTCCATCTTGGGTTCGGCTCTGGCATATGAAGACAGGAGCAGGAGGACGCGTCGAATGTTGTGGTGAGTGCCAAAAAAATATCCGTATTCGGTTTATTGTGATGTTCGGCGAGTGTCGAAATGTTCACACCCCTAAACGCGATCTGCCGCGGTCCACGTTCACATTTCGATCGCGCAGAAAGTAAAAAGGTAGGTTGGATAGAATTTTGAAGTTCGCTATGGTACTCCAAGCCGTTTTACGGTGGTTACGGTGGTCGTCACTGTTGTCGTAGTTGTGGTAATAGACAATTCACCGTTGCCCCCGAACTTGAGTCCTTCTGCGTCGATCACTGTGTCCGCATTCGTAATTAATGCGGGAGCAGCGTCCATTCGTCTCGGAGACGAAGTAGTAAACTCGAGACTTTCGGCAGTCATTTGCGGAATATCTATCTTCACTGGGACAAGTCGCCAGAGGCGAGTGGGCTTAAAGGGATATCTATTCGAGAGCTGAATCTAGGATAAAGGTATAGTGTCAATCATGTCTGTGGAAAGATGAGGAAGAACATACGGTATGTCCAGTTCCTCCTGGATAGTCAAACACGAACGGACTTTCTGGCCAACGAATTCTGCAAGAATTAATGACAGTTTAGAGTCAAGAAGAATGTCAGGCATGATTGAAGGGCAAACCTGTAGACGCCTGCCTCGAAATCATCTGCCTCGACGGCCCAACTCACAGGATACGGAATCGCTATCATATTTCCGCCCTCGCTTATCCCGGAGCCCAAGGTCATATACATCCCGTTGTAGAGGCAGCTGATCGAGTATCCAGGCCCGAGACGCGAGAATTCCCACTGCAATTCTGTAAGCCAAGGGATCATTACCCGAGAAAGATAATTGTTTAGAACCTGTTGGTTTTTTCCTCCGTGAGATCCAAAAGCTAAGGGCATTGTCAGAGCTTGCCAGGTCACTGAAGAATTGGTTACAACGTACCGATGATAGTCTTGAGATCCTGTCCGGAAAGATCGACCACGAAATCGGGATTGCTATCGTTCACAATACGATAGACACCTGGTTTCAATGTCTTGTCAATTACATCAGATTCGAATAGCCGTTGCTGCTCTGTGCGAGAACTTGAGGCTACCGTAGTTAACGTAGCAGGAGAGGATGGACGTGGGATTGCCTCCGCGGTCATGTAGGATGGTTCGGGAGAGAAGGATCGCGATGTGGTCATCGTAGTCAAAAGACAAGGTTGAATACCCATTTAGTGAGAAGACCCTGGAGAAACGGAAGGTACTTATCGATTTCTTCGCCAACGTTGTGGCCGCGTGTCAATCCATCTGCCTGGAGGATATTTATGGAATCTATTTCGACTCGGATAGAGGCGTCTGAGGATTTTTGGTCATTTCCAAAGTATGTCGATTATTGATGTGGAATGGTACAATTTCGAGCTTGAATTCTCCGTGCGATATGGTTCGGCTTCAAGTATGCACGGAAGTAGTCAAAGATGGGGGCCGAGGCTGATGGCATCATCAGCACTCACGCAAGGTTGTTTTCAAGTTTTCCAGCTTCATTTACACCGTTCAAGAACCTAGCTATCTTAGTACGCCTCCTTGTAAAACTACCTTTCTGATTCTCTCGCCAGTATGAACACCAGGCAGGATCATCATGCCTACCGTCCAGACTTTCAGATCTCCAATATTAATGCCGAGACTGAACGAAGCAAGAACGAGGCGCAGTCAATGAGAAAAACGGGCTAGCATACTTGTCGAGCTGTAGCGCTATCACGCACACCCACAATCTGCCAGCCTCAAACCCGCCAGAAATCCTTAAGTACTTTGCTCACAATCGGCAGGTGGACTATCATCCACCCCTGGTGAGGATTCCTCGTTTATGACCCTGCAGGGTCGCTGTTTGACCTGCTGTTTTTCTAGGACGCTTCCTACACAAGTCGTACAACTTCCGTCTACCCAGACGTCGCCCGACTTCCTCCCAGAATTATGTCGCGAACGCGATGGCACGAAGGCTGGCAAGAAGAAATCCGGTTGATGGACGAAGAACGCGAGGCGCTGGCCACTCGACCCACCCAACTCACCCACAAGCGCAACGCGACACTTCCTATTTCCTCTATCAGCATCCCAGAGCTTCTCTCCCAGGTCTTCTTCCACATTCTGCACGCCGAATGGGATGAGTATGAGACCCTGCGCTCCGTCCGGTGGGTGTCGCAGGTGTGCCAGCGATGGAGGCATGTTGCGCTCGACAACGCGTCGTTGTGGACGCACTGGGACTTGACGGAGTGCATGCGCCACCGACGATGGCATGCCGTGTTGGTACATCGCGCTGGGTCGCGTCCGCTCACCATTCGTGCGGAATTTCATGTTACTACCCTGGGCTGCTACTACTTGGACGTTAAGGCCGTGATGGACGACTGGGCGCCGCGAATCGCGTCCTTCGAAATGGTAGTCTCAGAGTCCGAAGATTCCTATTATCATTCTACGAAACACTTACCAGACGTACTCAAGGACACGCCTATGCCAGCACTCGAAACGCTCATCATCACCCACGAAGACCCGGCAGGCAACCTCGAGCTCAAAGGCAACACTCGCTTCGCCTGGCTCAATAAAATAGCACCTAAGCTGCGCCAGTTCACACTACACGGCGTATCGATGTTCCGCCCCCTCCAAGACACCATGTTCTTGGCCCTCACTTCCCTCGACATCGCCATCAATTGGGAGCGCTACGTCGTATTTCGTGAAAATCACTTGCTTAGATTTGCCCTTTCACGAATGCCCGCCCTAGAAGCCCTCAAACTCCGTATCCTACTCACCGGTTCTCGTCATGATTCTGAGCCAAGCACCTGGCACAGAACGCATGCAAACACCATTGGGCTCCCCAAGCTCCGGCACCTCCATCTCGTGGGGGATTGGCATTACACTGTCGTCCATTTCCTTACCTGGTTGGTGATACCATCGGAATGCTCAATGTTCGTGGGCTCTCTGTACGTACAACCCGACGATTGCCTCGACGAGCTCGCACCGCTCCTTGCCCAGCACATCCCAGAGACCAATGACGGCGTACGAGGTATTGAGCCGTGGCGGTTCGTGTTCATGCCACATGTCTGCTACACGAGCTATAACGCGGTGCAAGGGCGAAACGGAATGAGAATGTACCACCCGGCCCTCGGGAGGATGTTCTGCTTTTCGGTCGAGACGGAGTACCCGAAGGAGGCTGGCCAGGCGAGATGTGCATTGTCGCCAGCTCAGTGCCTTTCCCTCGTTTCTTCGTGGAAGAAAAGGAATGCGGCGCCTTCGCTATGTCTCCGTTTCGACAAGGCCTTCCACAGCGACTGCCTCACCCCCGAGTCCGAATTCGTTGGGACGCTACTTGGGAACTCCCAAGCGAAGAGATTGTCCCTCACAAACGACACAACGGTACAAGCTGTCGCTGCTCATCTGCGCAAACAGGGACCAGACGGTGCGCCTCTGCACCTTCCTTTCCTCGCATACATCTACCTATACCACGTCGATTTCTCAAATCGAGACACCGCACATTCGCTCCGCCCCCTCTTCGAGTCTCGCAGCAAGATGGGAGCTCCGATCTTGCGGCTCGCGTTGTTCAACTGCGGCCTTTGGGACAATGTCGAGTGGCTTGCCACGCCTTTGCTAGTTGAGTATCTCAGACGCTGCACATCATTCTTGCCAGATTCTGAAGAAGAGTCGGATGATAGAGAAGAGGGCATCGACGATGTTTTGCAGCAAGATGAATGAAAGCATTGTCAGGTCCCTGTCGAACAAGAGGAACGCAAAGTGAGTCTTTAAACCCGTTTTTCGAGTGAAGTTTAGCTGAAATGGATTGAGTGGAAGATTGAAACTTCGAACTGCTTGATGTTGCGCTTCTCGTGGTGTTAGAGGTTCCAGAAGCCGTGCTCTGATTTTTATAACATAAAACCCGAATAAAGTTCCATGACGCAAAGGATAGTGATTTATTGAATGCACCAAACTATGTCCTGTGAGGGAGCCTTCCAAAGTTAGATCGAGCCGAGCGCTATTCATAGGTTGGATCAAGATGGATGATGTCAGTCAAGGTCACGGCGAAGATCAAACCGACAGCTTTTAGGCTCTTGGTGTAACCTGAGCTTCAACTTGAACTCCCACCGTACTGATCCCCAACGTATCGACCCACATACCACACCCCCCGCAATGGTAAGTTGCGCGACGTCGACGTCGTTATATGCCACCTAACCATCGCCAAAGGACTCTTTCATGAATCTTGCGAAGCAAGGCCTTGCCGCCTACCAGGAGTCGCAGTCGCAATGTGCGTTCTATCCCACTGACCCAAATGTTGCTCACGATTTTTTTTTCAGCGGACGTTTCGAAAACAGGCGGACAAGAATACAATTCTCCGCATAACTCCGCCTCTGGTGGCTACGGGAGTCCGAACAGTGGGTATCAAGAAAGATCCGACTCGGTGGCCTCGTCGAGCTGATGTCTCCGTCTCTTTCCAAGTCGACCACGACGAGGCCGTCCGTACTGCCCAGGAGAAGGGATCGGGGGGGTCTGATCTCTTCACTTCTGCGCTGGGTTTCCTCTCCAGCAACAAGGTAGACCGCCTTGGGCGCTGCTGCGGATCTGTCGTATGCTGATCGATCTTCGATAGCAACAACAAAACGAACCCGTTGACGAGGACAGCGTCACCCGTGCCCACGACAAGGCCTACAACAGCGGTGACACAAGCAACATGAGTGCTCATTCCCTCGGTAGTGCCGCAGCGCTTCAGGTGATTGTTACTTGACATTTTCTTCAATTACCTTGTTGTGTTAATTATTCCTTGTCCTCGTTTTCTAGGTCCTTAAGCAGTTCACCTCCGGATCCGGAAGCTCCAGTGGTGGTAAGAGTGGCTCCCAGACGCAGTTGATCAGTCTCGCGATGGCGGAGGCTACGAAGCTGTTCGACAAGTCCGGCGGCACCGCTTCCGGTAACAAGCAGGATGCCGTCAATGGTGCTGCGATGACGGTAATGAAGCTTTTGGTCCAGTCGAAGCTCAGTGGTGGTGGCAGCACCATTGGCGGTGGAGACTCGGGTGGTCTGTCAGGGCTCATGAAGCTTTTTGCGAAATGAATGAACAGGTTGTGTGTACGAGTAAAATCGTCTATAAATGTGTTTAATCCGTTTCTATCTTCTCTCTCCGAGGTTGTCTTTCGCGACCTTGAAGTCAACGGCGTTCCCCTAGGGGCAGAGATAAGATAAGATCCTCAATTCAATGCACAACCAGACACAGCCACATTGATAGTTACCCTCTGACTATCATCTCAGATCTGTCTCTGCTCTAAATATTCAACGTTGGGTATTGATACTTACCACCGTGCGCCTCATCCCAGCAATTCTGGCACCACAAACGGATGTGCGTTTTTTCGAAGGGGCCCACAATGTTTTCATCGCCAACAGCGCCTTCCACGTCGAGACAAGTCAACCAAGTGGGTGTTGAGATCTTTGAGATCTGAAGGAGACAAACGCTCATTTGTCGGTCAAAGCCAGATTTAGTGGTTGGAAGGATGTTATCTCACCTAGCGCCTTCCACAACTCAGGCGAACGCTACGAGCCTCCGAGATGTCACCCTGGCACGCGCGAAGCGCTTCTAGGAAGGATCATGTCCTGGGTGCGTGGTGATATCGACACCGAGGCCTTGATCTTCTGGCTGAACGGCTACGTGGGTGTTGGGAAGTCGGCAATCGCACAAACAATTGCGGAGATATGTGAGCGGGAGGGCCTGCTGCTCGCCAGCTTCTTCTTCGGCCGCTCGGATCCCGCACGCAACGATGCCAAGTTCCTCGTCACTACACTAGCGTACCAGATTGGTTTGGCCGTCTCGCCAGCTCGCCACCGCATTGAACAAGCCTTGAATATGATCCCGTTATCCACACCCGTTCTTTGGAAGCACAGATCGTGAAGCTCGTCATTGAACCCCTCGAATCGATAGCAGTAGGCCAGATCACCATCCCACCTCTCATCGTTGTGGATGGTCTCGACGAATGCAACCCCCCATCCATGCAATGCAAAGTCCTCGACCTCGTCCATCAAGCTGCTTGTTCATTGGCTGTCACTGGACACCGGGTTATTTTTCTTGTTGCCAACCGGCCAGAACCAGAAATTTCACAGAAATTTAGCACTGACCTCATGGGGGATATCACTACCTATTACACGCTCGGCAACTCTGAGGATTCAAAGAACGACGTTCGCCTTTTTCTCCAGGGCGGGTTTCAAGAGATTAGAAAAATTCACCCTCTCAGAAACTCCATACCACCGTCATGGCCGCGGTTGGGCGACATCGATAAGCTTGTAAGGAAAGCATCCGGGCAATTCCTCTACGCCCACATCGTGATCGACTACGTCCGCAGTATCCGCCATCGCCCAAATCACCGTCTTGCCAAAATACTCGCCTTGTCCCCTGAGCAGGGCAATAACCCGTTTGAAGATTTGGATGCGCTGTACACCCATGTCTTCTCGTCTATCGACAGCGTGGACTCTGTCTTAAGAGTTCTTGGCTTGAGCCTTAGCAGGTTCACCAGCAAAAACTTTACATTCGGTGATATCGTGCGTGATAGGCTCGGGCTCAACTTGGAGGACGTCCAGCTACTCTTTGGTGGCCTCACATCTGTCATCGAGATCGCGCATATTCGGGAAGGGAAGCCAGATGCATGGGAGCTGACAGTACGACACGCCTCTCTAGCGGAGTTCCTCACGAATCAGCGTCGGCCGAAGCAGTATTTTCTTGATGTCAACCTAAGCCGTGCGGAATGGGTGTCCTGGTTATTACGGAACGATCTTGAAGACGGCTCTACTCTCTTCAAACTTGCCGACGCCCTCTCCGAACTGAGGTCTTGCAAATCACAAGAACTCCACGACACATTACGAGATTGTCATCTCGGTCTGCTACTGTCCAAAGCATCTCTGCCATCGTCAAAGACAGCTTCGGTTAAATACATCTATGATATCATTACAATGATCAAAGAAATGGTAAGTGCTTTTCCGTCTTATTGAACCATGCCAGAAGATCGCTCATGACTCTTGAACTCAGTCATTCGAAGACGCTGAGGCTTTGTATAAATTCCAATTGAAAGTGTTCGAAACCCAGATCCCATTGATCTTGGGACAATTTTATTGCCAACCTGCCTGTCTCCCACTGTTACTGAACAATTTTACAACCGTAGAACCTGAGAGCCCTGCTCGTGCACTGTCCTACATGGTAGGGGTGGAAGAGAAACGAATAGAGATCGATCCTCTTGGCCTGTGGTGGCGCCCGGCATGGAACTCCCAGCTCCATGTATTCCTCTCTACTTTCATACGTGATCCCAGCAGATCGCTGCAATACGCAGTCAACGGCTCGAAGCTGGCAGAAGCTGGGATTGCCTTGATTCATTTCCTGTGCCACCCAACAACCCCGACAGACATCCTCCGGGTGATTCGCCAGTACACCAGATCTCTGAAATATCGACCATGGACATCACGGGGAATGCGACGCTCTCGATTCAGGACGGCGCCTGGCAAGTGGTTCATACACCGTTGCTGCGACCTGTGTGGAGAAGCACATACACCAGTATCAAGTTGCCCACATCGAGACGAGAATGAGTCCAATATAGCAACTCTCGCCTACCGTGCATCTCCTCGTTCCCCTTTGATAGTTCTCCATCGCAAGCCCAAACTGCTTGGTTACCGATTCGCTCTGGCTTTCCTCCCGGACATGCTTGCGGAAGCATCCCGATCCAGCGAGCTCATCCAGTACTGCAAGAAACACGCATTCCATCCAACATCCATCCTCTTCCCTCGCAAATCGAAGCCTGCACGAAGGGCAATATCCAACTATCTCAACCGGATGGACGCCGAAGAACGGGGATGGTGGCTCGACTGAGCACATAACATATTGGTTGGACAGCAGGCCGCGGGTTGCCTCGACGTTTAAGGTGACTCGTTAAAACCAAGCCTGAGGAGGGTCGGCAAATGCAGGCCCTGTCTCGAGGCATCTCTGTTCATTATCCATTTCGTCCTTATTCATCTACTCGAAATCGTAGAAATCATCATACGACCTAGCATGTTCAGGTAGTACTTCATAAATATGACATAAACCCAGCACTTACCTAGCGGCATTGCGTGCCTCTGCGAGAGCAGCGAGCCTTGCCTTCCTCCTTTCGCCAATCTTCCTCAAGAGCTTGTTCACCGAATTAACTGAATACCGAACTCGAGGCTTCTGCTCGAAGATTGAAGTCGGTAAGCAAACATCTGGCTTATAAGGGTAATCAAGAACATACCTGTAGGGGGGCAGGGGCAGGGGCAGGTGGGGCAGGTGCCGCCGTGGGCGCTGAGGTCGGAGCACCATCAGCTGGCGCAGATGAGGAAGCAGCGTCATCGCCGGTCGGAGATGCTGGAGGCGAAGCTGGCTCTTTGGGCCCGCCGGCTGGTGCAGAGTTGGCGTCCGCAGCGGGTGCTGGAGTCGTGGCATCCGTGGCGAGACCATCGGTAGGTGGTTTGGTCGCAGTATCTTCAGCCGGTGCATTTGATGGTGTCGCAGCTGGTGCATCTCCGTCGGCGGGGGCCTCGGTGGGCGTCGTAGCGGGTTCGTCACCCTCAGGGGCAGGTGTTGCGCCGTCTGCAGGTGCGTCGGAGGTCGTTGGAGCAGGAGCATCGCCGTCGGAGGGGGTGCCAGCTGAAGAGGCATCGTCTGCCGGAGCATCTGAAGATGCTGTGGCAGGCGTATCAGACGATGGTTCAGCGGATCCATCGCCGGCGGGCTTGGATCCTTCCTCGGACGAAGAATCAGGTAGAGGCGAGGCTTCTGCACCCTCTTCCTCTCGAGCATCCACCTCAGAGGACACAGAGCTCACTGCAGCTCTCCCTCCAACATTTCTGAACCTTCCAATCGCGTGGTTGATTTCCGTAATGCTGTACGGGTCTCTTGCCTGCTCAGAGTGGTGAGTAAATGCAATCAAGCAACATAGCTGGCTCCAAGAAGGGCTCACCGAGATATCCTGGATCCCAGTGATTCGGGGACCGATTGGGAGTGCACCAGCTCCAAGAGAGGCGATCAGAGCAACAAGGACGACCGAAGAGGTGTGCATTGTTTTTTTTGTGGCTTTTCTAGAGGTTTTTTCGTGTTTCGTTCGCTGTTCAAGGACTTCCGCGCGCAGCGCGTACTACTTCTCGCAGAACAGAAGGTGTAGGGTGAGACCAGCTCAAACCTGAGGTGTTCGTCGTTCGTCGACGACAGAAGCTAACTGTTATACCTCGACCCATCGCACTCCATCGCAACCGCCCTGGTTTGGCCGGACTGATGCCGAGCCAAAACACAGCATGATCTCGGCTCGGAGGAGAAGAATGGAGTTTGCAAAATCGGTATTTCTTGAACATCAGTATAAAGGGCATTAAAAGCTGGGGTGTTGTGGTGAGAGCTGGGTCAGAGTGAAGTGGGAAGGAGACTTCGGCTATCACAATTCGGGCAGAAGTCTAAATAAGTATTTTTAGTTGAAAGGGGGAGGCTGAGGGAAGTTCGGAAGTTATCAACTTTGCAGTCCAAGATCTCCTCAAGGGATAATTTAGGAACGTAGATTTGGCTCTCTGTGAGATTGGAATTAATTGACACAATCCATTCTAAGTTCAATTAACTACTTAGTACTTAGGGGGGGATATACACACAGTACTGGCACTGGTAGCGGCAAGTTTTGGGCAAGTTCCTCCGTAACACCACCGATTTTTTCATCGAAGTTCATTCGAATTATACTGGATATTCTCCTTGTAGAACTCCTGTCGCTTCTGAGGGTGGGACACAACAAGTGCATAGAAGTGGGAAAGCAATGAGACAGGTGCATCGGTTAAGTTTCATTATTATTCAACATTCAGAACTTACCGGACAAGTGCTCGAGCTCCTCATTTTTTTCTTTCGTCAAGCTCAGGATGCCTCCTTCCACGACTTGCGGTTCCATCAGGCCCCTCGTCTTCTCTGCTCGTCTCCCCAAAAGCCCCAAGATCCTTTGGACGATAGTCTCTTCCACCGTATCTCAGCTGCTTCCCGCTGTTTCTGGGATTCTCGTATGGTGGCGTCGGGCTTGTAGGCGCTGTGTCAAGGTGGTAATACTCGTCTGAGTCCGTCCCGAATCGGCTATAATCGCCGCATTTCTTTTCGGGTTGGTGCGTAGCTGATTTAGACGTTGGAGGGCGGGGAGGCGTGGATGAATGGATGGCCTTTCTCGCCGGTACGAGAAAGGAGTATATGGGGGCTTTTGTGGATTGCAGTGTGCGGCAAAGCATAATGGCAAGGCAGGGCAACGAGCTGGTGGCTAGAAAGGAAGATGTGGTATGTCTGAGGTGTGGTAAACCTTCGTTGACGTCATAGGTAGATTAGGTATCTTCTGACGATGTTGTCCTGCAAGGATTAAGTTCAAAGGCATAAATTCGAACAATTCAATGCCTTACATGTACTTGCATAGAACTTGCCTAAAGATTAGGCCTAAATTCATCATTTAATTCCACGAGAAAACTAGAATGTAGCACTCGTGCAATCGCTACACTTTGGGGAATTTGTCCAATCCCTTCGTTGATCCACCCTTCAAGGTATCGACGAGTGCAGGACTTGGATCCTCGAACAATGCATACCGCCAGCGCCAGCAATGAAGCAACCTCAGGGTCTTGACAGGTACCCCAATTGTCTCACGATGGCTGAAGAATTCAGAAAGCGCTTTCAGGTTTTCCTCGACCGTGCAGTCCACGCCGTGTAATTCAATGTGCGGTAAGAATGTGGGAGAACTAGATGAAGTCGGTCGAAGTATGTAGGGTACGAATGAGTGAATATTGACGGGACCCTCGAGGCGCAGCTTCTTGATAGCTGCTGCCCCGCTGAGTATGCCGTTGACTAGTTCTTGGTTGAGGTCGACATCGAGCGCTAGTGAGAGGTAGGGAGGGGCGGCAGTTGCATGGAGCGTAAAGACGAAATCTCGCAGTTGCTTCGGTGAGAACTCTTCCTTCCTTGTACTAGAATTTCCTGTACCTGTGCCTGACGTCTGCAGAGCTAGGAAGAAGGCTCTCCTGCTGGAGGTAGAGATGGGAGAGATACTTCCGTCGGGATATGCCACCACACCATACCGCACCGCACAGATTGTTGGAGTTAATATGAGTCCCCATGTAGTCTCGTTCTCGTCATTATCGAGTGCATTACGGACGTTTTGTGCGAGGTATGTCCATAGGGGGTCCAGGGAATCTTGGGAAAGGACGTCCAGGCTGTGGATAATGGTAGAACAGGTGGGCGGGAGGACGAGCCAAGAAAGGAACTCGCGCACAGTGTCGTCCCAATGCCCGGCAAGTCGGAGGAGGAGTAACTTGGGCAGCTCAACGCGGGGAGCATCGGGGGCTGCGGAACTGTTGACGTTCTCGCGTGCGACCCCGGTGGAAGGAAATAGAAGGAGGAGCTTCAGCTCTTCGAGAGCAGGCATCCTACTAAGAGCTTCTTTGATCTGCATGAAATGCTTGTGTGCGCTTTGTCTGTCGCACTGGACGCGGATGGCGAGTGAGCGGAGGCTAGAGAAGATGGCTTTGGGACTAATTTTATCAAACATCACCCGTTCAAAAGAAAAGCGCTGTAGCTGCGTGATTGTTTCGGGGAAGAGGTTGGGTAGGAGGCTTTCGAGAACGACGCAGCCTTTTCGCCCCTTGCTAACGAAAGAAATTGTTTGGAGCCTTGGCAAGGGAACATCCGTGAGGAGCGCTGGGAGGGTAGTGTAGAGGTCGGAGGGGGAAAACATCGGATTTTCGTCGGTTATGAGCACATGTAGATGCACAATTTGGGCCGCATATCATGGGGTCGAGCAACGGGTGCAGGCAGTTAAGGTAGCAAAAATTGGCGCGCACTGTTAGACCGCGCGATCCAACACGACCAGCAAGCTCGGACCGCCATTTCGATTTGTGAATGCACCCGTCAATGTCCCAGTACGACCACAGAGACGCATTGCTCAATGCAACCCGCCGCCATAGCTGACAGACTTGCGACGCGCGTAGTACAGATGGAGGGAACTTGCGCCCGGGCCATTCGGCGTGAAGAAGGTGGGCGAAAATCTGCGAGAGGATCTCTGGAACGCCGATGGAGGCGATGGGTATTATTTCATTCCGCTCGCGGGTAGCTTGTATCAGGCGCGCGGTCAGTATCTTGCGTTCCTCGTCGGGGTCCTTGATCTTCTCCTGCCAGCCCTCACGCCGCCAAGCCATCGCTTAGAAAAAATTTTCAGAAATGGTACTCTGAATACTCGATTCAAGACTAGCTGGAAGATTAGAGAGAGTTTTGGATGATTAACGCCCTGGCGGACGATGATGAAGGCAACAATGAGTACGTACAGCATCAGCGTTCTTGTCTTCCAAATTTCCGAGGTTTTCTGCACCGTTCAGCTTGCAGTCGGCTTGCCCTTGGACTTCGAGATTTCGTAACTTTGCTTCGAGGTCGAGGAATAGGAAGATCAAGGAATCAACGTGAGATAACGTGGGTTTCCACAACAACCATGTCCGTGCCGCGGCGGGTCCGCAGTCCCGTCCCGTCGGCGCCGGGTACATTCATCGCATTCTTTTCCTCTCGACTTCAAGTTCAACGTCGACAGCAGCGGCGACGACACCGTGCCTGTAGAGCTCTATATCCACCCTGAGAGCCTCTGAAGGTCTTTCACAATCTCCTTCACTTGCTTATCGTTACGCTTACACTATTTTCCAGGCGACCCAACTTGCGGACGAACAATCAAGTGAATTTTCTTTGCAGCGAGGATACTTGGTGCATCGTACTCTATTCAGCGTCGAGATCGGACAGGGTGCTGGTATGTCTTCTTTATGACGCCTTTCTTTGTTCACTCTGGGGCGACATTTTTCTCGTAGCCTTTCTACACTTGCACCACACCAGCTTCGTCCCGGCCACGTCAATCTCTCCTGGACGAGAACCCCTAGATCGACCGCTTCGGTGTGTCTCCAGGCTGCCTTGTGCAACGTGCGCGTGATAATCCGCAATACCATCACGGACTAGGCCCTTCGGAAATTGCACGCCGTCGCCGCCTCTTTTCTTCGAACTCACTACTCCAGCAAGAATCCAACTGCAAGAATCCAACTGCAAAATCTCTCTCAATAGTGTACATTATCTCCGTAACTAAACCAACATGAACACCTCGGCACGATACATCATCGTCGTGCTTGCTTTTATCGTAAGTTTCTACCCAACATCGAAGTCGCCTCCTTAACCACCAGCTACCAACAGATATCCATCCATTACATCATCAGTTTCACGCATGAAGGTTATGGTCGAGCAACCTCCTTCTCCAACATCGCCTCCAAGTTCCGGCCCTCCTCTAGCGTCAACACCGGAGACACATACGTACTTCCTGACATCATTGCCCCGCCACACGAGCCCAGTCTGAACGACACGCTCGTGCTCGACCGCCAGGCGAATGCAACATTTGTCATCCTCGCACGCAACTCGGACATCCAAGGCACGGTGAGGAGCGTGCGCGAGATTGAGGATAGGTTCAACCGGAAGTACCGGTACCCGTATGTGCTGCTGAACGAGGAACCCTTTACGGATGAGTTCAAGAAGTGGGTTTGGTGCCTGTTTGCGTTTTATGAAGAAGCTGATCGGTGGATAGGCGCGTATCGGTGCTGACTTCAGCCAAGATGGAGTTTGGTGTAATCCCGCACGACCATTGGTTCCAGCCTGACTGGATTGACGAGGAGAAGGCAAAGGCGGGCAGGGACAAGATGGTCGAGAAGAACATTATCTATGGAGGCAGCGTGTCCTATCGGAATATGTGCCGGTTTAACTCTGGGGTGCGTTCGTATTGCACTCTTTCAGCCGCATATAGCTCATGAAAAGTTCATGTAGTTCTTCTTCAGACATCCTTTGATGGAGAAGTACCGCTGGTACTGGCGTATCGAGTGAGTTGTTCTGCCCTTTCCTTCTTCCTGTCTCTTCTCTTTAGCCCGCATCAGAGCTCCCGCAGCTCAGATGCGTGTAGAAACCGTGCATCGATCAATTGATAAGACTCGCTCATCGCGAGTGGCTCGACCTTCTCATCCTCCATTTCATGATACCATGCAGCTGTTTCGGTCGTATGCTGACCTTCCATTCCCAATAGGCCAGATGTCCATTTCCACTGCGACCTCACGTATGACCCATTCCTGTTCATGGAGGACAAAAAGAAGGTTTACTGTATGTACCTCTACACTATGCTTGCTTTCGTTGAGCTAACATCACGCAGCATTTACGATAACGATGTACGAGTACCAGGCGACGATTCCAACACTCTGGGGCCACGCTATGAGTGCGTCATTCATTTCCCTCTTGCAGTCTGACGAGGTAGTTGATGACACACATTCGTCAGAATTCGCCAAAGACCACCCCGAGTATGTCGCGAAAGATAACGCGCTAGGATTCATGTCGACAGACAACGGCAAGACGTACAACCTGTGCCACTGTGCGTCTCTCCTCTCTCCTCTCTCCTCCCTCTACCACCCACTAACCAACACCTATCCCTCCGCAGTCTGGTCGAACTTCGAGATCGCCGACATGGCCTTCTGGCGCGGACCAGCTTACACCGCCTTCTTTGAGTACCTCGACAAGCAGGGCGGGTTCTACTACGAGCGCTGGGGCGACGCACCCGTGCATTCGATCGCTGCCGCCCTCTTCGCCTCGCGCGACCAGATCCAATTCTTCGATGATATAGGGTACGAACACAACCCGTACACACACTGCCCGAAGAGCAAGAAAGTGTGGGAGGAGAGGCGGTGTAGCTGTGATCAGCAGAGAAGCTTCGGTGAGTTGCATCGTTGTTTTTGATTCCGTTTCCTAGTAGACTGATTGACGGTGGCGCGCATAGACTATGATGGGTACTCGTGTATGAGCAAGTGGGATAAGTTCGTTGAGACACGGTGATTCCTTGTCTGTTTGTGCTATTTATTCGCTTTTGTTTTATGCTAGCGCTGTCATGGCGTCCGTGGAGGAAAATAATTATGTATTTGCTCCTAATATTCCAAGAGCTCCGAGTCTTCCACCTTCCTACTCTCCTCGAGCCCTTCGTGCTGCAAGACGAAACAGTCACTTTGTTGAGCCTAGGGTCGTCGATGTTCGTCGGATAAATGATGCAGCCTCCCTAATTTGGCACAGTCGTTGACGTCGTCCAGCTCAAAGGCAATCAGTGCAATATAAGGGCACTGGGGATGATAGACGGGATACGACGAATATCTTACAGGTGATACGAAGGACGGCTATAGAGGAGTGAAGCAGGAGAGACGTGATGCCGGGAGATAATGGGAGATCGGAGGAAAGAAGCATTCCTACAGGGATTGGGCTTATATGCCATGCTATATTTGAGGAAATATGGCGTGAACAATGTCCCCCTCGGACTCATGGATGATTTTTTGGGGGGATGAACGTTTTTGGCAGGCTAATTTCCTAATTAGGAACAGACGGTATCGCCGTCTGCGGTAACCTCAAGAAAAGTCAAATTGCAACTACGGAAGCTGTAGGACAGACAAGACAGTGTCATAGACTCTCAGAATACGTCGTTTGACTGCGTTGATGCGGCGCTTTTTTGTTGCTTTTACCGGACTGTCACTAGGCCCGTGAAATCGAATTCTATTGGTCTACCGACTAATCTGGATCTATCGGAAGGGCTCAAGAACCCAGGAGGTTCGTGAATAGAGTCAGCCTAGCTTCCTACAGGTCTTCTAAGGTTTCGCTCCACTCACAGCCGTGGGCAAGCAGCTTGATAACTGTACCCGATATACGACCGTTGTCTTCTAGTAAAAGAATCATTTGATTCCTGATGCTTCTCGCCCACTATTCATAGAGTCGCGTTTCACGTTTGAATCTGAGCTCCTATTATGCAATTTTACAGATGGTTTGCTCTACGTTGCTCTCACGGATACGCAAACCTTCGGTTGTTTATCAAAGGGACGATTCGTGAATTTCTGATCACATATACAGTGGAAACAAACGATTACCATAATTCCGGAGAAAAGGGGACAAAATAGGGTATATGAAGGTATATAATCATGAGGTAGAACTAGCCCAAAGAACGAACATCCAGAATATCTGGTTCGTGAACGCTAACCTCTGTAATGGCGCCGACGTACTAGAACCACAGAAAAGGCTGCCGCGAGTAAGTAGACAAAGAAGACAATGCCCATCGTAGACATTCCGACGAAGTGGGGGCGGACGACTCTGAGGATCAAGAGGGGGGAGTAAGCAGGTTGTTTCACCATTTTTCTTTGAGGAACTGCAAGAACATTGATACTTACTGAGAACCGTAGACGAGCACGCTGCGGTTGCTTGGGTCGGGATAGTACACAGCATCTGTGCTCGGGAATGTGGATGTATCTGTCGAAGGACTGGGACGGTTAGACGAGCGCGAAGTGAGCGATGATTGTGTTGTGTCGGAGACCCTGGTCGCAGAGATTGATGTCAAAGAGGCTCCTGTAGTTCTACTTGACTTAGATGTAGTTGAAGATGTTCGTGAACTTGAAGAAGCGGTTGTTGGAGGACCCGTAACCACCAAGCTAGTGGTGCTCGTTACGGTCGGCGTGTTCGGCAGGTTAGAAGGAGTCGAAGTTGTTCCACTCAGCTCAGGAGACGAGGTAGTAACAGTGATTGGGGGAACAGAAGTCGGTGGCGTCGAACGTGCGGACGAAGATAATGTGGAAGGTCCTACAGTACTGGAAGTCGGGTCCGATTCATCCTTGTCTGTCGGTGCTCGCGAGGTCGGGATGCTAGTGGTTGTCGACGAGCCCGAAGGAGTGGTGGAATTAGTAACGGGTATCGGAGAACTTGAAGGCGAAGCAAGAGCAAGCAATGCAGACAGAGTCGGAAGGTTCGAGATAATGACAGAGGGGATGGAGGGGATGAGTAGACGACTCCGAGTTTCAGTTGAAACGAATTGGGAGGAAACAAAATTCAAAGTTGTTGTCGGGGACTCCGTTGGCGGATTTGTTAATGGAGAAGATATGGTTGCGGCTGCGGAGGAGGTGAGCAGCGACGTCAACGATGTTTGGGTTGACTTGCTAGGTCGTCGTGTTCGTGTTCCCGTCAAAATTGGAAGGGGAATGGGAAGAGGGTGCCGGTGCCGTGAGGTAGTAAGAGCCGTGGATAGGGTGGAAGGAGAAATTGTGTTCTCGGCGTTCGTTGAATTGAGAGGCGTGAAGTTCGCGCTAGCGGACAGACCCTCATGTGAACGGCCAGGTTTCGTTCTCGTCGGAGATATCAAAGAGGCGACATGCCCTTCGGTGGTCGAATTAGGAGAGACTATCGATTCAGTGGCCAGGTTCGTGGCGTTGGAGATAGTGGATGTACTGTTGGTTCCGGGATTGATTTCCGTAGGCGACGAGGGCGGTGCGGTAATTGAAAGGTCGTCAAAAAAGATGCCGGTAGGCTTCGAGGAGCTGACGGTCAAGGTCTGAGAACTGTTCAACTGGATGGAGGTTGATTTGTCTGACGATACAGGATGATGTGCACTTGTAGAGGATGCCACAACTGACGGCGTCGGGATGGGAGAGGGCGGAGTGGCGTTGATGGATGATGAAATCTGGGTCTGGGAATGATCGTCAATCGTTGACGTGGTGGTGGAAGTTTGTGGTGCAATCATAAGAGCGTCGGAATGAGATGTGGTCGAAGAATGAGAAGGTGATGCTGACTCGGGAGAGTTGGTCTCTGTGCCAGCGGGCATAGATTTCTCCGAGGGAGGAGAAGGATGATCTGTCCTCGCAGTGTTAGTTTGGATATCGTCTGAAGTCGTTAATGTCGCATCCGCTCCGGTTGGCTTAGAGGTCTGAGTGGATGTTACACTGATAAGTTGACCAGGAGAAGAATTGTTGCTTCTCGAAAGAAAAGTAGAGGTAGGTGATGTCCCTCCACGCCCTGGTGCCTCAGAAAGTGACCTTGCACTAGGCGGGAGTCGAGAGGAATGGGCCCGCGGGGGGATGTGCATGGTCGCAGACTGGCCCAAAGAACCCGTACGGGGATTAGCCCCGGCTGGAGACATGGAGGGAAGAAAGCTTGCCAGCCCACCCTGGTTTATAAAGCTGAATCGCATCGTTACTGTGGAGAAGATAGAAACCTCGTCCGCGATTAGCACAATCAGAAGTACCGGAGATGTTGTCGTATTCGGATAGGCGGAATGGAGGCGTCCTTGTAAGAGCCTCGAAGTCGTGGCTACAGTCGTGTGCGGTAGCGCACTGAGCTCGAAGTCCCTGCCTGCCAGGGGGTGGAGATAAGACTGAGCAGGATTAATATGAACCCTTTGGACCAGAAAAACAAATTTGCATTGAGGCGAGGATCGCAGGGCAGACCTGTGGAGGTTCTGCCGTAGTTGCTGCGTGATCAACTGGATATTTTGATATGGCAGTTGGAGGCGAGTCAGAGAAGATATGATTCCTTCAACAGAACATGTCGGCCGTCAGACGTCCTGGTCCATAATATAATTCTTCAGATGTTGGTAGAATCCATTTTGAGTCGCTACTAATATGAGAGAACCAAGCGTAGTGACCGAACTCGTACAGGAACAAATTCCTGTTTATCTGTTAAGTATCTAAAAAGCCTTAGATGAATCATCCAAAATCAATGGTGGAACGACGACGGAATCACCATAGTGGCCCTGAGTTGCAGACCGTTGCTGTTCTTGCAGATCGTGGTCGTCGTTTGATTGCGGTTCTAAAGTGAAGTGAGGAACGAATGAAAGGATAGAACTAAGTCTTCGAGCGAGTGGCGGGCGGCACGTGACGCTCTCTGCTTCGTGCCACCACCATCTCGCCTCGAAGGCTTGCTCAGCCTCAATGCCGCCCCTCAATGGCCGCGTTGAGTGCTTCAAAATCTCGTTTCTGAGATTCTCGCAGTATGGAAGTCTGCAAATATGTCTCTTTCACCGATGCTTCCTATCTTCCGGGTGCCAGCCTCTCACTTTGGATCCCCGTGTTTCTTCCTCGATCCATCCTTCCCGGTTCGCTTTCTCATTTCTCGCGACACAGCGATGGCCGTCAGCCTCCCGGCTAGAGTTGAGTGGGCCGGGAATCTTGCGGATGCCGTGCGGATCGATAAGCCATGAGAGGAAGTGCACTAGGACGACGATGGCTGGCACACCAATCGCGACGGTCCGCCAGTCGAGCGTTTGGTAGGCAAGGGACAAAACACCGAGCATGATGGTGGAGGAGGCTGGCACTCTGCTCAGCTTGCTAGCCACAAAATTGAATCTCAAGACCTCTTCCAAAATGGCGGCTACACAAAATAGGGCCGAGAAAAGAGCGAAGGACAATGGTGGTAGACCTATAACGCAGCATACGAGGTGTGTGATTGACTTCCTCAACTAAATCAGTATTATCTCGTTCTTTCCAGATACACGTGGCGACGGTGTCTCGAGAGCGTCGCGAATTGATTCAACGCCCATCGACGTTGGCTGTTTTACCCATCTGAGCTACGCCTGCGGCGGCGATCACAACTCAACCCCTGACTGTTCTCTCATCCCGAGAGTCGCCCCTCGACATCATTCGCCCTTCCGCCAACGCAAGCTTCGATTCACTACTATCGATCGGCATGTCACCTAGATCCTGCAACTCGGCCTGCATGTTACGTCCACCCGCCGCCGCCGCCTCGCTATCCAGTCTGCTGCGCTGTTCCCACCATTTGCTATGCTGTTTGCTACGCTGTTCACTATTTCCTTAGGGCCTTGCCCTGCTGCTGCTTCTGCTGCTGCTACAGCGAGTTGGGTATCCCTCTCGCCAGTATCCTCGCTGTCTGCTGTTGTTGTTGCCTGAAGCTTTGCTCAGCTGCTGGCGCTACGCTGGGTCGGTTATCCCCTGACAGTCTGCTATTTACTGTTTCCTAGGGCCTTCCCCCGGCTCGTGCTGCTTGCGCGACTGCTGATGTGACTGCGAATTGGCCGTTCCTCTTGCAGGTGGGCTATTCCATTGCTGATCTGATATCATTGCTAATGCTGCCGCGCAAACACCATTGAAGGTTCGCTATTGCTTCAGCTGCTCGCTTGCTACTCCCCTATTACCCCCCTACCTATTTTCTCTCTCTCGACTAGCCTTCTAGTTCTCACTAAGCTATGCCCCTCGTCCTATAACTGCCTGTTATATTTCTCCCTCACGTTGGAGCGCATTCTATGATGGCTGATTCGACATCCCTCGCGGCTTGATTGGGAATGAAGGCTCAAATGCGGGTCTGGATTGCATGTAATACCTTAACGGAGTTCATGACATCGGTAAATCACCCAGCTGCATACTATTACACTTCTTGCTAGGCTATGTGCTAAAGCCATGTACCACTGCGCTATTCTGTGCCTTGAATGTGACATTGTTACCCCCCGAATGTGTGTTATAATATCACGTCCAATCAGCTAATGGCTATGAAGTAAAGAATTACAAACCCCGCGGTACGAGCATGCTGAATATTCGGAATCACGTCACCAAAATTGCTGCTCGAAAGAAGACATCCTGAACAACACGAGGATAGTCCACCAGAAACACTAACCCGGTACGTATCTATTCCATATACGAGGAATGAATTAACATGCTAATAACATTGACCCTCCTCTTCTTGCATATACGAGCGCTTTCGGCTGATGCTGTTTATCTTGCATTATGAAACACTGTCCTGTCAGATTCAATATACAGGACATGGACTAGCTCCGTGACTCCCGAGGGCATAACTGTGTCCAGCTGTCCAGCTGCCGTTTACCTGGTAGTGCCCAGTGTGGTAGTGCCCAGTAGGTCTACACACCAAAACACATGGGTTGTCGGCCGTAGAGATGGGCCTATATTATCATGACTTTGAACCCTCCACGACGCTACAGCTTGGCACTATACCAAAATATAAGCAGAAAATATACGGCAGGACGGACAACACCCAGGGCCGGCTAAGCGCCTGGCAATCGTCTGACCGAGCCGTAGGACAGTCGTAACCCAATGGCCGTAATTTCAAGGCATTAAACTCTTCACGATCTGATAGCGTAGCGGAACCAATTGACCCGCGAGCCATGGTATACGGTCACAATGCGCGGTTCTACCCAGCGCTGCGGCCACTGCATGCCAAGCAACCATATAGTGCTTCGCAAACTCCAAAGCGAGCTCTGCAGTTAGTTGTATGCTGGAAAATATGGCCTGCAGGATACAAACTCTGTCCACTACACATACATATTATGGGCGGATGATGAGCTTTCCGCACGGATGATGAGCTTTCCATACAAGGATCCCGCTGTACATAACGAGGCTGCTAATAAATTACAAAGATTCAAGTTGCTGTATTAACCTTGCTCCAGATAGTACAGTTAAATGACAGGCTACTCAATAAAAGCATGACGGCCATACATGGCCATGTTCATCCCAGATCCTCTCCTCCAGACACGGCTGGTGTTCACTCAATTGAACCTGGCTCTCAGCCGTTTTTGGGCGGTCGCCGTACCCCGCATGGGTGGCGGCCCTATCGGACCGCTAAAGAGACCTCCACTAAGGAAGTTTGTCCAACAAATGACAGTCTTCAGACGTTCAAACATGAAGGGAGCTACTAGTAATAGGGTCCTTTAGAGCGAGAGTGCTAGCGCTAACACCTCTTGAAGATCGAAGGAGATTGCACCCCGAGGTTATGGACCTGCCTCGCAAATAGGCAACAGACCCCTGTCCGCCATCAAGCAGGTTGGACCAGCAATTTCAATGGCAGTACAAGAAATATCTGTTTAAGTCCTTTATTACACGGTGTCAGAATGACTACCTCGACGAAGCACTCCAAAAGAGATATGCCAGCAGATATACCATATGTTGCTACACTACCCCCCAACTGAACATCTGAGTGCCTTACAAGGAGTTATTCAAGACCTCTGGTGCCTCAAGCTGTGTTCTCAGGTCACCAAGACGATCCATTCAAGTTCGCTACTCATACATCTACACTTGGCGACATATCATGAGCATGTAAGGCAGCACTTCGACGCTCGGCCTCAGTGCCCACAATATTCCAGGTGCAATCATACAATTTACGGCCAAACTTCCAGTATTCTGCGAAACTCTTTCAGACGCAACCGGGTGCTCGCAGCACAAAGGATTGATCTTGATATCACTGCTCCACCTCGAAGGATTTGTCATGCCCCTAAAACCGTTCAAGTCTAAGTGTGCTACTCGGATATCTGAGTCTGACTAGATGACCTCCCAGTAAATTGCTAATTGAACCTACCTGTTCTGTAAGTGTTGCTAATTCTTGGACTGGGCGAACTACCCTCCTCGAATCATTGGACAAAACCTACTCCTCATGCCAACCATTCCGATGGCCGAATATATATTTAATCCTCGGCTCTTTCATGTCACAAAATAAATCTATCACTTGGAAAATCCTAAGTAGCTGACATGCTAACCACAGAGATGATCTGTTCAGCGGCGATGTGACACAAGTCCGAATCAGCGCAATACCCTTTCCCAGACGAAGATGAAGGGGAAAACAAGCTAATTATCCTCGGTCCATGGTGCAGAAAGCCGGGCTTCATGACATATTACTGGTCCAAGTTTTAGAATATGAAGACGCAGAGGTTCAGGGAACCCGGAAAGCTAGGTTTAGCGTGTCTTCTGTCCGCTATTTATGGTAGGGTGTCCCGGTGACCTACCATATACCAGGTGTATCTTGCTCACGGACATGCACCGGCCGCCCAGAAAAGGGAATTGAGGTTTCTTAGAGGCATATACAGATTGACAATAAGCAAATTGCGGCCACAGCACGGAAAATCCACGGGATAGCAGGGCTCAAATTCACAACAAATGCACAGCCATTACAGGCGCTAAGATATCTGAGTCGCGATTATGTGCGTTTCCAGATGGCTCATGTGCAAATTCATACAATCCTATAGGAGACTACTACAAGCCATCCTCATCTCTCCAACTGGGTTTAGTCTCTGGTGCTCACAACGAGAAGCCCATATATTAAGTGCAGATCTCTGAATCGTTCGGAACCCGTGCTCACTCCTTCTTACGATGGGGACCGACCGAGACTCACTCGGCGCGTCATGACCACGCATTCCTACTCCGGCTGGGTGTCTCCGCTCGTCTCGAAAAAGGTCCCCACGATGGGCTGGAAGGCACTCCGTGCCTCGCCCACAATCTAGCTAGCTACGCAGGCAGTAATTAACCTAGTACTTAGCTACACAAGAAAAGTGCTAACCAAACGAACCTCAAAGATCATGAGAGGATGTGCTAGTAAATGTCACGCCACGCGACATGACAGACGCGTTCGAAGTGTGACAACTGGAACCCAGACTCAAGTACTCAAGTTTCAACAACGGGCTATTCCCTAGAACGACGTTGGAATTCCTGGAAGTATAGCCCAGCTGGTTGATTTATTGAATGTCCAAAACTCAAGGCATTAAGGCTATTGACCGCGCTTCTGTTCATCGCATCACTTCGGGACAAGTTGTTATCGACCTACAGACCGCCGTCAAGGAACTATTGGAGAATAGTATTGATGCTGGGGCGGCGAATGTTGGTGGGTCTTTCATCAAATTCGAAGACCTGAACTTATTTCGCTCCAATGCAGAGGTGCGCTTCAAGCAGTATGGCCTCAAGTCAGTCGAGGTGGTGGACGACGGAAGTGGGATATCGGAAGAGGACTATGACAGTATAGGTGAGAACACGTCCGGACTGCTTTTGCAGAAATCTGACACTTTATCCAGCTCTTAAACACCATACCTCCAAATTGGAGACTTTTACAGACCTCGCTAGCGTGGCTTCATTCGGGTTTCGTGGCGAGGCCCTTTCCTCACTTTGCGCGTTGAGCGAAGAAGTTACGGTTTGCACCGCGACGGTATCAACGGCTCCTATGGGTGTATCCCTTATCATGGATTCCGGTGGAAAGATCAAGAAGAGGAGCACGGTAGCAAGGCAGGTAAAATAGTTTTATTAAACGTATTTTCCTCCATTGATCAACTACCAGCCAGGCACCACAGTAACATTGACGAACCTCTTCTCATCGCTTCCTGTCCGACGGAAAGAGTTTGAGAGGAACCTTAAACGCGAGTTTGGCAAGGCTCTGACGCTGCTTAGTGCCTATGCCTTGGGCCCATGTTGTACAGGATCGGGTGTGCGTTTGAGTGTGAGCAATCAGCCTGATAAAGGGTGCGTGTTGCACCTCGCATATTCATCCAAGTCTCTCAGTCCTTCCCATACCAGGCCGAAGGCAATATCTCTCAAAACGCAAGGCAGCCCATCCTCTCGCGCCTCTGTAACAGCACTATGGGGTCCCAAATCGTTGGACAACATCATTGACATGGATATAAGTTTTGAAGTTGAACGAGACAAGGCAACTCTCAAGCGGCTTCAAAAGTCAGTTTGTCATTTGCATGGTCTTCCATTGCTCACAAAAAAGTCAACAGCCAAGACTCCGAGCCGATTTCAGTGCGCATCGTGGGTCTCATATCGAAGTTTTCTGTTTCCTGCGGCCGCACTGGCACGGATAGGCAGTTTTTCTATGTCAACGGACGACCATGCAATCTGAACAAAGTTCGTTTGCTGTGCTCACCCTTTCGTCAGATATGGGTTCTTATTGTTTATTCCTAGATTCAAAAAGCTTTCAACGAGGTCTATCGTTCCTTCAATGCCACCCAAGCGCCTTTTATCCTTGCCGACTTCATCTTGCCGACAGGTGAGCCCTCTCTTTTCTTGTTCGGGTTCCGACTCCAAATACTCTGCCCAAGAATGCTACGATGTCAACGTCAGCCCTGACAAACGCACCATCTTGCTACACAGTGAAGGCAACTTGATTTTGGCTCTCAAGGTATCCCTTTCCAGAAGTTTTGTCCACGAACGATCCTAATCGTTAGTCAGGCAGCTCTCGAGGCCCACTTTGCACCATCAAGATCAACCTACGATCTCGTAGGAGGCACCCAGAAAACCCACACGCAAACCACACTTTCCCAAACCCAGCGATCGTCGATCACTCGAATGACCAGGCAGCAGACGGAGGAGGCTGCCAATGTCGAGGAGGCACCTAGCGTCGTTGCAGCAGCTATCCGACGACGTCCATCCTATACTTCGTCCCCTCCTCCTTCACCTCCTTCACCTTCATTCAATGTCAGTCGCAGTTCCGCCCCATCATCGCCCACCCCTTCCATCACCCAACCCTCCAAATCCGATACTTTCATGGATTTAGATGAGCCTCCCGAAGACGACGACCCCGTAGTCCTTGATCCATCTCAGTCAAGTTGGGGTAGGCAACTTAGTGTTGCTTCTCGTTCGCAGACGACAACACCAGCTCTAGAACTAAAGCAACAACCACGGGGTCCTGAGGAAAAGGAAGACGCAGAACCTCCGAGAAAGAAACGCAAGTCTGAGCTTGGCTTGGCTATTGTTGGCAGCCGTCAGGACGAACAGGACGACGAGAATAAGCAAGAAGATGTTGATGATGTTCATCGCCCTGTAGTGCCGACACGGCAGGAAAAGAGCCCAACAATTCAAATGTTAGGAAGGAGGGAGACAAAAGCCCAGACCCGAACAACGACAGCGACGTCCAGGTTGAAGGGTAATGGAAGCTCATCGAATAATCTACGTCAACAGCTCCTGAACTTTGCCCGGCCAGGAAGTCAACTTCCTACGAAGCCCACACCTGAAGAGGATGAAGATGAAGATTCAAAGGCCGTTGACGACGAAGAGGAGTGTGCTGATGAGGATCAAGAAGCTACGTTTTCTACAAATAGGGTCGGAGGACTCGACGAAGACGAAGAGGTTGATCAGCTAGAAGACGATCCTCCAACGAATCACGATGCCGATATTACGGGGCCCATACCCAAGAAACCATCCCGCACGGTCGCCAACACCTCAGATCGCCCATCATCTCCGCTGCACAGGACCCAAGATCATGGGCGAGATGATGGCACCGAGGAAGGCGAGGACCCTGTGGATCTGACAGCGGGCGAGGACGACGACTCGGAGGACCCTTCCTCGGTGCTCAGCCAAGCCCTTGTGAGTTCGTCGTCCACCCCCTCGACGCTTTCGCGGGCCGACAAGAGCAGGGTGGTGAGACCAGAGGTTATCAGGAGCGACAGGTCGGGTGGAGGCGATATCTCGTTGAGGGTCGATGTGGACAAGATCAGGCTCGCGTGGACCGATGGACGGAGGGGCCACGGAGCGGTTTCAAGATTACTGAAAGAGCCAGGTGTGAAGACAGATTCTGTCCCACTCGATGCAGGGATTGGGAATGTGGAAAATGACGAGAAGGCGGTCAGTGCGCTTGCGAGGGTGATTGAGAAGGATGATTTTGCCACCATGGATATCGTTGGGCAGTTCAATCTTGGTTTTATTGTTGTTCGACAGAGGAAGTTAGTCGCTGGGGCAGGACAGATCGACAAGGAGGAAGCGGTGGCTATGGATGATCTATTCATCGTTGACCAGCATGCGGCCGACGAGAAGTATAATTTTGAGACGCTGCAGACGACGACGAGGATCCAATCACAGAAGCTCTTCAAGTTAGTTCGGTCTTTATACTCACTTTTTTTCCACTTTCTCTGATTTTTTCTGTGCAGACCGCAGCAGCTCGAGGTGACAGCAGCCGACGAGATGCTCGCACTCGAAAATCTCGAAGTCCTGCGCCAAAATGGGTTCGAAATCGACGTCGACGACGAAGACTGTGTCGCTGTCGGGCAAGGAAGTCGGCTGAAACTGACAGCGCAGCCCGTCAGTAAGAGTACCGTGTTCAACATGAAAGGTATGTGGATCCACAAGCGCATAATCCAACTTGGAGTAGCTGATAACGCCGTTCAAAACCCAATTTCAGACCTCGAGGAACTCATCCACCTGATGCGCGACCGGCCCAGCGGGCAGATGGTCCGCTGCTCGAAAGCCCGGGCTATGTTTGCCTCCAGAGCGTGTCGCAAGAGTGTCATGGTCGGAATGCCCCTTACCCAAGCACAGATGACCACCGTGAGTTCCCCGTCGTGTCTGCGCCGTATTTTTGGCTGTGAACGTGATCAACTGAGGGCTCATGCGCGCTTTCTTGTTTGCTCCGTGCTGTCAGGTGGTACACCATATGGGAACGATGGACCAACCGTGGAACTGTCCCCATGGCCGACCTACCATGCGCCACCTGTCTGATATCAGGATATTCGGCGCAAGGAGGAAGGAGAGTCCCGATTGGTCATCTTTTGCTTAACGCGTTCGTGGAGTTCGTGAAGTTCGGAGAAGGCCTTTCGGGTTTGTTGTGCCATAGACGCGGGAGATAGCATGGCTGGAGTGCTTGCTGGTGCAATACCATCTATTTACCCACCGTTTGTATGAACGAGTAGAGCTCTCGACATCTTGACGCTGCTAATCTAATATCCTTCTTGTTCTTCATTCGCTTGCAAGCAGCGGCTCATGTCCTCCATCCATTCCGTCAAGCGCTCACAGAGCCATCTCGCATGGGACAACAGGTAAGCCCGTATCTCTTTCTTGCTCCATCCACCTCGCCTCTGTTGCTCTCACTCAGTTCCTAGCACACCTCCATGACCTAACCTCTCGTCATAGCATTCCACCGGTGATAATTATCCCATCCGGCGACACCGTCACATTCTCCTGTCTAGACGCCTCTAATGGGCAGATCACCCAATCTTCCACCCCCAACACGCTTTCCTCTCTTATCTTCTCCCAGCTCGACCAACTCAACGGGCCGGTCTACGTGCAGGGCGCCGCGCCAGGAGACACGCTCCAGATCGACGTCCTCTCTGTCGACACTGCCGATTGGGGCTGGACGGCGCTCATCCCCGGCTTTGGGCTGCTGAGCGACGAGTTTCCAGATCCAGCTCTGAAGATCTGGAAGCTGAACAAGGAGGAGCAGTATGCGTGGTTCGATAAGGAAAAGGGGATCAAGGTCCTGTTAAGGCCATTTGCGGGGGAGATGGGCGTTGCTCCAGGCAAGAAGGGTGCATTCTCGACGATCCCGCCGTATGCGACAGGCGGCAATATCGATACACGCCATGTTTGTGCAGGTGCGGCGCTCTACTTGCCCGTGGAGGTCGAGGGGGCGCTGTTCTCCATTGGGGTACGTAACGTCTGAATCCTAGCTCGTAGTTGCATTCTTACTGGCTCCTTACTGTGTGGGCTATTTTAGGACGGGCACGCTGCTCAAGGCGACGGAGGTGAGTCTGGCTAGCAACAGATAGGACCCCGCTCGCTATGGACTCTGGCGATCCTGATAGTTGATGCCGCCTTGATTTAGAGGTCTGTGGTGAGTTCCTGAGTACATCTGCGAATGGAGCAATCCTTTGACTTTTGACGGATAGGCACCGCAATCGAGACCCCCATGCAGGTCACCGTCCGCTTGACTGTTCGGAAAGACCGTCCGTACACCAAAACGCCGCACTTCCAGACCGCTGCTACTGGTGGTGCAAACGTGCGCGACGGACGTGGAGGTGGAGAGGCGCAGTACTATTGCACGACTGGAGTCGACTCCGATATTCGCGAGGCGACCCGAGGCGCGGTGCGGAATATGATTAATTTCCTCGAGACCGAATACCAGCTCGATCGGGTAGCTGCGTACATGCTCTGTAGCGTTGCAGGAGACCTGCGGATGCACGAGGTGGTGAGCGCTTTTTGATTCCGTCAACACCGATCGGCTTGGGCTTCGCTCATTCTCGTTGCCACGTTCTTGTTAGGTCGACATGCCGAACTACGTTGTAAGCTTTCAGAGTTTGGGTTTCCTTTCAAGCGCCCTCTCATGTAGGCTTTCCTTCGTCTCCGTGTGCAGATTGGCATGATGCTCCCGACATCCCTATTGCGCGGAGCTCGGGCGTGAAAACTTCCAGCCGTTGCGCGATTAATTGCCTCCTGAGCCGTCGTGCTAATGAATGACATCAGTTGTTTCAGTTCAAGCATTTCAGGGGAATCTCCAAGTGAACTATTTCTGGCAGGTAATCAAGGACCTACAAGACCCTCAAGTTTGTCGAGTGCACGTCTTTCTGATCAGAAACTGGACAGCGAAATGTGCTTCTTTGGTTGTGTCTGACTCTGTGAACCAGGTTACCAGAGAACAAACAGCACTGGACCTCTACGACCCAGGAGAGCATATCGTGTCCCTCTTGTTGGTTTATTTTTCTCGAGTCTCCAATGATTCAGATCAATGACATTTACATCCGATTCGATTCGAGTTGACGAAGTTGCCTGATTGAGGACGGCGATCCCATCTTGCGATGGGTGATGCGCCCTGAATATTCGTCCGTTGCCGAAGTCCGTTTTTAACCCCGAAAGTTCCAAATCTGGGCAATCTCCAGGCCCAAAGGAAGCGACCACGCGGGGCCGGTGTTCCGGCGATTTTCCCTTGTTGGGGTGTTCGAATTTGCATCACGACCGAGCGGGGCTTTGCCCATTTGGATCCACTACATATACCCAATGCACACCCCAGACCTCCTCCCATCCCCGTCGCCCACGCGCCCCCCACAAAGGCCGCTGCTCGTCGCCAGCAATGAAGTCCAAGGAGCGGGCAAGATCAGGCCCCTTATACCCCCCAGAGCCTCCCGTCAACCCATTCCAGACGAAGTGGACAGGCGCGACACGCCACGAGACCGACGAAGAGAAGGAAATCCGCATCCGCATGATGGCAGAGGCCGTCAAGACCTCGAAAGAGATTGACCAGTTTCTGCTGGAGGGCAAGAAGGCTCTGGAGAGGCGGCGGAAAGCAATTAAAATTCTCCTGCTAGGTGCGTTGTCGTGCGAGCGCTTTTCTTCCGTTTGAAATTTACCTCGTGTTCATGTGCAGGCCAGTCGGAGTCAGGAAAGGTGCGTCCAACGTCGTGTCAAATTTACTTTGAGGCTGACATGCTGGCCACCTGCAGAGTTCTGTTTTGAAGAGTAGGTTTCAGCGACGCGTCCTGGGTGACCTTTCTGACGAATGCAGACTTTCAGATCGCGTTCGCACCGAAACTGTTTGACAGCGAGCGTCCAGCCTGGAAGGTTATCATCCAATTGAATGTCATTGCGTGCGTGCGCCATCTAGCAAGCCAATGTCCCCTTCATTGACAACGCCATTCAGGACAATTAAAACCATCCTCGACGCGTTGAAGGAGGAATTCGACCCCGAAGACAGAGGTTACCCAAGCACACCCTCCGATGCAACTAACAGCCCCGCCCTACGGACCCTCAGAAGACTACGACTCAGTCTGTCCCCACTCCTACTCATCGAAAGCAACCTCATCAAGATCCTCGCCCCCGAATGCACCGACTCGCGCGACCTCAGCGTCCGTGCGGGCAACGGCTGGAAGACGCTCCTGCGCCAGAAAGGCCCCGTGCCACGCAACTCTGCGGGCTCTGTCAACTCGCTCGGGCGCCGGCCGTCCCATGGTGTTATTACCCAGGAGAATGACCCGACGTCGGTGCTCAGCGCCCAGCGCGACGATATCATCAACATGTGGAAGAGTAGGGAGGTGCAGGATATTCTGCGGCGGAGACGGCCGAGGCTTGAGCTCGTTCCAGGGTTGTAAGTGTCTCCTCCGAATGCCGTAACGGCTGGGAGGCTTTACGTTGACCTCCGGGCACCCCAGTTTCATGGACGACCTCGAACGGATAGCTGTGATGGACTATGTACCCACAGATTGTACGTTCTCATCCTATTTCCGCCGCTCGTTATCTATTTCTCATGGTTGTGCAGCGGATATTATTCGGGCTCGGATGAAGACGATTGGGGTCGAGGAGCACCAATTCAAGGTGGAGCAAGGTGCGCTCGAGTTGGGCTATTGTGGCGTCGTGTCAGGTTTTCATACTGTTTTCGTTCATGAGCAGGCTCTGAGAGCAGTTCTGAATTCTACATCACGGACGTGGGAGGAACAAGGAACCAAGTGCGTATAGTTTGCTGTTTTGTTCATCCCTCAGTGCTCACATCTGCTTAGCGCGCTTCTTGGGCACCATTCTTTGATGACGGTAAGCTTCTCGTCATCACTTCGCGGAAGATCCTCGATATTAAATTCTTTCTTAGTCCAAGCTATCCTATTCCTCGCGCCGCTAGCCTTCAACCAGAACCTCGAGGAAGATCCCAAGACCAACAGACTTGTACGCCTTTGTCTTGCGTCGCTTCCACTCCCTCCTGACCTATCCCCTCGTTTCAGGAGGATAGCTTAAATCTTTGGAAAGACATTTGCGGCAATAGACTTCTGTCAAATGCAAACCTTATTCTGTTCTTCAACAAGGTACGTTTGAGGGCCCTTTGAACCTTGCTTTCTTCTAAATATGGACGATGAGTAGAAGGACGTGCTGGAAGCAACCCTGGCTGCGGGTGTCCAGATCAGAAAATATGTGAAGACATACGCTGATCTCCCAAACGATGTACCCACCGCGACCAAGTGTGAGTCTTTCCACCGTTTCTCGAAGGTCGAGCGACAATGAGGGCTGAATGTTACTCGCTTCCTGGGATACAGACTTCAGAGACAAGTTCCGCATAATTCACGTACGCATGCTGCTATCCCCCTCTCCTGGACGACCACGAGAAAACTTACCTTACCTTTCTTTCCCTACCCCGTTTGCAGAAAAAGCTGTCGGCGGAGCCAAGACCATTCATATGCCACGAAACGTCGGCCATTGTACGGACTCTTTTTCGATCTCGCTTCGGTGCTTTCGTGCTCATTTTCTTTTCCTTCTTTTCCGTGCAGGACATCAAGTCAATGTCGGTCCTTTTAATCGGCGTGCGCGAGTCCATCCTGCGCCAAAATCTACGCGACGGAGATATAATCTGATATAATTAATTAAAATGCTTATACCGGCCTATCGGGCTCCCACCGCGTCTAGCGACAAGGCACACTGAAGTCTGACGGACGACGGATGACCAGAGTGTACGGTGTCGCGAGGAATGGCATTTCCTCCAATCGGTATTAAATGCGCTCACGAGGTCGGCGTCTGGATGCCAACTTCTGGCAACACCCTGCACCCCACGATCGAGGATCCATCACCCCCTTGTCATTTCATTTCGATTTATTACTTCCTCGTTCACGTTTTTCTTATCGACCTCGACGAACCCTTCGCTCTCCGCCCTTTTGCCTCGTTCCTCACCCGTCCATCGCATTTGTCCTCTGCCCATCCTGTCTTGTCGCTGTTTCTTCTGTACTTACCTACGTAGTATCTACCTATCGTATTAATACCGCTTAGCAGTTCCTAGCATCTACATCACTCAATGTAAACGGATCTGGCCACGTATTCTGTATCAATAATCATCTCTACTGCGCGATAGGATTGAGAGATGGTGGCGACATCTTGGTCTACGAATGGTGTGGGCTATATCCAACTCGAGTCTCGCCGAGAGGATCATTCATGACCATCATGATGACACGGCGGTAAGGCGCAGGAGACGTCGGAGGAGGGCCCGTTCCGGAGCGGCAGCACCTAGCGAGTCGACGCGCGGGTTGCAGAAATGTATACTGCTGGTTATAATACCTCCACCCTCGCGACCGTTCAATCAGTATTCTGATACATTATAATTATCCGCGAGGGTTTGACGCCACAATGGCTTCGAAATGTGCTCCTGTAACTTGTTAGCAGGCTTGCACCCACTGAATGTCCTCAATGTATCTTCGAGACTTCGAGTAAAGAGCAAGCATCGATGAATCATCGTGATCAGAGCAAGGTCGCAGTGATTTCGTGTGCACGTAGCAACCAGGGTGGGCTGCGGGCATATACGAAAAAGAGGGTCAGCGGTTCGGAATATCCAGCGCATGGCCCATGGGGAAGAGAATTAATTTGAATTTCAAACGAAGACGCCTCGTGAGCGTGAAAGAAGCCGAGAAGTCTTCAGTTGCGAGAGAAACTAGAGAGCTTTCCAAGAACTTTCTGAAGTTGTTCTGAAGTTCGAAGGTACATCGTATGGGAGGCATCGAAGTGTTTCGAAATTTCACGAAACGCGTCTTCAATCTAGGGATTGATCTACTGAGAAGCTGTCAGGACCACGAGATATCAGCGGACGGATAGCAGCTGATAGCAGCCGTTGTGGGAGTCAGCTGGAATACCTAATTATAAGGTTACGGTGTGGCGCACCAAAGGTCTTCGAAATTCAAGATCGGCGGATAGAAAGACCTGCGCCTCATTTTTACAGTGGTAGAGCACTGACCCATGCAGTGCCAAAAATCATTTTCACCAAGTCCCGAGAGGAGGATGTACAAAGGGGCGTATCTTGTGCTTGCTGCCAGTGACTCACAACACTACCGGATAAATCGGTCTGCGCCACACTCCGTCATGCGGCCTGTCTCGGTAAATATGGGTGGTGGCCGTGGTACTCGTCTCATGTAAGTACTTCTACCACGCGGGCACTTTGCTACATAGTAGAAAGTGAATAAGTACCTACAACTTGGCGCCCATATCTGGACCGCGGTACTGATTACACTCCAAGCATTGACTCTAGGTGTCGCCAAGTCACAGTCAGCATGAAAATTGAGCAGGATCCAAGTTCGCGCTCTCTTCGCGGAAAGAGAATCAATTAAATAATAACGTTACAGCTGTTTCGGAAAACCTTGTCCGTCACTTTTTTTATTTTTTTGGGCTGCGACCGGTCATGTGCTGATGGCTGCCGTTTTGGGCTACGCATCAATGACGAGCTCCGTGAGCCGCGCGAGCATTGTTGAGCGATTCCCTGCCTCCTGGCCCAAATATCGTCATTTAAACTTTACAGATAGGGTTATTGTCGACGCCCAATGTTGCGTCTACCTGGTGGGGCTCGTCCCGTGGGCGTTCGGAGCCTGAACTTCCCACAGCGTGTTTCCGCGCCTGAGGAAGAGGTTGGGTGGCACGCTTGGACCCAAAAATATACTGTTTCACCTCAAATTTGGCACATGCTCTCAGAAGAGCTCCTCAGCTATAACGCGCCCAGATTTCAAGTGCCAGGACGTCCCGTAGATGCTCAAATGGCCAGCTTGAATCTCTGTTGTCTAAATACGGTAGTGTTGATGGCTCCCACGAAAGCTCCCCAGATGATGTCTCGCGGCTCAAAAAAAAAGAAGTTGTGATGGACAAGGTTTTCCGAAACAGCTGTAACCTACATACGTCAGTCACCAAACAGCCTCAGGGGCTGCCAATTTCCAAAGGTCCTTTGAGCGCCCTTTGAGACAGAATCATAACAAGTGCATAAGCGTTATATTTTACCTCATCTCTGTCTTTGATATTCACAGAAATTGTCGCTAATTTTCACTAATCATGCTCTCCAGCCGAATTAATAGACCGTCGACGCGTCGACGCGTTCTTTGCTCTTGTTTGTCTCTGATTACGTAAGTCGAGTTTTCCAGCCTAACCTTTGCCAGTGCCACCGAACACGATTCAACCTCTCTCTCTTTTAGCGCTTATCGGTCGGTGCTGAGAACTTCAAACGTATATACGAAACTAATGATTCTTCATTCTTTTCTTTTGCGCCCACGCACTCAGGTATGGGTTCTGAGTCTCCCTTTTGTGGCCAACCTAGCTCTCGTTCAAGCTCAAGCCCCAAGCAAGGCTCTTCGTCCTGCACATTCGAAGTTGGCAAGCCGTGCCCCCCGTGTTCAGATCTCAAAATCCTCCAAGACGAGGTTCATGACGCCCAACTCGTTGTCAATAAGCTCGTTAGCCAACAGTATGCGATCAAGTCCCGGATCAACGAGATGCACGACACTCTCAGCGCGAGGCTCCCTGTCGAAATTGTTTCGCGAATATTCGTATTCTGTTTTGGGCATAAAACCATAAATAGCGACGCTTTTTTGGGGCGTATCGTTACCATTCGCCTCCTATGATTCTTGGATCCGTATGCAAGATGTGGCGCAAGATAGCCTGGTCAACGCCTCAGCTCTGGGATCGCCTTCGCGTCCGTCTCGATGCAGATGACGTCTCATTTCAAGCCAAAGCGACTGCAGAATGGCCTCCTCGCTCTCGGAGTCTACTACTCGCTGCACAGATCGTCCCTGGAACGAGCCGGTCTCATTGGTGGCCCTTCGACATCTACAACCCCATTCTTGACACCATATCACAGTATGCTGATTGATGGCATGATTTAGATGTCACACTTCCACGACAACTAGTTTTTCGACTTCATGGAAACCCTCGAATGCTGAAGAATCTCCGCATTATCACTCTGGCAGACCTACCACCTCTAGTCAATGGTGATGAAAACCAGGGTCTCCTCAGCCTTTCACTCCCAGACGCACGTCCTACTTCGGTCGAAGTCGACAGTTTAATGCTCAGTAGCATAGGAATCAACTGGGAACATGTTACTTCCGTGAATCTAGGGGATTTGCAGGTTGAAGAATGTCTTCGCCTTATTCACCACGCTCCTCAGTTGTGCGACTGCCACATTGATAAACTCTCTCCCTGTAGCGAAGATGTCCCCGTTCTCGCTGAACATATCGTTCAAGGATATCTACAATCGCTCGAAATCGAAGAATCAAGATCCTCTTGAGACCGCTTTGGTTGTCTAGTCGTTTGGACCATCCAAGCTCACGTCGGCTGGAATCGCACTCAGAGCCGGTTCGAAGGACGCGTTCTTTGTTGTTGTTTGGTATGTAGAGCAAGAGCCTCTTGCCAACAACTTTCCAAGCTCGGAGTCCGCCATCTTGATCAGCAATCGATTTAACCCTCTTCCTGGTGGTAAGTATGGACGATTTTAAACGTAAGTCTCTTCATATTAAAGCCAATTGTTCCTTTTTCTACTACTATCTATGAACTCAGGTGTCAGCTCTAAGTGTCTCGTTTGTGGGTCTCGCTATCATGATTCACGCGGTTTGGAACAACCACCTTCGCCCTGCCCTCTCAAGGGCCCGCGTTGTGACCCATGTTCAGATCTGTGTATGCTCCAAGACAAGATTCGCCATACCCAAACCGTTCTCGATCAGCTCATGGACGAACAATATGCTATTAAATCCCGCATGAATGAGATGCACGACGAACTCACCACGAAGCCCCCCGTCGGACCTGTCTCGCGAATTTTCATATTCTGTTTGTGGAAGAATTTTGTCAATTTTGCTAGAGAGTGTGGGTCACCGTGTCCGGTCTCGGCCCATGGTTTAAGGATCCATATGCAAGGCATGGCGCAAAATAGCCTGGTCAACTCCTTGTCTCCTTCCAAGCTCAAGCAACCGCAGAATGGCTGGCGCGCTCTGGAAGTCTACCCATTTCCATCCAAATCGTGCGTCTAGAGAACCCGCTCGAATCATCTGACGGCTACAGAATCCCATTATCGATGTCATCAACCAATACACGAATCGTTGGCGGCACTTGGATGTCAACACCCCAATTGAATTAATGCCTCGACTTCATGGAAGTACACGAATGCTGCAGATTCTTCGCACTGTAGTCTTGATTCCGACTCGAGCTATGGACCCTTCGTTCAACATTTTGGAATTGCCATGCTTGAACACGTTAACATTCGGTCACAGGCTTGATAACTTGCATGCTCTTCTTGCTCGTTCCGGTCGTCTGACCACATTGATCCTCAACAACATTGACTTAGACGAACCAGCAGACACTACCCAGCTTTTAAAAGCTGTACCCTCCCTTGAATCACTATCCACCCTCGATGCCTATATAGAAAAACATTTCTTCACCTTGTTAGGTAGCACCACTCCTACGGCATCGGGCGACAGCAAACCGACCTACCTCCCTTGTCTCCAATACCTTTCTCTATCAGATAAATCCGACCTCGACTGGAATTCTGTGCTCAATGTCTTCCCTACCACTCTCCAAGCCCACAATGCGAACTGCCGCCGAAGACCTCTGAAATCGCTGACAATTGAGGTTGACGAGGACGAGGACGAGGACGGGCACTTCATCGGCGAAGAGGTCCTCAATCGCCTCCTGGAGTTGACATCACCCTCATCGGCGAAGATGAAGTTGATATGATCGAACGTTCTGCAGAAATACATGAACACAGGCGTAGGATCGAAGCAGGCGGAAACTATGACTCGGAGACATGCAATAGTGGTGATAATTAAATTGTTTCGGTAGTCTTAGCGCCCTTCAACCTGAATCCTTTGGACTACTCTAAGTAAAATGTAGCGCAAGCGATTCAGCCGGACGAGGATCGTGATGACGAACAGGCTCTTCCGTCCAAGTCGAATTGCCCTTGAATTACAATACAGATTAATCCTCTTTTTGAACCGTCGGGTACTTGATGGCCTGATATAACGAAACCCCGGAGATGACCCAATGCAGGAAATCATGCCCTGTGAACCCATTGTGCCCAAAATCTCCAGCGCCCACCCGAGGACTGGCAAGGAGGAGTGTCAGCTGGGAGGCGATGAAGTTTAGTACTGCCACCGCTTTGTATTGGCCTGCGAAGACCTGCATGCGGCGGTTGAACCATAGCTGCGTCCCAATCCCAATAAGCCATGCCGCGTTTGTGGTTGAGGACAGAATCGCGCCGGCATAGCTATAGGGTCGTTCAGCCACAAACCGATTGCTGCTGGCGCGTAGAATTGCACGCCTGTTCGGTTGGAAGAAATGGTATACGCCGCAAGTAGCCAAGAAAGCCTGCACACATGCAAACAGTCAGCGTGAAGAAAGGACTAGATACATGGGCTCCGGCGTACCGCAAGCGCAAAGTTCCAGTGCTCTCGGCTGTTCATGCGTTGATTCATCTTTTCGCCATGCGTCGGAGCCATAAACGTTAAGGTAGGGAGATATCCACCCCTCCACCAGCCGAACTCGAGGCGTAAGAGTGATTTCGTCATGAAGAAAGGGATTATTAGTTCGGTAGAAAAAGTCCACAGGAGAGTGAAAGAACCCATGTCAGGCTCCAGAACTGCGAAGTAGAACGGGGTCAAGATGTATGAAACCATTTGGAGGGTGGTGCCCGGCCAAGATATGCCGACAGTCGAGGTGAGGGAATACCAGTAGCGGGCCTCGAGCATAGAGGTGATCAAGCCGATGGTCGCCCTTGAGAATTCATGAATAGTAAAATAACATGTTCAACGACTCGTCGACGGACGTACATAAGAACAACATCCATGACGAAGAAACGCCTCGGATGAGCGTCTGCTTCGGATTTATGGCCGGCCAGTCCCTCTGAAATTGTCGCCCGAAGTAAGGCTAGCCCAGGGGATAGCTTTAGCTGAACACTCACGGACATGTTCGATCCAAAATTGAGTGTTGTTCAACTCAAGCTCCGAAGCCGTCATATTGATATTTGCGCCCGCAAATCCCTGGGCCAAAGCATCGGTTATCATTGCCCTTCCAGAAGATTCACCGGAGAAGGAAATCCTCCAAGTGATATCCAAGGAGTCTCGAACTATCAGAATAGGAGGGAACATAAGCCACAGAGCAGTTATACATTTCAAGTAGACAAGAAAGAGGGCCAAGGCTCACAAGTAGTGTTGTTGGATGCCCCAATCGCACCATCCGAGACCGCTTTTCTGCTGCAGTTTTCGCGGTTTACCGGGGCCGGAACGAGATACTGATAGACGTGGTACGGATGAAAGATTAATCAAGGCAGGGTTTTCCTGAACAACCCAAGGATATTTTACCTTCGGACCCCAAGCAGGGGAGATTGACATATACGGCGCGTACGCCCATTGTACCGCGTTGCCACTGGGCTCCTTCGGAACCTTCAATTTGATACGAGTCTCCATGTTTCCATGGGTTGAGAACGTTCGAGCGCATGATTCCCAGCTCAATTTAGACGATGATGTGGCATTCGGGTTGATAGCGCACTGAACAAAACCTGAGAGATAGTCATCATGACTCAGAAGACCCATTCGAACTCACCGCAGTCAGCTTAAGCGTTTGGTGAAAAGCATTGTACGCTCTTCGGTCATATAATTTTGTCATATCTATCATGCGGAGAGATGTTCTACAAAGCAGCAGCGCATCAGTTTGCACAATAAGAGGGAGTTTTGTAGGCAAGGCGTACTTGGTTATGACATAGGGATGACTCTCGAGAATAGGTCGGTGCTTGGTAGTCCTGAACACGCCAGCTGGATCATTCTTTCGCGTCTCTTCTTGAGCTTTTGTCTGAGGCATCGGTTCAGCGTCGTCATCATCCTCTTCAGCGTCATTGGAATGACTCGAAGCGGCAATTGTACCTCCGCTACCAGCATCGTCGCCGATAAGCAAGGAACTGGAGCACGCGGAGTTGACATGATGGAAATCGAGAAGGGGAACAGTCAAAGCAAACGAGTCGATGATCTCATCCTTCAGAGAACGAGATGTAGGTGGTCTGAAGGAGATGTAAGTCAAGCTCAGAAGCAGCTCGAACAGCAGACCTACGCACTCATATTTTCGTACTGGTGGAACTGTAAAAATTGTCGGAACCCACGTCGAATAATTTAGCGCATGATCCAGCAACGATGACGTTGTTGGAAGCAGGATGAAAGAGGCTCGGAGATCGTAATTGCTTAGATTTGTTTGCTCACTGGACAAGCAAAGAGAAGCAACTGTCAGAAGGGACCACGGGCTTTGCGTTTCGTACGTCAAAAGCATAGATTGGCACCTACAAGATTTTGGTAGGAACTTGATATTGAACCGATGTGCGAACGTTTCTGTCCCTGTGCCGAAGACCCCGGAAGATAATGTCCGAGAAGACGAGATTTTCTATGAGTGACGAGTCCTTCGAGTTTGGTTCACTAGTGCTATCGTCCGAGCGTAACCAGACTGTGGCCATGATGTCGAAGGATTGGTTCCCGTCAATTAAGGGCCTCACAACGTCGCCCATGTTCGCGCTTTTCTCGTCTCCTTTGTAATAGTATTGCCAGTGTGGCGCTCGGCCTGTATCCAGGAACGCTAGAACAAATTTCCAAAACATCCAGCCGACGCCAAATGCCAGCGTGAGGAAGACCGTCCAGAGGAGGCACCTGCAGAACGACATCCGCTTCTTCCTAGCAGGAGCGCCAGGATCAAAGCGGAGATCTGAATCCGACGTCGACATTCTCTTGTAAACGAAGGTCGCTGAGTGACAGAGGAAACTGCTGAAAGGGACAAGGAAAGGCGATTGGTGGATGAGAGTCTGGGGGAACGCTGGGGCGCTTGTAAATACGAGTCGAACCGCAACCGCAACGTCAACCCCGTGTCACCCGGCCCGAGTTTCGGCGCCCATGAGTCACTATGCGGATTCGGAATCCATCAAGCCTCCAGAGGGCCATCAGAAGCCTGTGCGTCGACAGTGCCAGAGGAGTTTCGAGTATAGAGAAAATGTCACGGGAAAGTATTCAGGAGGTCTTGAATCTGCCTGGATAATCGCAACGATACTCCCGGAAAACCGGGGTTCAGTGTTTGGACCATGCTACTGCGCTCAGGCTGGTTCAGAGCAAGCTGTTTCGAAGTTTAGAGTGATTGTGAGAATATATACTTACTGCCGGAAAGCTGTTTGCCGACCCCAAAAGTAAGTCGTTGAAATTTAGGAGAGCTTTACGCATCAAGTACGACAGGGGGTCAAAAGCAAGTCAAGAGATCTACACGTAAGGATACATCTAGGGAATAAATAAGGAAAAATCGAATTATATGCGAGCAAATCGTCGTCTAGAATGAAAATCAAACCAAGTTCACCGGGAAGCTTCCGAAGTCGTATCTTCAACCTGGATGCGTGAAACTTCCACTCGGTCTCGAATCCAGTACATTGAGTCTCCATTACTGAAGAAGTGTGTATCAAGGAACAACTTCTCTAGTGGGCAGCCCAACGCCTGCCGAGCGCCTATGACGCGATGCAGCAGAGGTCTGCTCGCATTGGTATCGCCGCTGATGGAGAGCGTCCTGAGGTCTGGCCATTGGTCCTTATGGGAAGAGTGCTTCGGAAGGAGGTGCCATACGAATCCGTTGGAGCCTACGCGGGTCAGTCTCAGATGCTGGAGGTGAGGAAATGCGCCGGCAAGGTTAACATAGGCTCCATCTTGAGGGTCAGTAGGCACGATGTCTGTCATGTCGGACAACGCCAGCGTCGTCAACTTCGGATACTCCTCTGCGCGGGCCCCGCCGAAGGTCTGCACGACCAACCGCCACTGGGGTAATGTAAGACCTTGGATGTGCAGCGAGGCAATAGTAGGGAAAGAGAAGAGGCGTAGGAAAGGGCCTAGGCATTCCTTCTCCCAGGGCTTGTTGTAGAAGTAAGGACGGTCAATGGCCAGAACGAGACTCTGTAAACTTGGGAGCGTCACGCTCCACTGTACTTCACCCACTCGGGCCTCTATCTCCTCCAGCAGCTCAGCGTCCATGATGGAAAGGAGGGCACCCCTTGCGTTGAGCTCGGAGATGACAAGACGAGTGAGGCCGTTGAGCGCGCCGAACGCATGCCTCAGCTGGGGTAGCTTCGGCCAGACGACCTTCCAGAGCTCCAAAGTTGTTATATTAGAGGGTGCTGGCACGGCGAGACAGGCGAAGGCGAAGTTGGCCGCTCGCACAGAGAGTGATGGGCTCGGACTAGGGGGTAAGCCATTGGAGTTGTTGGAGTCGGAGCCGAGAGCGTTGTAGCTCATGATCGTATGCGCCGTCTCTGTCGGAGAGGAGACGCTCTCACGAATGACGAGCGACTGCAGCTTTGGGCAAGCGAAAAGGCGGATAAGTGCAGCTTGGTCCTCAGTAAGCCATTCGGAGGTGTAAACTTCCATCGTATCTAGCTCGGGAAGAAGGAGGGGCGATGCCGGCTGGCCACCTTGCATTTGCTGGAGAATGTCCGCTGGTTTGACATGCAGGATAAAGTGCCGGAGGGTGATTGATCCACTCAACATGTCGTCCAGTTTCTCGAAACTCGGCCATATGCCGTATCCTCTGATTTCCAGCGTGTGGAGATTCCGCAGAGAGAATTTGATGTTGTCGATATCGACGTTCCGGAGGCAGAGGTACTCCAGTCCAGGAAGGTCGTTGTTGAAGATTGATGATGGGAGGGCGACATGCCGCGAGTTGGCGTAGTGGGATATAGTGAGATACTGCAGGCGGTGTGCTGGAATATTCTCGATGAAGGAGAAGATGTAGTCGTTCATGGTCGTGATCGCTAGTTGTCTCCAACGCTGACTATGTGGAACGAGGAGATCCATGACCGACTCTGTCAGGTCGGCTGCCCAAAAGCAGCTCAATTGGATGTCGAGGAGATGGTCCTTCGATCGTTCGAGGTGTACAGGGAGAATTTCTACCTCCTCGAAGATGTTGCTGGGGGATAAATGTATGACGCTCCAAAGAGAGGGGGTATGGAAGGTGAGGTCGCGAAATCGGTGGGAGATATGAGAGGCCAAGGTACGGAAGGAGCTGTCCGGCAGTCCCTTTGCTGAATTGAAGTATCCTTTCTCGAGGATAAGCGACAGTATCTCGTTCGGCATTGCGTCTATCGGTGATCCTGAACACGGACTCTCTAATGAGGCGAGCTTTGCGTCAAGTAGATCCTGCGAGTCTAGAATCTGGGGGTATAAAGAATTCTGGGTATCGTTCTGCCTGTGCGATAAGGCGAAGTAATGACTGGACCTGAGGCGAACTTCAGCAAAGCCTGACACGTAGAGAAGATAAGACGTACCCCGGTGCATTTGGAGTGTTCAGGCCGGTAGAAAGAGCATGTGGGGTGGGAATCGGAGTAAGAAAGCCTTTCATGATGGTCGAGGAGGCTGGAAGGAAGGTCAGGGAATTTGAGGGGTAAGGTGCACGGTCAGGTTGCGGCTCAAGCCATTTAAATTATGTTGCGGGGTAGGTAGCATCGCCACTGATCAGCGCTTGCGGGTAAGAAATTTGGTCCGAACATAGGCCGACGTCGATAAGATAAGATTGCTAATTATCTTGCCGAAGGAGATGTCTGGCCCATTTGAAGCACGCAACTTGGAAGTGACCTAAGTATCACAGGGGGAACATGAAGACAAAAGATTGTGAGTTAACATCCTGTATAATACATGTACGGTGATAAAACAAAAAAAACAAAAAAAAAGCTGACCATCGATCACCAACCCCCTCTCGATCGTTGTCGGTCATGCCATGAATGTAAACTGCAATCCTTCGTCATCTATCTCCATCTTGCCGGGTGACGACTGAAGCTGATTCTTTATCCGATGCGACTTGCGCGCCCTCTTCGCGTCCTTCTTCAGCGTCCTTCTATTCAGCGGGTTGCTCCTCCCGATCTGCATGAGGACATTCTGGTCAGGCAAGGCGTTGTAATCGGGGATGTCCTTCGTCCTCCGCTGCCGTTTGGGTTGGCGAGTGTACCGCGAAGCCTCACTGTCGATTGGCATTGTGACTGGGCCATTGGTAGGCACTTCCGAGGGCGAGCGGGACCGTTTACGTGGAATGATATGTCGTAGGTCATCAGATTCCATAGGTACGCTGCGACATGCATAGCCAGTTTAAATGAACGCCATTATTTGGAAAAGAGTAAACGCACCCATCTCGGTCGTCCATGGCATCAGGTCCCTCTACTGCGTCCCAAAACACGTCTCCGTCCTGATCAGCCATAGGCACGTCATCACTTTCCCTATTCCCAAAAGCACCGGCATCGGCTACACCAAAAAGACCTTCCAGCTCAAAAGGTTTGGAGAACTGCGTCAATATCTGTGCCTGACCGACGTTCTCAGCTCCAGGCGCGATTGTGGGCCCTTCCTCGGCGTTCCGCGTCGAAGAGACAACAGATGGGATAAGAGAAGGGTGAATAGTTGGAGGTATGGAGAGTAAGGGATTTTTTGTTGGTTCCAGTCTGTGAGAATTTGACGAGCAGCTGCGTTCAGGTCTGGTGTACCACCCTAAAACAACATGAGATTGGTGTTCTAACACCATGGAAAGGCGACGAACCTTCAGAAGCCGGCCGTTGCTCAACGCTAGCATCGTCAAGAACTCCAAAGTCGACGTGAATTCGGGAAGGTTGTAGATTTTCTGCAAGGTCGGACGCGGCGTTCTGGAAAGGATCTCCTCGACTATACCGGAATCAATGACGTTGCTCGCAGATAGGAAGAGTAGCACTTACCGACTGCTATCGGATCCTCCACATCTTCGACCTTCACAACATTCCGTAGTAGCACGCTTCCCTTCTTCGACCCCTTCCCGTCATCAAAGTCATCGTCGTCGAAGACTACTCCCGGCGAATCAATTATACGCATTCCTCGTTCTAGTTGCACTGATTGAAGATCCTTCGTGTGGCCTGGTTGAGCAGCGACGGCGCAGACCTAATGACAGACACCAAATTGGCAAATGTAAATGCGTATGTAGAGGCGAATCCAGAACGTACCTTACTTCTCTTGAGACTGTTGATCAGACTACTCTTGCCAACATTGGGATATCCGACTACGCCGACTGTTACGCTTCCAGCTTTCGGTTTGTACGCTTTGAGGAGTTTGAGAAGAGCAGGGGCAGTTGAGGAAGAGATGTTCGTTCTTTGGTGTTGTGATGAGGCGGAGGAAAGGAATGGCAAAGTTGGGGTAGAATGTCGGAGGTACTTCAGCCATGCTTGAGCGTTTGAACGCGGTATCAGGTCTGTGAAACGATAGACTCAACACGAAGACCACAAAAATTTGATGAAAAGTGCAAGAGAAATGCATGCAGCTCAAACATACCGATCTTATTTAGGACAAAGACAAGCTTCTTGCCCTCTGCCTCTCGCCGCCGCACTTCTTCCTCCACCAGGCGACTCCTACAGCCCTCCGGATCTCTGGCGTCCAAAACCAGAATAACGATATCACTCTCGTCCACAACCTTATGCAGCGTCCGCAAGTAGTACTTCCGCATCTGCTCCTTCGTCTTCCCAGAGATGTTGAACCCATAACCGCGGCCAGATGTCGAAGACGAGGCGTCGGTGAGTTGCATGGCGGAAGATGAGGCCTCAGCCATCATCGCAAGCGTCGACAGAGTAGGTTCGGAGGCCATTGGCGCATCCGGATCCATGCGCCTGTCTGGAGGTGCCTAGAGGTTGTGCCACTACATTTGAATGCTTTGCCTTCGCTCAAAGGTGGATGGGAGGGTACGGACCATGGGTTTCTTCTGTGCATTCCGTACCTTTGCCTTTAGATCCGGCAGCTTTGGGATTCCAGGATCCTTCTTGAGCTCTATAGTGCGTTCGATAAACATGGCAGAGGTCAGTATATTATCATCTTTCGAAGGAAAATAGAAGGAAATGGACGCTCACTCGACTTCAGAGGCAAGTCAGACTTTCTCGTTTCTAAGGGTCGAAAATAATCAGTAAATTGAGCTAAATGTCTGAATGTTTTGTCTTACTGGATCTTCCCATTGTCATGAAGGAAAGTGCTATCGGGAGATGGTAGTGGAAGACAAGAGACAGAGAGACAAGCGATCACCTGTGGCATTTTCAGTGCTTATGTAAACCGACCTTGACCGCCAACTCAGGCTGAACTCTGGCTTCAAGGACAAACGTTCGCATGCACACCTTGTCTCGATCCTGCACTGTAACGGCCCCAGACAGTCTACGAGTTCAAGGCAGAAAACGGATTTATTACATTCAGTGATCTCAAAATTCTAAGCTATGCAATACTTCGCGAGTTTACTATCGAATTCCTGCTGCTCAACCGGGTCTGCCCAAGTAAGTTGCTCATAGCGTGCACCCTTTTCGTCTAAGAAAGCTCGAAGATTCCGAGTCTTTGACCGCACCGTAGGTACTTAATGCTTAGACATCTTTGATCCCACTTCCGATCTAAATACAGATCATCAGGGCTCGGTTTCCGGGCGTCGCGGTGTTTCGAGTCAGGGCAATGCGTATCTTATGAAATCCCATTTTCCTAGCGGTACACGTCTGTCCTGGGCGCCAACAGCACTTCTTCGTTCCTTCCCCCTCCATTTCTACTACGAGACCCGTTCACCGCCGTTCAATCGAGGTCCCAACATCAGCAATGTCGACAGGACAGTCCGATCTTCACTTGAATCCTGGAGTCCAAGCTCGACGGGAGCGATTGTCTTTCTGTCGATGTCTCTTTTGGACTTGCATTCTTGCAGTGGTTCTTGCCAATGCATACTACATCCCGACATTTATACTGGGTATCAGGAAGGGGACTAGGGAACCACACAAGGAACTGTACTACAAAGGAGATGAGAAGAAAGCAGATGACGTAGATGTAGTAAGACCGTTGGTTGACTACCAGCAGCCCTTCGACATCATGGCCACCATCTGGCTGCGCACGATCAAGCCAAACGAGTACCCTGCAGTGCCTTCAGAGGAACTCATATATTCCGACAGGATACTCAGAGGCCTCCGACTGAAGGATAAGGACATTCATGCTACCGTTCAGTATCGGATTCCAACGGAAATATTGTGGGCCATCGGTTTCGTTTTTCTCTGTTGCTTTCTCGGTTGACCAAATCTCCCTCTCTCATCGCAGTAAACAGGAGAATTTGACCAATTACGACCTGCGAGCCTCCTTCATACTTATTCCAAACACGCCATCATTGCTTGATTTCGCGTCCAACTACTCAACTTGGATTCCGTCGCACATCATCGTTCCCCCAGTGCGTCCCTACGAGTGTGTTGGAAGCCTTTTACTTCCAAAGACTGGCATTGACCGCACTTTCAGGGTCGGCCGTTCTCTTGAGGATGAAATAATCGATTCCTTTTCCTTGACCATCCCATTACTCGACTTTCTCAACATTAGCTCTTCGTGTCCCGAGACCTCACGCTCTGGCAATGCTGTCAAGCCCGCGAAAATAATTGGTTCCGAAGACGAGGACGAGGACGAAGATCTCCCAAAACCTCTCGCAGAAAAGCCAACACAAAAGGAAAGGAAATTTCTTGACCCAGCCGTGGTTTATAGTACCTCAGATTCATCTCAGGTCCTCGAGTCACATCCCTATGTAATCACCAGGTAAATCGGCCACACAAGCGGCCGCTGGAAAGTTGACACACAAACTTGCATACAGGACCTTCCTCCGCGTAGTAGACATGACAAAGCTGTACGACCGCAAAGAATACAACAAATTCCACAGGGAGCTCAAACAGAAGGCGGTGAGTTTACCTCCGCTTCACCGTTCGAGCCTCACGTTTTGACGCATTGCTTAGTGCCCCACCCAAGCGAATCAAACGACATCAGGGTTAAGCTGGGAGCTTTGCATTCGGTCTTTTTTCCACAATGGAAACATGGAAACACGACTGAAGATACGAAAGCCTGACCCATTGGGTGGGGCAAAGAAAGTACAGTGGGCATACGCTCCGTACATGTCGATCGCTCCCTTTGCATGGGGGCCCCAGGTGAAGCAATCGCCATTGGATTATCATAGACCTATCTTCGCTAATATCCGTCGTCTTTGATAGGACCTCATCCCTATACCTGTAAATCGTGAAAAATGTACACCCACTCAGGCTTCTGGTCCGTCTACTCGGTTCCACGCTATAAACGCTGTAAACCAGCCCTCTTACTGACGTCCCACCTTTTTCGCAGATCGCGAATTTGTGGACGTCAAGTGGACGATTAACTTTGCCGGAAGGACGCATGACAAGAGTCATATCGCTGATACATCCGGCTTCGCGGGCTTTACGGCGAAGTTCAACATGACAGCCCCGGAAGATGAGCTGAAAAAGGTCCAGTTCACAATCGAAAGAATGCGTGAGTTGTATTGTCCTTTTTCTTATTCCCGATCGTTTACCCGCTATATTTCAGAGGGCCTCCACGGGCACAGATTCAACCAAGATGTTCATCCCAGACGACACTTTGTTTTCAGTATGATTGGGTATGGTTCCGTATCCCTTCTGGAACTCTTAAACTGATCCTGCGTTGTACTGAAGGTTGTTCATCTATGCTGTCGTGAAGATATTGAACGCACATTACTGGTATTCTCTCACATCTACGATTGGAATATCCTGGCCTGGTGTTAGCCTCCTGGCTCTATCGGGAGTCCTTTCCACTCTTTCTAGTATAATCACCACCGATTCCGATCCCTCTTACCTTTGGATTTTCCTCAAATCGCTGCCTTCTCTGGTAATTCCCTGGCTGATGATCAAGGCCCTCCTACGTCTGGAATTTGACTGGTGGAGAGGTGGATATGTGCCGACTATCAAATTCATGCCGCCGACGCACGGTGAGAAGGTCAATCAAAGGCTGAACGATGCCGCCAGTCGGCAGATTGCCTTGACGGTACGTACATGACACCCCAATCGCTCGGTCTATTCAAGGTTGCCAACTCTGTACCACAGATGTTTCTTGTGGTTTGTGCCGTATACTATTTCATCCAGCCCAAGGATGTTGGGATCATCAACCCAAGCACCAACGGATCGCCGAAAGAACCGCCTTCTCCAAGCCTGATTGTTCAACTTCTGACACTCATCATCCCAGCGGCTTACCTTGTTGGGATGGGAATGCAGTTGTGGTTCAATCGCCGCTCGAGGATGTTCGCCGGGCAGTATAGGGTATCTGCATTGCTAACCTTCATTTCCTATCAGCGGCCGCTTCTTATGGGAAATTCGAGAGTGGGAGCTGGCGATTTTGGACATCCTGGATTCTCGGTAGATGATCTGTTCCATTGGGTCGTTACGGCCGCTGCGGCCTGGCAGTCGTTCAAGTATCCAACAGTGAAGAAAGAAGATTGATACTGATCCGTGTTAGAGTTAGTTGTAGTATAGGGAGCCTTGAATGTACTGTATTTCCTAACTTCGGTCTTGACTAGTCGTAACCTGGACGCACTCGGTGCGTGAACGCCACAGTTTCCTGATCATTCCGAGCGTCAATTACTGCACTGCCCGGGCCACGGGTTGTCCATCCGGCTCGAAACCATCGGGAGGCCAACTTCCAGAGGAAGCGAAATGTGCTGCACATACTATCTGGATTGTATGTTATTCGACATGAAGATAAGTCCGTTAGTATTTCCCTACTGGTATATTCCGCTAAGGTCTCGTATATGCCGACGGTTCGAGGCGTTGCTATCTCTGTACCCCATGCCTCTCGAAATAGAGTATTGTCCTGATGTTCTTTTCTATGTTCGGCTAATAATTTATTCAAGTACATATTCCGAGACTTTTCTTGAGCCTTCACTCACCCACTCTCGTGTTTGCATTCGGACGGGTCAACCTCTGCATTTTCTGGATTCGGAAACTCGGCTACCAAAAATGTCTTCCCTACATCTACTCGAGTTGCGATTTTCAGTCACAGCTCATGCAATCATACCCAAAGGAGCCGGGCTTGCCAGTATTTATAAGTCTGTTGCCGAGTGGACTCATTCCTACTCTCGATGCCCTGTATCACGTACCGTTCCTTCATGGATCACTTTTCGTATCTCCAACGTAGAGTGCATGGATTTTCCCCCTATCATTCGCATTTCCCATTAATTGGATCTCAGACGGTACCACAGGGATTTCTCAGTACGTAATATAGGTATCCATTCACCTTTCCTGTAAATGTATGTGGAACCTCGATGGCGACCGAGGAAATCTGGTCCTAAAGGACCAAAAGTGCGTTCTTTTAGCGATGGCTTTGGTGCTCCACGCCCTTGTACAATTGCCATTACTCGGTATTGTTATAAATTCGTATCCCTAGTTACAGGCAAACGGATAGCCATTTGTGGCATGCTGTGGACAGAGGCGAGTTCTATGAGCAAGTCTTCGACCTACTGCCAGCAGAAGTGTAGTTACTACTATCTGCAGTGGCTCGTGGATAAGATACGGCATGCCTCATAAGTGGAGCTGGTCAGATATGCCATTAAGTGGTTCCCGTCCGGGAAGAGATCTCCTCAGCCAGATCATTGATCCCGACCTGAACCCTGCGTGCCTCAGGTGAGCTCTTTCAGCCTAACGCGTAGCCCTTGCTGCGATTAGATCTCGGACGTTACAGAGAGAAATTTAGTCAGCTCCACTTCTACTCCCCCTCAAGGCAAGGGAATGAGGTTAATTTACCATAAGCTGTACGTAGGTTCTCCTGAGGAGAATCATGGCAGGTATGTACGGCCCGGGTCGCCGAAGGCCGACTGGCAAATGTTTGGGCGCTTATTTCGTTCAATCGCAACTCAGTCTCGACTAGGCCGGTTGGCGATCCAAATGAGTCACACTCAATCAACTCCTGACACCGATAGCCAACCCACTCATTGATCGATCGTGATAATCATTGGCTCGGGGAATGTGAAGGGCTAGCGATTGATTCTCCCGAGTTCGGTGACACGCTCTAACTTCACTATGGCGGTGCTTCGCGTCTGACTCACACAACTTCAATCAGAGGCTATTTGAGAACAAGGTAAACGGGCGGTAGAAGAGCCAAGACGCAAGTGGTGATTTTTAGGGGGCAGACTCTACATAGAGGTCTCGACCTTGATGGCGTGTCAAGTAAATATAAATCGCCTGGCACTTCTTGTGTTCTTGCTTCCGCAACATTTGGCTGTGGGAATGGCTCAGTCCTAGTCAGGTGTGTCGCCTTCTAGCTTACCATTCGACGCCATGCCCTCAGTTTGTACTCCATCCTTCCGAGGCCGAGGAACACTTCGAGCTCGGAGTGACAAGATGAAACGTGCTGGACCTATAAACAGACCTAAGAGGGACCGCACAGCATGGGGAATGGTTACGTCGTGAGCGCCGTCGGTATCTCTGTTCTCCTTTAAGGAAAGCATACCACGCTATGCAGGACCTACCTTCATATATCGTGTTTCTGCATGCCTCCAGCTGTAGTAGACTATCCATCGCCCAGCAGGTCATGGGCCTAAATACAGGTGGAAAGTTGGCGTATTTCATAAACCTTGTGGATTCCACAAGGCGCTAGGGTCCGTACTCCTCATTGCCTCTCCGGATTTGCTTCCGCGCTCAAAGAGGAAGGCCAGAAACGACGTCGCCGGAACTGTGACGGGCGAACCACCGGCGTCAATTCAACGATCGGTGCACAAGCGCCCGTATAAATAAAATGCATTGGCCTTTCATCACGTATACGAAAACACCTTGAAAGACTGCGCGGGCTCTTTCCATTTTATTGGCTGATGGGCAGTGTGGAATTGCGCGTAGCATTGATACCAAGCTCAAGCAAGACCGGGCAGAACCTGCATTTCACAGCAATGCAGAGAACTCTGTTGCGTATCGAGTGCCGTTTTAATAGAAGCCACGGAACAGTTACCTTTCTTCCCGGAATCGAGGCTTCGAGATCCTTCGGTGTGGCGGCGGTCGCCCGAAAAGGAAAGCAAAGCAGGGTCGACCGGCCACGCGGAAACAATGAGGCTTGGTTCGAATCCCCACACATTCAAGATCTCCAGATGCCCGCTGGGAGGCTGGAAGATAAAAAGATCTTGTCTACTGGCGAACCCACGAACAAACGCTCCCGCTGATCTGTTGTGGGTCCAACAAGACGCCAAATAACGTTCCTGTTGATTCTTGTTCACACGGTCCATTGCCCGTTTGCTCCCACCAGCGGCGTCGGAGGAACATATAACCCTTCCTTAGACCAGGAGGCCCCTCTGCTACACCCCGCGATCCGGATGGCAGCCGCGATGGTCGACCGCCACCAATCTCCTCCGACTACCTGGCCAATGACCTGGCAGATGTCGACAGGGCACAATGGGAGCTCCAGCAGCCTCAACCAGCAGATGCAGCACTTCCAACCATACCAATCAATGCCATCGTTCGCCTCGTCTGGATACGATCTCCCGAAACACAACGAAGTGGAGATGACGCGCGACATGCTCCTCGACGTCCTCAACTACTTCTCCCAGCTCACCGCTCAACAATTCGGGAACAGGCCGATTCGGCTTGTGGTGCATGGTGGCGCCTGCATGCTCCTTCACGAAGGTCTCTACGCCCTTTCGAAGCAGCAGCAACAGATGTCGCCAGGGATGCCTGGACGAACCAAGACGCGGGACGTCGACTACATTCATCGCTCCTTCGTCAAGGAGATGCAGGGGTTGGGGGTTATGGATGCCGAAGCGAGGATCAAGGAATGCGTTCGTGGCACAGCGAGGAGATTCGGGCTGGGCCTGGATTGGATGAACAGCGATGCAGACATTGCACTACCGATGGCGCATGAGTGAGTGTTATAAGCATTTGTATGCAACGAATTGCTGAATGGCTGTGGACAGCCCTTCTGGCAATGTATACGACCCCATCTACGCCGCTTCTGTGCAAGATAACAACATCCACCTCCATACCATTTTCCGGTCACCGAATGGCTTGCTGACCCTCATCAGCGTTACGCCGTTCTGGGCCGTAGCCCTGAAGTTGGTGCGCTATTCTAAATGGGATCCTGGCGACATTTGCCTGTTACTTCGGTGAGTTTTCTCCTCCGCTATCAGTTTGTGTCAAGTGTGCGAAGGAGCCAGTATTTTCGGGTTTTGCCCATCCCACCCGCAGATGGCGATTCATAGACACTATGCGGCACTCGTTTTCTGGTCTTAGTGTGCCTGAATGCTCGTCTGGTAATTTTGGACTGGGTTACTATTATCTGTGCCCTGTGGCACATGCCTGATCATGGAACGTATTTTGGCGCGCGATTTGGTCTGTCTGTTTTGACTATTCTCTCATCGCGTCACCTCCTCCCCTGCTGTTCGCGTTGCGCGTGACTAACCACTCCCTGGATGATAGGAATGGCCAAGTGCTCTCCCACACGAACTGGAGCCCCGAATCGCTCGAGAGCTGGCTTCAAACGAGCTGTTGGGCGATGGGGTACGCGCAATACGACGGGGTCAAGAAAGGCCAAATGCGATCTCGCATTGAGCATGCCATCGATCAGCTTGCCATCTGGAACCAGGCCGTCGGTATAGGTAACACCCGTGCCAATGGAATGGGTAGAGAGGGTGCAGTGTTTGGCCGAACACCCAGTCAACACGATGCAATGGGTGGTGGGGAGGTCGTCGGTGGCGGTGGCGAGACGGCGACATCGAATGGGTGGTGGTCGAGCTTCGGGTCCACGCCGGCGCACGAGGCGAAGGCCATCGCTCCACCTGCCCAAGCTGCCTTCCCAGCTGCCGTAACTATGTCTGTTCCTCCGAACTTTCCCCCAGATGCCGTCAACGTGCGCGACTGGGGCTGTGACGACAGTCCTGGGTCGGATTCGCAGAGGATGAAGAAGGACAGTGACTCTGGCTACCACTCGTCGAAAGGTCGGAGCCGGTCGCGGAGCAGAGGTCCAGGAGAGATCTTCATCCCACCTGGTGCGGACGACGATGACGATGACGGCTATTACTCGTATGGCATGGCCGCTCCTGAACCACAAACACGGCAATGGCTTAATCCCAACCACGCCCCTGTGTCGCAAGCCGCGGCTCGACCAGTCAGTCGCAACCCCAGCCCTGAACGATACAGCCATATCTACGCTCCCAATCCCGTTCCCAAACCAGCCCCGAAGTCCGCTATGCGGCCGCCTGCCGTCGCTAATCCCTACTATGGCACACCTCAGCTCGGCGGGCAACGTCCTACATGGGCACTTAATGCCCCATATGACTATCGTGCCAGCCCGGCATTTGGCCAACAACAACAGCCCTATGGACTAGACTCGGTTAATCGCTCGATGGCTGCTGCCCTCCCGTATGGATATGGCCACCATAGAGGAGTGTCGCAGCCTGTTATTCCGCCCGCTTCGCAGTTGCAGAAGTCACAGAAGTCGCGGAAGAAGAAGGAAAAAAGGAAGGACAAGCAGCGTCAGCAAGACCGGTCCTCGAAGTGGAGTTTCAGGAGAACTCCGGATAGCGACTCGTCAGATACGGACTCGGACAACGAGGATAGCAGTGCCCAGGAGGTGCAAAATCGGGGACGAGCTCTCTATGCGGGTAGGCCGTGGCACAACCGATTCGCGTCCGATGCTGGACAGCATCTTACGGTACCTTCTCGGCCGGGTTCGCGCAACCCGTCTCCATCCCACGACCGCGATGATCAACCTGGTCCAAGCTGGCTGCATGCCTCGCATCCAGGCTCTCGCAATTCATCGCCCCATCCCAATCCCAACCTTCGGCAACCCCTAAAAGCCCGTCCGCCACCTTTAAATCTAACGCCGCCTCCTATGATACCAGCCGCTCTGCCACCTGCTCAAAACCAGTTCCAAGTTCACGATGAACAGCGTCAGACCTACGGGGCACCAACGCGGACCAACGCATCCGAACTGGCGAACTACCAGTTCGAGGAGCAGAGACGGGCGTATGAGCTCCAGCGAGCGCGCCAGCCGGAGCAGCAGATGCGTGAACAGCAATTGGCGCGGCAGATGGAAGAACAGATCCAGCAGGAAAGGTCGAGGGTCGAGCCCCTTGCTCGCCAGCAAACCGCCCCGGAGTATTACTATCACCAGCAACACCAACATCAACGGTATCACCAGCATTCGCAGCGTTTACGCCCTAGTGCGACCGAAATCTATCGCTGACTTTCAAGACCTCGCTGCCGCCAAGTGCGCCACAACGCTATTGCACAACCTACAACGCCATGCATCTTCACTCAAACTCAACCGCTCATTTGTACTCTATCGCCATATTTGCTCCAATATCCATTAAGCATATTCAAGCTCTTTCAATGCTCTCGATCTCATCTTTCTGTACCCCTACAATCATCTCGCATTCAGACTTATATATCGACTAGGCCTACACCATTATCAACGAACACAAACGCCGCCTTGGCCTACAGCTAATTCTATGTAACTTCGACCTTCCTTTGGCATAAGCCCACTGATTCCCTTTTGTATTTATACCCGCCAGTCATTCGAGTCGTGATAGGGAGTCCACTGTTGTGAGACGACTGCTTGTCGTTGGACGTTTACCTGTTGTCACTGCCTTACTCTTAGTTTAATACGAGTACGACGAGGCGATGTTTTTATCTAACTACTAAGTAGAACTGGCATCCCTTTTGTACAATTACGTTCACCCTATATATATATTCGTTCAACCCAGCGTTTCTCTTCAAATGACATGCCAGTAGAAGATATTCTTTGGTCAGAGAGATACTAATAGGTCTAAAAATAAACAAAGGCCTTAGCTAATAATACTTCAGTCAATATTCTTAAGCTAGCTTTCCTTCTGACTTCCACGTCCCTCAAACACGCATATCCTCATCTTTCTCGACCTTGATGCCAAAAAACGGCCATATATGCGCGGCGTGCAAGTCGGGAACGCCATCCTCCATAATGCCAAAATTAGGTCCCATTTGCCAAACGGCACGTTTCTGAACATTTTTCGTCAGCCTACTATCTTCAAACGCCTCAGCTGCCCTTGAACACGTCACTTACAAGACCGAGCGAGACTTTGATTGCTGGAGGAGCCGGAGTATAACGCCCCAAGGGCTCCGGTTTCGCCTTCTCGTCCTCTGCAGAATCGCCTGCAGAGGCTGCTTCGCGGCGCTGGATGAGCTTCACTATATTCTTGCGGCAAGCTCGGCCTATGTGCACATAATATAGGTTTAATTAGGCGCGAAATGTCCAGTTGATCATTCTCACCTGCGCATACGCGATATGCCCAGCAGCGATAGCGCCAAACGCGTCAGCGGAGTCTCCAATTGCGAAGATGTGGGGGTAGCCAGCCGTCTCTTCTTCCTCCCCCTCTACGACTGGCTCGGCAGGTTTCTCGTCGGCGGTAGGTGTTTCGTCATCGGCGAGTTTTTCGTCAGTCGAAAGCTTCTCAAGGTCGGACGTGACAGCAGCGATGTCCTGCTTGACCGGTCCTGTGGCGACTTGCAACGTTCTGAGAACCTGGATGAGCTTGTTCTCCTCGTTGATCGTTGCTGGGTCCATCGCTCTCATCAACCCGGTGTTTGGAGATTGGCCGATGCACAGAAGCTATTCGGTGTTCAGAGTTTAGCTCTCGACCTTCCCTTTCGCGTTCTAACGACGTACCAGCAGGTCTGCAGCGATTTCACGCCCAGTGATGGTTCGAACAACCTTCTGGCCACGCTTATTATCCTTACCCTTCCCGTCTTCGACCGAGTCCATGTCGAGGCGCTCACCAAGAATAACTTCGATATCCAGATTTTCACAAGAGCGGAGAACTAACAAAGGGTAGGTCAATCTCGTGGATGAAAAGATTGTATCACCTGTTCTCACTTTCTTCATGCATCTTGATGTCATATCTAGGCAGAAGCTGCGTGCGCGAATGGAGAAGGGTGACCTTCTTGGCAGGATACACTGACTTTATATCGGTCGCAAATTCTGCAAGAACGTGAACCAGTGTGATAGCGCGACAAATCTTCACTTACGGATTCCAAGCGCTCCACCACCGACGACGAGCACAGTCAGAGAATCCTTGATAATTTTCTGCTTCTCCAAGAACCAATCGCACCCTTCCGACTTGAGGCCACGGTACACAGCAGAGGCCACTTTTGACTCAGGTATGGGTTTGCCATTCGCACAAGTTCCCCAGAGGTCGAGCGGCGGCGGAAGATGCGCACCAAGCGCGTAAATCGCATAATCGAACGCAATGGTCTCGGTCGGGAAGCCGAGTTCCGGGAAAGCTCGAGATAAGGTGATGTGGGTTGGCCTTATTGATGTGACTGTTGCTTGAAGGTGTACATTTTGCTCAGGCTTGGGAGGATCGACGAGGAAGACCTTGGTATAGGGAATGACTACACGAGAGGTCAGTTGTATCAATAGAAAAACCCATCTCAGGAAAACTTACACGCTTTGTATTCGTGGCCAGGAAGGACGGCAAATCGAGGCATCACATATACATCTGCGAACGACAGAATTGTTGAGAGAGACTTTTAGGCAAAAATTTCTTTGAAGCTTACGGTTCGCGTGGCTGGTGAATCGAGGAGTTAATAAGTTTCTCGACGCAAAGAAGAGTAACTCACGAATTTCTATCGATTAGGATGACTTTCCACCCTTCAGGCAGTGTCGCAGCAAGTACCTGACCAGCATGAGCGCCTTCGAAGAGCGCGATGGCCTAAATTTAGCCCTCCACTGCCGTGAAGCGCGAAAGGAGGCTGGGCTTACCGCCGTAGGCAGCACCAAGGACAACAACTGTTTTTGTATCCTTCGTAGGGGCCATTCCACCACCCATAGCTCTATGAACGTTTAGCGAAGGTATGATATAGTCGGATGAAGGGTCGAGAAGAAAGGACGAAGGTGGTTCGATTATCAGATAAGACGAGCTCTTATCTACCTCGTCACGCTCCACTGATCCGTCTTCGATTCCGATAATCCCGAGTTCTGCCGGCTCACTTACGTCTTTCATCGAGTCCAGCGAGGTCGAGTGCTGTTCCCGACCAGCTCCCGAATCCGACAGGACAAAGTCATATGACAAGGTGTCACTGAAGCATTTTTCCTTCAGCTAATGCGTTCTCTGAACTTTGAAGACGACCACGACAATAGGAAAAGTATGTATGTATATTTTAAAATTTAATAACTTCCTAACGGCTATAATCGTGGTTGCGCTTTCACAGTGCTGGATGGTCGGCAGACTACGAATCAGACACTTGGGACGCATCGCGTATCGAAAGCTGCAGACCTCTGTGTCAATGCTACTTCATCCACTTTCATCACGGCCAGCCTAGTCACAGCGAGCGTTAAAAATTCATCATGCCCCTCCCCGAGTCGTTGATTTCTTGATCATCCGTCCCTCTTTCGAAGTCCTCATCTTCCTCGCTTTCCTCGTCGCTGAAATCTTGCACGTCCTCTTCCCCCCTTTCGCAACCCTGTCCAAAGCTTTAAAATCTTTGTGAAAAATATCATTTAAAAAGTCACTCGCTGTCGAAATCACCATTTTCGTCCTCATTAGCATTCTCCATCACCTTCACCCTCTGAGCCAGATCTTCGGTCTGTATGAGATTGCCCCATGACCTTGATCAAATCGGTCCTGCCTTGGTCTTCACGAACAATGCTGATATCAATTCCAACATTGACGAGTGCCTCTATCTTCGCAAGTACCTGCTCCTCCATCAGGACCGTACACCACTCAGATATTTCAATTCCCAGGAATTTCAGGGGCCGTTGGCGACATTCATCGGATGCAGGGGGGAGTGGAAATACCCTAGGAATGACTTCCCATGCGAATTCGTCCTCTCCTGATAGGCAAAGAGACTGAAGATGAGGGAGGAAAGTTGGTTTGCCATCCTCTGAGAGAGCAGTCGTGGCTAGGAAGTCGTGTTAATGAGAGCCAGTGATTCTGGAGAGGGAGCTCCCTGACAGATTAAGGTGAGGTCGGTTGTTGCTAGCTCGTCATTGTCTATCATCGGCAATTTCGTCAAGGGAGAGGAAGAGCGCTGCAAGAGGAAGCGCAAAGATTCAGTTTGCTCATTGCCATAAACCAGCACCTTCAAGGCAAGGAGAGACAAGGCGCCGACCAGTGCTTCTGATATTTCGAGCCCGTCGGTGTTAATCTTCAGCACCGGGAGAAGTTGGGGGACGATATGCTTGCTAGGTGAAGGAAATTGTTGAGTGTCGCGAACGTGGCTAAGGTCACAGCTGAGCATTCGAGGCGCGACTTGGAAAAGTTGAAGACAGTAGGTGACGGACATGAATGCACCAAACTTGACGTGGGTCGTGTTTTCCCAGTTGATACCTAGGGTGATTCCTTCTCAATGGTGTCCAAGCTGCATGAAGACATGAAATTGCTGACAAATCTTGCGTAATGTCCCATCTGGACAGCGGCCGGGATGGACGTGCCCCAGAATTCCTTCCTTCCGATGCGCGACCAGCGTCAACATTGCTGGCATACCGTTTCATGGGGCATCTAATTCCTTCCAGCGATCGGAACGCTCGTTCAACGCGCTGGTAATGGGGGTATAAGCACTCGACATAGTGAAAAATTCCGCACGTTGGCAGACAATTCGGGTGGAAAGGTGAAGGCTCCCAGAACGTGCGAGCCACTTTGCGACTGCCCGTGCTTGATAATCGACATATCGCCTGCGGAGACGGAGATTAAGCTGATTCCACAGCTGACACAAATATCCTTCAAATGATTCGGGGTGAAACACAGGCGGAACACGGTAGTTCTCAGAAATGCTGAACATGAAGATGCGGGAGATGAGTTTGAGAGGGAGTTTGGTGGTGAGGAGGTCGTGAACCTTGTTTATCCTGGCTTTGAATGAAGGCCGCAGAAAAAGCAGATCGTCGAGAGCATTCCTAGTTTCGCGAATCTTCTCTTCCAGGATGGTGAGATCCAAACATGGCCTACACTGCTCATCTTCCTTGAATCGGCAAGGCGGGAGAATAGTATATGGCGGGTCTCGGGACGACCAATTCGTGAGGCCGCACAGGGAACATCTAGATCCAGATATCTTTTGGATCGAAACAGATAAAAATGAGTGGGTCTCAGGCTAGAAAGGTGAATTAACCGTATTATAGAACCGAAAGGACAGGACTCACAGGCTACAGCAGGTTTCATGCAGGTTTCGTGGAGAAAGAATGTTGGGTTGGGGCATTTCGGTTGGCTTACGTAACGCATGATCAATTGATCCGCAAGCAGGGGCAAACTTTCATGACGCGTCGACGCGTCCGGGCCCCTATGTCGGCTAAGTGGATGCTGTCCTAGAAAAAAGTAGTTCGTGCGAGGAGGCGTGGAGCTTGTTTCCTGTCACCAATACGATGGTGAGGTTGCATGGCTCAAAAGACGCACTCTGCTTGGATTGACTTCATACATATATAGAGAACAACGAAAAAAAGTCCAACACCGCCCCTAGTAGCCTAGTTGATTGCCTGTGTACATATATGCATACCGGTCATAAATTTAAATCGTACAAATCAAAGGGGAAGTGAAGAGAGGACAGGGGGGGAGGAGAAATCGCACACGAAGTTAGGAAGAAGGGAAAGAAGGTAAAAACCTATGCGACGACATGATACTCTTACACGTACAACAAAAAGTACACTGGTTGATCAACAACATCGGGTGGCATTTATTAGCACCCCGCCAAACTTGAACTTCACTTCTTATTCACAACGACGTCTTCTGTTCGGTATTGCCTGCGACCTTTACGCGCATGACTACCGCCCATCGATCGTCCGTGGTTTCTTTCAGCTGAATGCGAGAGCAGACCAGGTGACGACCGCGCCAATCGTGACCGCTGTAGCCGTGTGCGCGACGATCGAGGCGAAGCGCCTTGCGCGCTTCCTAGGTCGGGGGCCATCGACGACGACAACACGAGTCTTGACGAGGTCCACATCCATAGGAACGAAGGCGGCGGTAGGAATGGGGGCAGCAGCACCTTCATCCATCTCCACATCTTCCCCTTTGAGGCCAGCCGCGACGACGCTATTCTCACTCTCTTTCTCAACAGCGCTCACACACTTCTCACTCGCACCACTGCCTTCCTCGTTCTCGTCCGTATCATCGCGCTTCCGCTTCAACGACGTCAGAACGGGGGTCTGCGGGTGGACGCACGCGGCATCGGTGAAATGGCGCTCAAAAATCATCTCAGAAGTTACGCATACCTTCGTTGCCTGCATTGCAGCAGCAGCAGCTTGTTGGGCTTGCTTAGCCTGGAGGGCGAGAGCCTTCACCTCGGCCTGCGCCGTGGCGATATCAGACATGGCTGCCTCACGCAGAACCTTGATCGCCTCGAGTTCTTCTGTCGCCTGCTGCTGCGTGGTTTTGCGGAGGAGCTTAATCTCTGCGATTGAAAGGCGAAAGAGAATGTAGAGTTAGGGTTGAGATCAATATGAAATGAAGAATGAAAGGGAGAGGTGTGATAGACTTACCATCAACAAGAGAATGAAGGGCCTGCACGCTCGCCTTGACGTCCTCCCTCTCAGTCAACACCGGTGCTGGTGCTGGACTCTTCTCCATTGGCTCTGGAGTCGTGAGTCGCGATGGTATGTCGTCCACCCTCTCCTGGATCGCCTCCAATTCGCCCTGCAGGTCCGGGATGTCCACATGCTGGATTGTGTCCACCTGATCAAATAGGGATGTGTACTCCGCATTGACCTCCGCGAGCCTGTCATCGAATTGGTTGAACCGATCGGTTATGAGCTGCAGAGTCGAATTGATGCGCGATCTGTGCTTTCGACGATGGTTATGGAGCCTCGCGAGGTCGTCCTGTATCCTCTTCAGCGTCTGCTCCACGGTCCTCATCTGAGATTGCGTGACAACAGGGACGGGGTCTGCGGCTTCGTGATGGATGCTTGTAGGTGAGGGCGGAGCAGGTTGCTCTTGAGGCAAAGGGGTTTCAGGGACGACGACTTCGGCGCGGGCTTCACCATCCTCTGACAGGTTTCCATTCGAGACCTTGGGCGAGTGACGAACACAAAGGACGGGTGACAAAGGCGGAAACTCGATCAGAGGAGGAATCGAGGAAGGAACGATGATCTCAGGGGGTGGAGACGGGCTGGCTAGGTCCATAGGGGAATTCGACCTTGACTTATCGCCGGATCCATCAGAGACTTCATAAATGTCGTGCTGGGACGCATCAAATCCAACAGGGAGGAAGTCTGGGAAATTGGACGGTGGTACATCCGCCAAAGAGAGCATCGACGAAGCGAAACCTGGCGAATTGCGTCTAGGAGATGTCGGTACCGAGTCGGGGCCAAAGGAGCTGAAGAAGGAAGTCATCTGCGCCAGAGGTCGTTCGACGATCTCGGTCACGGACGGCAGCCTCCTCGGGGTCGTGGGTTCATGTGCTGGGGGCAAAAGGCGCTTGAAGAGGCTGAAGGTATTAAAGGCTTGGCCGATGGTCGCCAAGTTGCTGCTGGGGGTGTTCTGGGATTCAGTAGGTTTGACATTTGAGGGCGGCGGCGGGATCTCCTCGATGTCAGAATAAGCGCCGGATTGATATGACTCATCAGAGGATGAGGGCGACGAATCCAGGCCGTATCGACCAGAATGCGGCTTGGACATGGATTTGTCGGAGGTAGGAGAGGCGGTGGATGGCACCACGAGAGGCCTGAAGGTAGATGTCGACTGAGTGTTGCCGGAATAAAGGAGCTCGACTCGCACGACTACTGGGCCCACACATTCGTCGCCCTTGCCAACAGCCTTCCCGAAGGTAATGATATCACCATCGTTCAGAAGGGTCGATGTCTCTGACTTCAGCATGGTCGAGAAAAGCTCCCCTGACTTTCGAATGTGAGTCCCGTGGTGTGATCTTTCATCGATGATGTAGACCTGCGAGACATGAGGTGAGTGCGGTATGAGGAGTGATAGAAGGAGGGATCGTACATGACCACTATCTGAGAAAGTGATCCTGGCATGTTTCCGACTGACCACCGCACATCGAAACATGGCGTTGTCGGTATCCTGTGGCCGCCTGTCGGGCTCGAATCCCGACCGGCGACCGATGTGCACTATGGACGAGTTGGCTCTCCGGAAGGTCAAGGAGTGCCCATCGATCAAGCCGCATTTCTCAACGTGCAAGACAACACCTACAAAAACAAGATAATAGATCAGAGGGTGCTCCTAGCTGAATGTCGGGAGATGGGTATCTCTCACCCGTAACTGGGCGCTGGACTTGAGGTGGGGTCTGAGGGTGTCTTGTGCCTAAGAATACGATCTCGTCGTCCAATAACATGCTGAAATATCAGTACTTGGATGCCACACTAGGTGGCGGTCAGTATATTGCGGTGCAGCACTGGAGACTATATGGTTAAAGGAGAGACGCACTGCGGCCTGCAGCACGGGCACTCTTTATCTCCACGGCAGGATCCGACCCCTGTACGGCTAGGCCAAATATTTGGACCGCCGGAATGACTCTGGGTGAGGTGAGGTGAGGAATACCCGGCATGGTCCATTTCTGAACACCGGGGTGACTATCTAATCTCGTGAGTCTGATCATCAGTTCATTCCTCACGACATTGAGCACTGGAAGTCTCATCGATGGAGAATCCGTTGGGCACACCCAAATCCAGAGGCGCTGAGTTAGACACTCAGTTCCGAGAGAGGCGGCACATCAAAAGAATCAGGAGCGCACAAAAATAGCTCCCCGTTCACGGGGCACCAGTCTTCTAGGCTCAGAAAGCACCTTGTTCCCGAAAATGAATGTAACAGAAATCCGTACGACTGAAGTACAACTACTGAAATAAAAACGAGAGCAGAGAGAATAGCCAATAAGATGGAAGGAAACCACTATGACCCAACATATTTCTTCTTTAGATCTCTTGTCAGGGCTCGCAACATCGCAACAGTGACGGTCGGAGTCTCCGTTGGAGCCAGCGAGACTGTGCTATTAGTTGGAGACGGGGATTGCAGTCCACCATTCATGTACGGCGTTGACGGAGGGCTACGCTCCTCATTCGTCGTCGAGGACATAGATGCCGAGAGACGAGGGCGTTTCGCCTCGGGACTACATCAAGGTCTCAGCGTTTTGCGCCAGTGAAAGAAAGTATACATGAAGAACTAACCTGCCTTGTTCGCTCGTTGCGACCGAATAGCTTCGTCGTTTCGGTGACCGACGAACAATAAAGTTGTACGCCTGCAACAACCTCATCTGATGTGGCCTCATTGCCTCCTTGAATTCCTCCAGCGTCGAGTTGACCTTGGTGATAAGTACGGGCCTCTCCGAGGAGATAGCAGACGGGTGAAGGCGCTCAAAGCGAATTTGGGTGATTTCGAACAGATGGTCAAGGAAGATTCGCACAGGAAATTCTGCTGGATCGTTAGAACCGGAGAGGCACCAGAAAACGGGGCCAACATGAACATACCCTGACCAATGTTCCGATGAGACTGAATGTCCATGGCGATCATCCTCGCATCGTCTCGGGAGCTGAGACTCGACAGCCAGTCGTTTACATCATCATATGTTGATCTGACAGAAACATGAGCGGCCAACTTTTTAGAAGCAGGCGAAACAATGGCACGCACTCGCTGTCATCGAGCTGGGTGTAATCGAAGGTTGGTAATGGGTCCTGAAACGGGCCCACATCCAACAACGAATGCACCGATTGAGAAAGAGTATTCAAAATCGAGATGGAAGCCTGTACGACTTGACCATAGAGGTTCCAGTTGACTAATTATGTGGTTAGCCAAATGAATGGGAATTAAACGCTATGATCCACTCACTGTGACCGCTGACCGCACAGTTCTCCATCCACTCAGTGACGAATGTCCGGAAAGAGGACTCGAAAAGCTTGAATACGCCGTTGGACGACAACGATTGAACAAGTTTGCCTTCCGTGTCAAGGTTCATGGAGCTCAGGACGCCATTGAGCTTGCTGTCTAGGTCCTTCGTGGCTGAGGTCATGGTGAACGCTTGGCAACTTTGGAGGACAGACTCAGAGACGAGGCGATTTGCCTGAGGGAGCAGATGGCGATGATGAGCACCCCTGACGAGAAAATCCTAGGAAACACCTGACCATATCAAAGAAGTCCGACGCCGGCGAGGCTTGATCTTCTTCCGCCCAGCAGATGATAATGAGAGAAGGAATGAAATGGCGGTCAGAAGGGAGAGTCTTGATGAGTTCTCTTAAACGAGAACAATCGTCCAATACACGGTATTTTCTGGTCCGAAAATTGTCAGAAACCCCATAGGAGAGAAAACAAACAGGCAGGAAACTCACTTTTCCAAATCATCACCAACATCTCCCAGCGGCGTGCACTCAAACACCGCTACCCCAGGATATCCTCTCTGATCAGGCGCCCGTGCAGACGAGAGCGGAATCGCAAAGAACGATTCCGAGACCCATGTCCCCGAGTTTGGCATGTCGAACTTCTTCTCCAGCCATATCGCCGTGGCGTCGCTCTCCGGGTTGAGGGATAACCAGATGTCCCAAGGCAGCTTTAGTGTGGACGGGTTCACGGTCTTGATATGTTTGCGGATGACCTGCAGGAAGGAGCCTTGCGCCCACCGAAGTTCGTGCTCTTCGTGGTTCTGGTTGATCGATGGGAACGTGACACCGGAGGAGCGAGAAGGACAGGACCGAGGAAGGAAGGAAGGCGATAACAGTCAGGTCCAGGCTTGGAATCGAACAGGAACGAAAATAATCTGCACCTCTTTGAATCTCTTCGCGAGCTCTTCATCCCTCCTCGGCGATTGGTATTCGGCGATGATACGTTTCCTTGCACGTTTCCTATGCGGAGACATATCGACCTCACCATCAGCTGAAACAGCGCCGTTCGTTGATATTCGTCTTCTCTTCTCCAGCATACCGCCGTTCCTTGACGTTCGAAGAGGCGTTGAATGCCGCGTCGATGCTTGTGACTGGGATTTCTGGAGCTTGTGTCGATAGTCATCGCTCGCCCTACAAGCTTCATGCCAGGCAGCTCTATCGACAGCGCGCTTCAACCACCGCCCAAAGCATTCCTTCACAACTAGGCTGCCCTGTGCGAACACCAGCGCCTTCTTCTTCATTTCCTCGACCTCTTCCAGGTCGTCGTACATCGACCAGTCGGGGGCCTTGCCTTTTCCATTCTTGCTAGGCGAAGGAGAGGTTGGCCCAAATATCCTCGAGTGCTGAGGCGTGGATAGTGGTGTAAAGTTGTGGAAAGGTTTCGCTTCTGTGCTTGTTGGGGTGCCAAAGACAAGAGGGCTGAGGATTTCCTGGTTGCTGAAAGAAGGCGATGAACGTGACGGTTCCAGAGCACTTCTGAGATGCCCTAGGAGAGGGTTCGGGGGTTGGGTGATAGTTGTCGGGGTCGAAGGTAGAGAGATAGGGACCTTCCTTGTCAGAGGTGGAGGTACTCTAGGAGAAGGTACTGCTGATAATGTGGAAGCAGAGTCGACGGAAGTGTTGGTATCGATCTTCAGGAGAGGTGGTGCGACGGGCCGATTAAGTGGAGGTGTCGTTGAAGTCGAGCCAGGTGGAGATGGTTTAAAGAAAGGCGACGATGTTTGTGTCGACGAACTGGCGGTCGAGAAAAGAGTAGGATCAGTCGATGTGGTGGGTAGAGTAGACGTGAAAGCAGGTAATGAAGGTGGTAGACTGGTTGTCGTAGTACTTGAACCACTGACAGGAGGAAATGAAGAGGGCTGAGAGAAGATATTGGAAATTGATGGTTGAGGGGGCGTAAATAGAGCTGCCTTAGCATTCAATGACGACTTCCGTGCTGGTGGTGGAGGAGCCGCGGAAGAGTTGTCTGTGGTGCCATTGGAGAATGGCACACCGAAAATATTCGTAGATCCTTGTGACTGCGGCGCGGCATGTGTCGAAAGGGGTCGAGGTGCATCAACGTGTCTTGCGGCTGCCCATTCTAATTAGGACGACAACAACCAGATCCCACAATAGCAACAACATACCAAAAGGGTTTGAAGATGCAGCTTGAGAGAACGCCCATGAATCTGGTTTCTTTGTGAACATATCAGAGCCACTGAAAGGTGGAGGAGCAGGAGGAGCTGTGGTGGATGAAGATGGCGTTGCCGAAGGTAGGTCAAAGGTGCCAAACACAGATTGAGGTTGCGAGGAAGTATTCCCGAACGGCGAAGGCGCAGGTGCAGAAGTTGTCGTCGAAAAAGTCCCGCCTCCAAAGACATTGCTCGTACCGCCAAAGACGTTTGGCTGCGAGACCAAGCCTGCAAATGCACTTTGAGCGACGGGAGGGGGAGCTGTAGTTGGCGCGGCGGAAGAGGCAGAGGGAGTGAAATTATTGGAAAGCCACTCAGTGGAACTTGGTTTGCGGGGAATTGGAGCAGCTGGCTCAGGATCAGCAAGGAATTCATCCACATCCCCCTCTTCTTCGTACTCTTCCGCATCATATCCGTCTCCGTCCTCCATTGGATCCTCGGCAACTCCATCATAATCGTTGGAGGCTGGTGCTTCGTCGCCCTCTTGGACTGAGGAAGTCGACACTCCGTCAATGATCTCTGGGAGGCTGAGGTCACCTTTGATGCCTTCAATATCGTCGATGGTGTCTTTGCCGAACAATCGCTCCAGGATGCAGGCGACCAGGTAAACCATTACGGTGCTACCCTGCTCGTTCAGCACAGCAGCTAGCTGCCCGAAAATTTGCATGCCTTCGGCAGCTACGACAAGTTTTGAAGTCTTAGTAATGGGCGCACTGTGACTTTGAACATGTAAACGGAACTCGGTGACCAATTTGAAGACGGGATGGGAGAGTATATGTTCAGGGATATCGTCATGGCGCTCCTTCTGATCTCGGATATGAATGAGCCTATGGTAGACGCGCATTTCGAGTTCGGTAGGGGATTCGTATCGGCCACGTTGATCCTCATAGAATTCCTTCAGGCTTTGCAGAGCTGAAATGTTACAATAGACATAAGCAGAGTGGAAGCACCATTTGAGATACGAGAAACCTACTGTTCATGAGTTGTTGCTCCTCCAGCGGGATTGAAAACCCTGGTCGATCTCGCTCAAAGTGGAGAGCGAGAATGTGGAAGCGAGCACAGCGGTCGTGGCATTCAATTGCAAGAGGTCCGGTGATATGTTGCATCGTGAAGTCGTTGCGAACTGCTCGAGAACGATCTCGGATAAAATTGAAGGTGGCAGAGAAACCTCCTCGTGGCAGAAGATCATGGAAGAGGTAATCGAGTGTTCGCTGAAACGACGACGTTGAGACAAAGAAAGGCAAAGGATGACGGGGATATCGTTACTTTGAGAACTCGCGGCGGTCGTAGATCGGAAGGCAGGGTTTTGTCGCCAGCGGCGCGCTCATACATCTTCACAGCGCGGCTGTGGTCAATTCTTTTCGTGCCGGGAATCTTAAAGGATAGGAGAGTAGTTTTCGTCAGCCCAAAAAAGCCATCATAAAACGTACTGTTTCCCATTCGAAGAGGTTGTTCTCGCGCTCTCGTCTGTACCGCTCAAACCGAGGGCACATATCCATACATGTCCCGACGATGGAAATTGCATCCTCCAACCGCTTGGGTACAAGTGGGTCATCCATCTTTCCTTCAGCAATGGCCTTCTTTCGTTCGATTTCGCGAGCTTTGACGAGCTCGAAGGGGGTAAGCATAGACGAATGAACCATAAACGCAAACTGACCTCTTGGTAGAACTTCTCCCGTTCCTCCGGCGAATCGAGTTCAGGTTCGTGAATTTCCTGGAACCCTTCATCCTCTTCCCCGTCCTCGTCAACTTCCCCGCCCTGCTCTACCTCTTGGTCTTCTTCATCGATGATTTTATCGACGTCTTCGTCTTGGGCGTTCGATTCCGTGGGTTCATTGACAACGGCAGGTGAATGTGGCAGGGATGGTTGATTCAACCGAAGGGAGACATTGTGGAATTTAGGTGCGCCTCGTGTAACACCTCTTCCCCTTCCTCCACCACGATGCCCCCCTCTCTCCCATCGCTCACTATCAGAGTTGTTGGGTGTATGGCTTCGCGACCCTCCATCCGGTGCTGACCAGTGCTTGCTTCGCGAGTGCGGTCTTGCTCGACCTCCCGAGTCGTATGATGCACCTCCGCGTGCACGACCTCCTCTCGGGAACGAGGAACCGTCCATGGTTGTGGATGTTGACCGAACGGTCGAGCAGCGTGAAGGTCAAGGTCAAGTAAATGAGGAACAAATAACGATAAATAACCTTTGTTTATTCCTCGCCACGACCCTCAGCCTCATGTTCACCGTACCAATCGCTTTCCCGTCGTCGTTCAATGTTCAAAACCAGCCTTTCTGACAACCTCATTCGCTGTAAATCAGAGTTGTCAAATAATTCCTTCTCCGCAAAGGCGTTTGCAGTCTAGGGCGGTAGAAAATATCCTGCGTCATAGTCCTGGCTCCTCTGACATCCACATTCATATCTTTTGGCGTGTGGTTCAAGGATTCCTGGTTTGGTTTGCGGACTGAACCTCGTCTTTCACATAGGCGCACAGAAATCTGTCTATCTGGGAAGGAAACCTCAAGAGGCAGTACGCAAGTACGGTGTCGAGGCGCAAGGCCCAGGCAGCACGTAATTTTGGGCCTACTACGTTTACATCCCAGTAGTACTACTCATTCTACAGTCAAACCCCTCTTAACCCATACCTCTCGTAAGCCATACACCCCCATAACCCATAGGTTTTGGCCGCTATCAAACCGAAATTTACACCAAAATTGACCCCTCATAACCCATAACCTCCCATAACCCATACTCTGGGCCGTCCACCGAGGGGTATGGGTTAAGAGGGGTTCGACTGTACTACCAGAGGGGGCGCGGGTGTGTGCTTTCAAAACATCTAGAATGTCCAGTCCGGTCTTGGTGCTCCGATATTCCCTCCGTTCTAAATTAGTCTGTTTTCACGTACGGGGTCCGAACCGTAAGGTAGAGAGGCCATCAGGAACCAGCTAGCTTATATAATTGTATTATATAAGCGCCAAGGGTGGCAAAATCTCGCTCTCGAAAATTTTCAAAAATTTTGACCCTCGGAATACAAGTCAGAGTACAGTAGAATATTTACTTGGACCCCCCAAACCTCTTTAAGAACTCCTCCTTAAGTTTAGCAACAACAGACGCAGGAAGTGTGCGATGGCCGTGATATTTCCTGTTTGCCCACGCTGCCTCGGGGCCTGTAAGTCCCTGGAAGTATCCGTTGATAAATCGAGCAGCGCGATTGGCATATCTAATCAGCGCGTTAGATCCATTTATTGATGGAAGTGAAAATAAACACTCACCGTTTGATTGAAACATCAGGAACATCGTCGAGGCAGGCAAGTACATTCCTCTCCATCTCCTTTATATCAGTTGTCTTGGGGCTATTCCGATACCGAAGCTTTGCTGCCCCCCAATACTGCTCAATGAAATTGAGTTCACAGTGATATTTTGGGTAGAAGTCACAAATGTGACCGCGGGAAGTGATTAACTCTTCAAGGCGAGACTTCTGATTTACGAAATCGGGCTGTGTGAATAGAAGCCGTCGACAGCAGCAGTCCGTCTTCCCAGGCTCACACTTGAACCCCTCACACTGCGCGTTGAGCCCCCGCTGTGGCCACAGACTGCGCTCCTGGATAATATTCTCCATCCCTTTAAACCAGCCCGGCATGGTGGGGTGATCATCTGGGTAATAGAAGTCTTGGATAGTGCTGTGCTCACCGAAGCAGGTGGTCCTCATCTTTGGGCCATCTTTGTGATGTGTCCATGTTGCATGGGCATTTTTGGGCATTTTCCGAGCAGAGAGGGCATCCATTGCCCGCTTTTGGTGACTCGGTGCATTGTCAAACAGGAAAAGACCAGTTGCAAAGCCATTGGTGAGTCCCTCAAAAATGTCAATAGCATGATCCACTTGACTGATCAGATCGTCATTGTCGAAGTAACCATCCCGATTCTTCCCCGCTCTGAAGAGGATACGTGCCTCGCTTTTTTCACTCGATGATCAGCCTTGAGTGGTGGATAATCATTTGAATGTTACTCACTCATCTCCGTCTTTTAGCCGCCCCCAATCAGGTGTTAAGAATTCGGACACCATGATCGATGGCCCCTCTCCTTTTCTCTCCATTGTCGCCTTTTCTTGGAAGTGGGTCCACTTTGTCTTGCGTCTGTCGTTTTCATAGAACATTGATTCATCGTGTATGACCAGGATCAAGCGGAAGCGGCCGATTTGAGGGACAGGGAAGCCAGCTGGTTTAGAGAGTACGTTGCCATCATTGTCATAAATAATGAAACGCTTCTCATATTCCTGCCAGCGTGACACGAATGCTTTCCGATAAGCAACCACATCCTCCCTTTCATGGCCATCAATGTACATGCCATTCCGTTTGCGGGTATATCGCCAGTTCAGCTTCTTCAACCAGCGTCGAGCCGTTCGAACGGTGATTCCTCGTGCCTTCACCCCAAGCCGCTCCTGGACATCCTTTGTGGCAACGTAGTCAACAATGTCCTGTGCCCGGATGTAGCCATCTTTTGCCTTTTCTGTCAAGTGTAGCTGGATATCCCGGGCAAAGTCTTCATCATCGAGGATTGAGGAGTTGTAGGAGCCATATCGGTGAAGGGGCAGTTTCCCAGATTTCAAAAACTGACAGATCCACTTTCGTAGGTTGCGTGTGTGATTGGGTCCTCGTCCTGCAGCTTTTGCTGCAATCAGGGAAGCCTCCCGCCATGTATATGAGAGCTGTGAATCGAGATAAAGATTCAATGTCGCAACCATCCCTGTAATTCGGCTTCGGAAGAACACATCAAGCTTCTTGTCTTTGCTCTTGACGGTGAGTTTTGCGAGTGCACGACGCAGCATAGGAAAGTCCTTGTAGCATAATCCATTCAACAGGACATCAGTCCTTGTCTCAGGGCTGTCATCCGAAGGGCAACATCCGTTCCACAACTGCTTCAGGAGCTCTTCGACTTCCTCCTTTGCAGATCTCACTCGTGTGTCACTCTGGGTGCCTGTAGTGTCATGCAACGGCCCCGGGTTCATCTAGTCTTGTTGGTTAGTCCTCGATTAAGCTTTTGACATGCATCTGGACTGACTTCATTGCTCAATTCATCTCTTTCAGGGAAGAGCCGGCCCATGCTTGCCTCAACATCTTCGGTGGGTGGGTCTTCAGGTGATGAGTCTGAGTCTGAACCAGATTCATCCTTGGAGACCGTCTTTTTGGCTACTGTGAACCAGGAATTAATAAATTGTTGTCCAGCTGCTGCTAACTTCTTCCGATTGAAGGCATGGAGCCGCTGGCTTCGTTTTGAGTTCCCAGTGTAGTGCTTTGGGCGGTTGGGCTTATCAGCTGCTGCTTCACGTTCAGCCTTTACAGCAAGAGCTTGAGCTTCACAGAGAACAGCTGCGAACTGATGAATGTCGCTCTCATTCTTCAGCCCCTCTAGTTCTTCCTCATCAACCTCCACCTCCTCCTCATCCTCTGGGTCCCAGTCCGAGTCTGAATCCAAGTCTTCATCCAGGAAGAAGAAGCCTTCTTTGAGGAGTGGCTGCCTGTTGCTGGTAGGGATGTAATCTTCATCTTCTGACTCGCTCACATCTTCTATAGTGGGTTTATAGGACCTTCTAGGGTGGTTGAGGTTCCCAAGACGTGCAGTAGTTGCTTTGGAGTGTCGGCCCATGTCTGAATGTGCAGAGAATGGTTATTTTGTTGCCATTTTGTGGCAGTTTGTGGCCTTTCCTCCTCCCCCTAAGTCACGTGTATGCATTATGTAAGCGGCAAAATCCACTGCGTCGCATTTTCAAAAAGAATATTGCCTTTACGAAAATGGGTTTTATTGCATTTACTACACTTTTCATGGTCAAAATTTTGGACCCTTATTTCTTGGCCCCAAAGCAAAAATTCAAATTATTTTTTCCAGGGATCTCTTCTTTGGAATGTATTTTACAAGTCTTAGCACTATGATGGGGAATTAATTCAGTGTTGAGGCTGCAATTCGAGGCGACATTGCAAAGGTTTTTGGATTACATAAGCTAGCTGGTTCCTGATGGCCTCTACCTTACTGCAGGATTTCGGAGTTTGAACCATCACGTGCACGTCACTCACAACCAAACAACGCGGACGCATCCCCTAATTAGCCTAGAAATATTTGTCCACACGTCCCTTGTAGTCACGTAGAATACATAAAAAATACTCATACATCATTATGCACATTTGTGATCATGTCATAAGGGAGCTACTTAGGCCTCTAGCGAGCAAGTATAGGTCTGGACAGACAAGTGGGCACCTCCTAACACCTCCTCCAGGACACTCTTGCGAGATGGCAGCCCCTCACCAAGTTGGGGGGCATTGCTGCCAAATTGAAAGTATATACCTGTATCCTGACGGTACAGATGTCGTGGCTGCAATGGCCGCAGGGGTATAGGAAAAACGGGTCGTAACTGATTCCTGGTGTTCGTTCTGGAGTCTGGACGACATGGTGTTTGCAATCTACAGAATTGTGAGGTACGATCATTTGATAGTAGAGTTAGGACTTTGTGTTAGGAGAGGCAACGTGACTGTTATGTCATGTCACACATTGCCTCTCCCTCTCGACCACGCCCTCGCCGCTGCCAGCGGACTCGAGGCTTGCTCAACGTGTGCTATACACCAGCCGCATTTTATTTTCATGATAAGTCTACATCTTCCAGTCAACGTAATCCTCTTTCCATGCCTTCTATCCCCATCAACCATCCATACTGTCAACATCCAACATGGGACCTCAACATAAGTCAGATGGGTTTTTTCTGCACAAAGTGACTGGGATTCGTGGACAAGATAAGTACTACTATGCCACATTATCAGCTTACAACGCCTTTAAACCCTAGTTTCATTGCGCCCAGCCTGAGAGGCCGCGCCGCGTAAGCCCAGTTCGCGGTTGAACATCGTTCCCGCTCTGGCCATCCGCCAAACGCCATCATACTTGCATGACGGCCGTTCCTGCAGCACGAGAGAACTGAGAGACGTGTCCACATCGACCATCTCACTGCTCTGTGACCTACAAGGGACGCGCTGAACTGTCGATGCTCAGCAGGCATCCAACACCGCCAACACACTCCACACACCCCATCCTGCTATGAGACCACGTCGAGAGACTGGTAAGGCTATGCAAGCTCTCCTGCATGTGTCGTTTCATGACCATTATGGACCTCGTATGCCGCACCACTGGCTATGAAACCACATTGAGAGACCGGTAGTGGCCAGCGAGCTCTCCAGGACATGTCGTACATGGCCGTTCTGGACCTCGTGCACTCCACAACGCACCCTCACATTCAACCTGCCATGAGACCGTGTCGAAAGACCGGTAGTGCTACATGAGCTCTCCTTGACGTGTCGATCATGGCCGTTCTGGATCTCGTATGCCGTACCCGCTCCGCATCTGCTACGAGACCGAGTCGAAAGACCGGTAGCAAGCCATCTGCGTCGTCATGACCGTTTCGGACGTCTGCAACGCATACAGCCCACATGCCACGAGACTGCGTCCATGACCAGTTGCTTCGCACCACCACTATGAACCCGTGTCGACAGACCGCCGGCATTGCACATCCCAAATGCGTCATCCCGACCGTCTCGGAACCCCACACCCACAAACGCACACAGCGCACATGCCATGAGACTAGGTACAGACCAGTTGCCTTCGCGGGAGGCACCTCAGTGCCCTTCTGTACGTACACACACTGCCTGATACCTGCCCATGTCGAAAGACTGGTCGCTCACCACCGGGAACCCTACCCTTCGAGCCCTCCGAGGTCCTGATACACCCATCACGGACCTCCTACATTACATACCACATCCTGGACCCTCTACACAATGTACACGCTGTGATACACACCCCTACGTACTCCATGTCCCATGCAACCTAATACACCTAACACAACCCCGCGACGAGCTGCGTCATGACTACTTAGAACAGGAATCACGCCCCGGGGTCTGTGTGATCCAATGCCCAATGACGAGTCGTCGAAAGACCTCTCAGTAGCTGTAAGCTTCCTCAGAACACATTGTCAAACAACGATCATCCTGATCGTTACATTTTATGTGCTGTTCAAAGGCCACCTCCACCTCCGTAGGTGTAGATTCACGAGGAACACAACTTCCAACAAGCGACTTTGTTTTGTTTATCATTGATGATCTATCATTCTCCATCAGCCTTGTAGATTATTTCTACGGCCTAGTGCACATACAGCACCCCAAGTGCTAATTACATTTTATACATGTGGATGCACCACATCCCAGTCTAATTCCGCGACATAGTCGCCTTCGTGTCTTGCAGGGGCGCTTCGCATACCCTGGCAGATCCGACCTTGCCGCTACACTACGTCGAAACACAATATAAGTAGATCATTATTCATGTGCTGGATCGATTTTCGACTCAGGCCATACTCACAAATGGGCCTACAGGAGGGTTCCGATCCAAGGATGGATAACACCAGCGCTACCATCCAACAGAACTAGCACCTACACCGTAGTCCGCCACATCAGTATGGATATGACTGATTTGCCGTGGACCCCACATATTCCCAGAAACTCACCTATCTCTCTGACTATGTCGAGCGTGCCTGGGATTGCCCACTTGTGTTCCCTCTCAGGGCTCAGTGCCATTCAGCACCCACCGGGGAACATACTTAGAAGTCCAGCGGCGACAGTACTCGCACATGCGGCACAGCCTGACTGGCCTTACAATTTACTACGGCCCAACATTCTACATTATGCATGAAAGGGATCTATGAACCTCATCGGCGACGAACCCCATTCCAATCTAGAGCCCGATAACACACTACTAGTAGCTATTCCGAGCTACACCTTCACGTATTTTCTACCACATGACATCCCCTGACGTGAGTGGCCAAGGACACTCGAACATTCGCTGACCTGGGCTATAACATGTTCTCTCATCGCGTTCGACCTGTTACAGAAATACTTACACCACGCTCTACTGATGCGACAATTCTTCTTGACCAAAAATTTTCTGTACAACCCTTGCCATCTTTCCTTGGACACTGTGTCTGGCTCTCTACAAAACTCACTAGAATCTTTTCCTTTGCATCAACATGACCCCCAATCACCCCGAAAACCATTGCAGGTATATCATTTTGGCCTGTGACACATGGCCCGGTGATATTTAACTTCGAATCGACAACCTACCAGGGTCTAGAAGTCTACCGCGCTAAGGCAATCACACAGGCGCCAGTGCCATTTTATAGACACCCATCACATCAACATTCCCACTGCATGATCAGTACGAGCCATGCCTTTCAACGATCAAACCGACAACGTTCACAAGCTCACAGCTGGCTACCCGCAATGCGACAGTCTCCCGAGCTTCATCGCAGTCATCAATATTCACATTGTGTCCCTTCATTGGGAATAACACTTACTACGGTGCACCTGACACTACTCCATGGCTAATTACTGGCTGGACAATCCTCCGCCACTCCGATGCGATCTCCACAACATCAGGCACACTCATCTCTCGATATTGGGACCTCAGCGGCTCTGTCTCCTATTCTCTCCATGACACATCACTCGAGGACCATCCACAATTTCCCACCAGTGCATCCTTCGACACGGGATAATTTTGTTCAAGTCATATCACTATTTGCAACCTAGGTTGAAGTTTCTGTTTCACATCTCTCAAGATTCTGCTTTCAAATTAGAACTCCCGAGTCTACCTTCATTCAAAAGGTAGCCATTTGACAATGTTAACTTAGAATTTCAGCATCGTTTCCGGCACCAGAACAATCATAGCATCCTGGGCTTGGACCAAACAAGAAAATTATATTTGTGAGTTCTAACTTCCTAACAATTTTTTACCTGCACTGGGCATTCCCCCCTTTACTTTCACTTCCTTCAATCTCTGCTGTCCCCCTTTGGTCCCCCTCCTACTCTTTAGGGTATCCTCGCGAGCTCGACGCGTCGTGGGACTCCTACTCATCGGGTATTGCAGCCCGCTTCGGATTTCTTGCATGATTCCGGATCCGTGGCTTGGGCAGATCTGAGCGTGGCCCTTCGCTGCGCTCAGTTGCCCGTAAACGCTTCGCTCGCTCTTTGCTCGGATGCTCCGCATCGACCACATGGTTTTCATTTTATTATAACTAACACATTGTAGTATTGTACACTTTGATCTCTGCAGAGATCATCATTGGGATATGTCCCGTTGGTGACCGAGAGACAAAGTGAACAGTCTACTTAACATTTTGAACATGCACCGCCCATCTATGCTCACCAAAGACCTTCATCCACAGCGATTAAAGTCACCCATGATGCCCTACTCTCGCCGACGACTTCTCTCCATTGCAATCACCGCCAATCCATGCAACAACACTCCAACGTCCGTCCACAGTGATCCAAAGGCTCTCAAAGGTATTGCCCACAGAGAGATGTCTACTAGCAGCCACCAGGTAACTAGTCCACTCTATGAAGGTATTGATTCTCGACTCACCGTTCTTTGCCAAGTAGCCCCATTCTTCGTCGAAAGCCCAACACCGCTTCATGCACACACTGGCTCAGATGAAGGCATCGCACACGACGTTAACAGGAGCTCTACATCACATTCAACAAAGGGAAGTCCTGCCGTCGCTGGGCGACGGATGGAGCTCGACAATGGCGAGGGGAGTGGTTCATGCAGACAAAGGGTTCACAGCGTATTTACCATTGTAGAACTCCACACGGCTGCCTCTCATGCTGCCAATATCAAGACAAATTATCTCCTCGATGTCCGCGATGGGAGACGTCGAAGCCGCGGGCCAATAAGGGGCTGCAGTAGCTCAGGTGGCACTATTGCGGACTTACCCCCAGGCTTGCGTTGAGCTCTCAAGTTCGATTCTTGCTGGTTGCATGGATAAACACACTTTAGACACCATGTGACTTTTCCACGCCCCCGGATGACACCGTCTGGGCCTCTGTATTAGGGAGCGACTACGTCTCGCGTGTTCTAGACCCAAGGGTCTGGAGTGACCGTACCTATGCATGCTCACATAATGATATCAGGGTCACCTGGTTCTCCTTAGTCATCAAAAAAATGACTATGCCAGGAAGGGAAATAGGGAGCCAAGGGACAAGGTTGTGTGGATCTGCCACTATGCGGTGATACAGCTAGAGCCGACCCTTCGGGACAAGGTTCACATGATCTGCTGGAGCCTGCTGGGCGTTTCGGTGCGCTGACTTCCCAGAGTACGTAAAGCAAACCAGCGAGACGGCTAGAGCTGACCCCGAGGTGTTAATACCAAAGTACTGGAGGGTGGGAGTGAAACTACACGAAACGGCTAAAGTCGTCTCCTAACATGGACCGCCAAAGAACCGCGTGGCACGTGAATGATGGAACAAACCCAAACCCATAGGGAGGTTGTGTTGGATGCCGGTCACACGAACGGCTGCTTTCGGGAGCTAGGGCGTTACTATGTGCGAATATACGTGATCTTATGCTTAGGTATATCAAAGCCCTGATTAGTGTAAATAGTTACGGGACGTCACGATAATTGGTATGATCACGGACACTTAGGGTATTACTTAGGTCACGCCGCTGATAGCCCGAGGATTGGATGTTCCCTTACGGTCATGTATGGAATGATCCTCGTAAATCAATAAAGAACCACATTCAAGCCGCGGGCCAATAGGGACAGGTGGGCAAGTTGAAGGGTGTCTTGAAATTATTGGGCATGAGGGTAGATTGAGACAGAAATGAAGATATGGCGTGTTGGGACGGTGTGGTAGAAGTATACCCTGGCAAGTTGGAAGCTATTCTCGTTGGTGCGTATGAATATAACGAGGAGAAAGAGCTCTCGCGATAATGTTCGTTGGCTGAGTGCGTCCGTAAAAGGAAATTACACGTGACTTTTCGTTGAAATCCTGCAGTGCGGTTCGACCGCCGCGCGTCAAATCAGACTACATACGTAGGTCAGGATTGTGACTTGTCACAAAAGTCACGGAGTATCGTCAGGCTGGCTGCGGGAGACTAGTTCTAAATCAGTTATCAAGTCCTTACGCCATCTTTCAAACCATCTCTCGTTCACCTTCCGTGGTGTCCAGCCTACATCTCGACGATGATGCTACCGGCACTTATGTGCATATCCGCCATGGGTCAGTACGGGGACGTAAGGCGGACGCGAACTCCACAAATGAACAGCACATGGTCCATTTGCCACATGGACTCTGGGGAGGGTCGACACAGAAAAGGACCTTGGCCCGAAGTTGAGCCTGCACGATGCAAAACTACAAAACGTACGCCAGTACTAGAAGCCAGTCCATTGAAGCCCCGAGTCATGTTCTCCAAGGCTTCTCTTTCAATTGGTGACCTAGGACTATGGCAAAACGAGACAGATGTTAGGCAGAATAAGTGGTTTGCTTCCGCAAATCAATTGCAGGTCAGTCAATGCTGCGCTCCTTCTCGCTGATGAACACCTCATGCTTAAAACTCACCAGCGCGCTTTGGGCGTCTTGGGTGGTCTCGACAGCACTGGCATTTCGGGGGTCTTGGCATTCCAGAACGCGTGCTTCGTCTTCGAATGCCATTCGGTTATCGCACGCAAGCGTGTTGTGATCTACCGATATCTCTCACAACTTGTGGTGACAAGAAATCCCTGGAACTATAAGATAGCACGTTTTGGAAGACGCGGAGCTAGGTTCGGTGCCTCTTCCCGCCTTCGACCCCACCTCTTTTCACGTCAAAATGAAGATCACGTCCAGCGTCGTCCTCCTCTCCTTTGCAAGTCTTGCCTGCGCCCAAGATTCTCGTCAAAGTCGTAAGCCCCTCGTCGACTCGAACAGCCTGCGACGCACTATCAAGAGCTCGAATCTCCTCAAGCACGCCCGTAAATTTGTCGAGTTTTCCAAGCTCAGCAACGGCACTCGCGTCTTTGGCAGCGCCGGCCACACTGCGACGACGGATTACCTCAAACGCGTGCTCGACGCGACTGGATACTACGACACTGAACTGCAAACCTTCCCTTACCTCTTCTCAACGGGTACTGCATCCCTCTCTGCGAATGGCACGACCTTCACCACGGGATACCTTTCGTACGCCCCTAGCGGGGATGTTACAGCGCCTCTCGTTGTTGTCAACGACTTGGGATGCAATGCTGTAAGTTCCTCCTCGTCTTCGGGTTGTCCATCACATTCTTATAAAGATTTTCATCCCAAGAGTGATTACCCTGCTGCTGTTGCCGGCAGCATTGCCCTTGTTCTGCGCGGCGTCTGCCCGTTCGGTGAGAAGGTAGCCCGAGCAGGAGCCGCCGGTGCTGTGGGCGCCATCGTCTACAACAACCTCGACGGCTCCGTGCCTGGAGGAACACTTGGGGAAATTTCTCGCCCCGAGATCGGTCCATACGTTCCCGCTGGGACGTTGTCGGGAATCGATGGTACGGCTCTTGTTGCTTTGATTAACGGCGGCACCGAGGTTGTCGGAGACTTCCATGTTGAGGCAATCAACGAAGAGCGCCTTAGCAGCAACGTATTTGCCACGACCAAGCTGGGAGATCATGACAACGTCATTGTAGCTGGTGGACACAGTGACTCTGTGGTCGCTGGGCCTGTATGTATAATTCCATCACTGCATGCATCGACCATTTTCTCATGTTTATCAAGGGCATCAACGACGATGGTTCCGGCACCATGGGCATCCTTGAAGTCGCTCTCCAACTTCCGAAGTGGAGAGTCAACAATGCAGTCCGATTTGCCTTCTGGACTGCTGAAGAGTTTGGCCTCATCGGGTCAGAGTACTACATCAGCCACCTGCCCGAGGAGGAGCGCCAGAAGATTGCCCTCTATCTCAACTTCGACATGATCGCCTCGCCCAACACTGCCTTCTTCATCTACAGTGGTGTGAACGAGCCTGCTGGTAGCATCCACATCCACGAGACTTTTGAAGAGCACTACGTCGGCAAGATCAGGACTGCCCTTACGCCCTTCGGCACTGGTAGTGACTACCGTCCGTTCTTGGATGTTGGCATCCCTTCTGGCGGTCTCTTCACTGGAGCCGGGGGTATTATGACTGAGGAACAAGCTGGATGGTATGTCTCATGGGCAGTTTCTGGAATACTTGCTGACCTTTCCTTAGGTGGAACGCACAAGCTGGTGTTGCCTACGACGTCTGCTACCACCAAGCCTGCGACGGTATCGCCAACCTGAACGTTTCTGCGTGGGAGCTCAACACCAGAGGCGCTGCTCATACCATTGCCACCTATGCCCGCTCACTCGACGGCATCCCCCGGCCACGCGTTAGCGTACCCGCTCGCAACCTCAAGCTCGCCGATCTTTCTTACGAAGAACGTCTTCACCAAGCCTGCAGTCATGAAGTCAGTGTTATCTAAAATGCAATACCCTCGTTGTCAGTGGCGAGTTTGTTGTTCACATGGAAGTAGTGTAATAGCGGTATAGTTGTAATGCGGTAGGAAAACAAGGTCGTTGTACATTCCTCTGAGAGAAGAAACCAGTCCAAAATAATTGTGGTAGGGATGGAACTATAACCTACAAGTAATTGGCTCTCCTGATCCACATGTTTGGAATAAACTTGACTAAGTATAGAAACGATCATGGTGCTTTGGTCGTGTTCCGGACTCAGGTTTTGACCACTAGGACGTTCGTCCACAGCCCCAGCAGTCAACGCTACAACAACACTGATCTCAGCGCATCCGACTCAGCACCAACCACCTGTCTGCAAAAATCATGTCAGACGGATGCTGTGGGATTCTGGTGACGGCTTGTGCGGATGTGTGTGCGGGAATCTTCCTCGATTGGATATCTCTTCGTGAGTAGTCTTAGACCTGGCAGAGGACGTCCAACGCTAACTGTGGGCTGATACAGGTCACGCATGCACAGAAAATCTGTGTAGGTGTTCTATGTGCGAGGGCGGGGAAGGCGCAACGGAAGGCGACGTGCGGGAACGTGAACCTTTACTTTCTGGAGGTGCAACGCAGGTGCAACCAGCAGAGAGACCGCCTATGGAGATTTCCAGGTAGCACAGGCTGGAAGTATCCTCGTATCCAATAATGCTAGGTGCGTGATAAGATGAGCCCTCTTTCGAAACTTCGTTGCTCAAAATGTTCTTCCAGTTACCATGTACCACCAATATTGTATCCCTCCAGATCTTCAGACCTAATCTATTCCTGTTACATCAGCACCCCATTGCTTTATCCACCCCATGCAGTGAAGACGGACTACCAGGAAAGCATCGCGATCTTCGCCTTGATCTTAAGACCAACCCAAACTCGTTTCCTCTCAAGACCCTCGAACCCTCGTGCAACCGACGCAGGTAGTCCTTCCGGATGTGATTGTCTTTCATGCCAGAGCATTACGCTTCTATTGAACCCGCCAGATTATAGTTGGGGTGCCGCAATTCGAGCTGTGCAGTGTGCACCCCATCTCACCTTTCAGAACCTCACAGGCGGCCCCCTTTGGATCTCGATATCGCACCTTTCCGTCCAGGTTCAATCTCGTTCTCGTCTGCGGCCCTATCCCGAGTGGCTGGGCAATGACGCACCCTGGAGCTTAGTGTCCTCCATTCGACCGACACAACGCAACCTATTGCTCATTCTATCCCAGGAACCCGTCCCATTCGGCCTGCTGAACTTCTAAAATGACGTCGCGTATCGCTGGTCTTGCCTGCCACCTGTTAGAAGGAGGATTGGCGTATGGTGTTCTTGACTCCCAACACCAGTTGTGCGGCAATACACGTCGGCACTCTGGTGAACCGATTCATCACCCCGTTTCCAGTACATCCATCCGGACAACTCCTGAACCGATGCCGCGAGGCTACCGCGCAGGAAGCATCGAAGCAACCTGGAAGGTCTGATACAAGAGCGTTAGCACCAACATGCATGCTACGTAGGTATGAAGACGCAAACAGCCCTCCGGCCTTGCGATCCCTCGACTGAACCCTCGGCCAACGTTCTCACCCACTCCATTCCGAAAGACCGAAACAAGCTCGACATCAGCTTCGCGTCGAGGGCACCTCCGAACGATTCGCATTTTTTTTGTCTCCGCGCGATGTACACTCGCATACAGTTAGGGCAAAGCTGGAGAGGGATGGCTAGCGGGGACTTTGCGCCCCTTGCTGGTCTCGCGTCGTTTCGATCTTCTGCGCTTTTCTGTGAATCAAATTGCGGCGCAGATACTACCTTTCAATTCTGGTGTGCGAGCTGACTTCCATGACCCTCAACGCCTACTAACCCATTGTTCGTCGCACCATGCTGGGCATAACGCTTATCACCAATCCATTCTGGGTCTATTGTTAGCCCACTCTATTTTGTGGTCTTCTGGCATACTCTATCACTGCGATGATTCTCATGCTAGGCGTCATCCTGAAGGGTTCTGGTTCGGAGGCTGCACCTAGCTGTTGGGCCGTACGAAAGCGATGATCATCCGGGGTCACTTCAGAGCGCAGGGTTCCCTTAGACCATCATCCAATGTCGCGGGTAGGCTGAATCTTAGAACCGGTTCGGATTGCTCAGTGGGTATCTTCTGAGCGCTATCCGTGAACCACTCCGACAATTTATTCTTGACAACGATAAAGGGGGGCAGGTCCTGTTTCACGAAGTGAGGGATATTCGACTTGCACTAGAGATATCTACATTCTCTTCGAGTCTACGTTATGAGAGTTCCAAAAATACCATCGTTTCTAGCTGGTAATAAAAGGCGTACAGTCGCTTCTAGTACGCTCAAGGGGTTTTGAGAGGCGCTTATTCGACTAGACCTGCTCAGCCCTCGACGAAACAGCCGTTTGTTTGACAAAGGCGGAAACGTGTAGGATTGCTTGGATACAAATTCCAACACTACAATAAGGACTGCACTTCATGTAACAATATGAAAGGGGATCGTAAATCAAACATCTTGTGTTGCATAACAATGGAATGCATGTACAGGGGTACCGTTGTGCAGTAGGCAAGCCAGATATCCGACCAATAGATAAAAACGAATGACTCGTGACGCTGCTCATGAACTACATTAATAAGGTATGTGTTAGCGTCTAGGTAAAGTGACAGTGGGGAGGGGCCAAAATCAGCATTGTTGCCACATCTTAATAGAATCACTGCGTAAATGAGCGGGGCATGTCAGTGGTGAAGGGGCGGAGAGGATAGTGAATGTCCTAGACTTACACGACAAGAGAGCGATCCTCGGGATCCGTAGACCAAGTCGGGAGCCATTTATCCCTGCTCCTCCAGAAATCCCCCATAGCCGCTAAGATAACAATGAAGAACTGGGTTAGCTCGACCCTTATATTAACGAACGACAGAGCAGCTGACTGTTAGATCCATCCAGCCACGGCTTCTCGTTCCCATCAGGGAACCACCCATTTGTGCCCCCAACAGCGACGTTTAGAATCAGGAAGAACGCTAGAAAATCCAACCATGAGAACAAATCCCACAAAATGTCAAGAAAAATGAACGTACGCTGATCAAAAGGCGCAGAGGTCGTGCCATTGACCCACGGGTTGTTCAGAATGACCGCTTCGGACCCATTCTGGACGACGGGTGGGAAGTCGCCGAGTTCGAAGAAAGGTTTCTTCATGCGCAGGTCGAGCATATGGTGCAGGCGGGAGTCAACGTATATCCGCCTATAATACAGAAGAAAAAAAGATGGAAGAGTTAGAAAAATGGATATTAAAAAAAGGCCGCCTTCTGAGACTCAGTTCAAGAAGACGGCGATGGCACGCACATGAAATCCTTATCCCATTCTAGAGCGTAGGTGTGGAAGTCTTGGTCGTAGCTTCCGCGCCGCAGCGTCCACCAGCCGTATGTCTTCGACACGCCGTTCAGCCACGTCAAAGGGCCCCAGTTCAACGAGCCGCGGACGTAGTTGCTTCCCCTATCATACAATTAGTTGATTCTAAGAAATGTCAGATGCATAGAGACGACGCGACGTACTGCTTGGGGTATTCCGGCCCATTCCCACGCGCCTCCATAATGTCAATCTCGCCTGTGGGAAGAGGTGTTAACGTTAGCGAAGCCGGCATGGGAGAAGATGAGAAGACAGATAAAGGTACAGTAACAAGAAAATAGAAAAGGCGGCTGCCGAGGGAAGGGCAAGGAAGGTGTAGCGGAAGGCAGAATGCCGAAATACCTGCACGAGGAACTGTGGAGCAACGTACCACTCATAGGCCATGGGCCGTATTTACTGTCGACTGGCATCATCCAGATCGCCGGCCACAGCTGTATGTATTGCAGGAACGGGGTCAGTCTTACGGCATAATAACGTCCGCGAGAGTAGAGATTGTGCGTACCCAGTCGCTATGCAGAGAACGACAACATCAGAAACGCGCAGCGCGAAGGAAAGAACGACGCAGAACTCACCCAGTTGGGATCTTTGCTCTCACTTCCACACGACCGTACTTTATACTAGCTGTTTTCCGGGTCGTCAGACGCGCGCTTTGGATAGGGTTGATGATCTGGCCGCTGGTGGCATTGCTGACGGCCGAGCAAGCCTTGGTGTACCTCTCGACGTCGAAGGGTTGATCGGACGCAATGGCGCTACCGTTCCTCGGGAGGCTGAGCATCGTGCTCGTGTACGAGATGCCTTGGGTGATGTTGTACGTGCACCCGGTGATATTGTAAACAGTTCCGTCAATGATAGCGTCCTCGCCAATGTTATCCGAAGTCAGAGTTGGGGTGATGTAAAGACGGCCATTCCGGACATATGAGTTGTTCTGAGAGGCAGTCGCCATCTCGAACTGGCCATTCCTGGTTCGCGAATTGTCAGAAGATCCTTTCATGCGATGGTAGACCGACAGAAAAACGCACCCAAACCCGCTCATCTCGACTTCTCGGAAAAACTTGCCGTTGTCCCCGAATAGACCAACGTCCGAGTCAAAGTTCTCGTCCATGACCACGCACATGTTCCCTTTCAGAAGCCTCACATCCAGCCATCCAAAATAGCAGCGTACGGCGCCTAGGCAAACCCCAAGAAACAAGAACGCGTAGGTGATGACGTAGGAAATCCGTTGGTAGGGGTCACGTGTTGACAACCACGGCTTGTGCAAAGTCGTGGATGGGGTGAGCATCGTCGACTTGTGCCGCTCGCGCTCGACCTTGACGGAAGAGGACACGACGGTGCTGTATATCGTCATTGGGCGCGCTCTGGGTGAGGCGAAGGCCTCTCTTGACCGCCCCGATGTGGGTCGAAGGGAGCTGCCGTTGTCCGACGTGCCAGGCCGACTGGGAAAGGCCAACGATGACAACCCGGAGAAGTCAGCGACGCTCGTCGACGTCGACACGGAGTTCACGCCGCTCCTGTGAGTGTCGCTGCTGGCATCTGGGAAGGGGTATCCATTGCCAGTGATGGGCTGCACGCCAGGTGTCGTGCCGGGTGACTGGTCGGGGGTAAAGAATGCCTGGGTGTTGAGCGAGAACGCGGTCGGCGGGTTGTTGAAGGTGAGGCTGCGGTGCGTGACTGGGTGCGACTCGAGGGACATTGTCCTTGAATGGTGCGCAATACCGTTGCGTTCCTGTTCAGGATCTGATGCGCTGCCGCCTGCAATGGTGAATTTGGGGTGGGGCGGGGTGAGCTTCTCGTCGCCAGCTGCTGGGAGTGGAGGAACAGGCATTGTCGAAATCGAACACGCAGCAGCAATCAGGAGGACGTATTCGATGCTTGCTTGGGCCTTGGGCGGCAGCTGCGAGCCTTCAAAATCCGAGAACAGATGTGAGGTTATAAGAATGTCCTCATCCGCACTGATAACATCACCGAACGTTTGCAGTGCCCGGTCCTGTCGAACAATCTTGGATGTACCTGGCCTCGATGAGTCCAAGAAAGGATCTCGTACATGAGGAGGATCGATCTTCTTTTCTTAGACCCGCATCTCGGATTCCCCAAGGTTTACCGCGCCTTGGTCCAATCACAGCTGACACCGCAACGCTCAAATTTCGCCGATACGTGGGAGCCACCTCCCCCATCCGCTGTCCAATTGTGAATTCCCACCGGCGCCTGTTATTAATTTGCTTTCATGATCTTCCTCCGTCGACGGAACACGAGCTAAAGAAAACTTACTGCTACATTGGATAGGATTGCGTAGGGAATAGTCCGGCTATGAACGCGACGCCACATCAGTCTCTCTCAACGCAGGATAAGGCGAACTGACATGAATTCTGATAGTCTCCATTTATTTGCATTCAATGCTTGCGAAAATAATTCCTTCCCTGGCGGTCGAAGCAGTGTCCTGGATGAAAAAATCAAAGCTGACAAGAGTGCATCAACAGCTTGATCGGCAAATGCGACTGCGCCGCGCTCCAGTTGCCCAGAGCCCAGATTTCAGCACATATTCGACTTCTAGTGCCGTGCTCCAACCATAGGACGCTATAGACAGTATTGAAAAAGCCTATAAGAAAGGCGCTAGCGTCATCGACGCAGAGTAAGGAGCGGCGATCAGCATATAGCCTCCCTCTGCCGGAAAGTATTGAAGTTGACACATCACACAGCCGACAGCTTCACTGCATCCTATCTAGAATAGATGCAGCTGGGGCGTTTCCTATCGACAGCTGATGTCTAGCAAGCAGGAGCGTTTCCGAAAGACAAGACAGGCCCCTCATTATCGGAGGCGGTCATAGTACCTATTCTCAGCCCTCGCGTTCGCACCAGTGCCCGGCGCCCCCCATGCGTCCTGGGGTAAGGAGCATCAAAGACGCAAGATGCAGCAGGGTAAGGCCCGCGACGTTCGACATAGCTCTGACGTCTTTATGGAAGCGCCTCTGTAAGTTTCCACATAATGTCGAAAGTGCAAAAAGTCTGGACATGAACATACACACCACAATCGTTTCGCGACAGCGTCCATTGCGAACCCATGTTCGTGGGTCTTGAGGATTCTGATGGATTCCGCCGATTGAGTAAACACACCAGCCCGCGGATTACACGTAGGATTACAACACGTTCGAAGGGAAATGCCAGGGGCGGTGATAGAAGAACAGCGAGTTGATGTGGCACGACCTTCAGGTAAGCCGCCTGAGAAAACGAGCTGGACACGTCCAACATCTCAGCAACAGATTCTGAGGCACAGTTCGGGACGTGAGTTCCAAGACTATTTCGGTACAGCAGGCGACATCGTTTCCTGCAAGCTTTCCTGGCCAGAGGTCAAGTTTTGTTGTCAGACGAAACGAAAAGATAACTGGCAGTGGCAACTCCAGGATGGGTGTTGTTTGTACTTGTGTGGCAAAGGCAACTGTCCCTCGCCGGATAACACGCATCACACAAGGTGCAGGACCAAATGAACAGGCGGGTTTATTTGAAAGACATGGGCCGTAACATATTAGAAAGCCGGCGCATAAACGGGACCCATGCATGCGTCGTTTATTGGACCCTTTTACCCACATATGGTAATTTGGTCCAATAACCGTCGAAAAGCTAGGTCCCGATTATGCATTCTAATGTGTTCCGGAGCATGAACGGCAAAGAAACGGTCCAGATTATTTGACTTTGCACCCCGTGTCAGCACCGAGCTAAAAATACAACCTCGGGCCAAGCATTTCCTGGAAAACGGCTCGGTACTGGTTCATTAACGATTAGCCCCTGGGCAATAGTTGGTAATAGGCACTCAAAAAGTGATAAACAGTTCGTTGTTTCGGTTACTCCGTTAGGACGACCAATCACGGATGGTGCTGTCCGTCAAGTCAGATAAAAGCGCATTCGACGATTTTTTTTGATCATCGTGAAATGTCATCGCTGTCTTTGCGGTTTACCGTACTCGTACAGGAACGCGGAGGCCGTGAACTTTGAAGAACCAAAGCGGACCCGTGATCTCTTCTTGGTGGTAGTAACTCTGTAAGCACTAATTGTCGAAGGACATCGAAAGCAAGAAATAACAGCACATGAGCCCACTCCACGGCAAATAGAAGCCCTCGGGGACGATAAGATCCTCTCACCGGTGTTCTTGGCGTATGGTCGCTAAATTAAACAGGACGATAACTCGTTCGCGCAATCCAGTCATGTTTGTAGATTGAGGGCTTACACGCAAGCAGACTGGAAATTTTGGACGTTTGCAGCTGCTGCGCAGAGTAAGAGGATCATCGTCCGTCGAATGGAGTCGTTCCGTCCTTCCTATCTTTTGACGTTGACCATTCCGGGTGTCTAAAAACGCGTTGCGACTTGCAACTTTCGACCTTCCCACCTTCATGCCCGTAGCTTATTCGGAGGTATCCCTGGCTCATCCAGCGCCTAACGTATACGCCCACGCGGCTTCTGTCCCTGGAACCGTTTACGTTCACCAGGAAATATGTACCACGACATCCCTAGTCAATTCGACGTTGTCTACATAAGCTTTCCATGGAGCTTGTTCATTCTATCGCACTGTACCTATATTTTGATTTGATTGTGAGTCGCATAACCTCCTTCTCGTTAGACTTCAAACGAGAGTGCGAGGAACAATCGCAAAAGAGGGTGTCCGAGCGAGACCGCAGGATTCTTTCAGGTACTCTCCGACTTCTTGGCTGACTTTCGTACAGGCCCCACGGGTAGATTAAAGGTAAACTTAGTAATATGTTCAATGCTGTACACATTAAATTTTGTGTTTCGAAGCCCAGTTGAAGCTAGGCTTCGTTTTAACGCCCGGACCGATGTCGTGTATGGGCCCATCGCGGACTAGTTAGGATGAGGTTGATCGATAAGGATTCCGCTCCTCCTTCATAGTGCATCATAAGTGACGCTGTGGGTACTTATCGACACCTAGTGACGCGTACGGGTGTCTCGCGGGCGGATCAGAGGATCGGCGCCGCTGACATCCGCCATCCAGCTGTTGCGGGTTAATGTCCGAGCTTTAGCTCTCCCAACCTCTACCCCGGGTTTGCTGTACGGACTGGGCGGAATCAACCAGAAAGGACAAGACATCTACTGTGGTGACCAGACCCGCAACTAAGCCACTGGTCTGACAGATAGAAGACGCGAGGCGAGACCTACCAGATACGAGCAGGGATATACGGCGTTTCTGGCGTGCTTATTGATCATTCAGCAAGGCTGTCCAAGCTGCACTTCACTCAATTCCCATGGTATCGGCATGTAATATGACAGACGATGCTTTGTATCTTCCGTGTCCGATGCCAGTCTAGAGCCGTCTATTTCCCTATCAAGATATCGGAGCCTACGGCGCTTTCATATCAGTAACAAACACAGTTGTATGGGGGTTATTTCTACACGTATGTGGGCGATAGCTCATGCCTATGAAAGAATATTGGGAGTGATAATTAAAGGATCGCAAGAAACAGGGGTCCGAAGAGGTAGCATGCGGCAGGAACTTACATGACCTCATCAAGCGCCCAAATCCCATCTGTTGGTTGCCCACCGCACATGCAGTTATCTCTCAGCAAAATTCCCTGTGTCTATCATTGTTATCTGTTATGTTACTGTAATTAGATGGCACCTCCATGGAAACAATGTGATGAACGTGAAGACTAGGTCCTACGCAAATTGAACAGTCCTCTCGATAAGATATTGGTGTGTACAGTCGATGACCGCATCGTGGAAAAGCACAGAAGGGGATTCTACTGTAATTAGTATCACCGTTCGATCATGATCAGAAAATCCCGCCCCTACGGAAATGGAAATCAATTGAGTCTTGCACCAACAGGCGCCTCAGCTCCAGTTGGGGCTTGAATGGCAGATGTCACCTACGCTTGTTTGCCAGGCCCTGAAAATGAATGGAGTACCTATATTTTTAGACCTTCCATATCACAATCTCTGTGAAATCGACGAAACTCACGGACGGTGAACGGGACGCCGGTGGTGCGTACTCTGTGGACGCAAAGCGCCTGTGTGCGCGACATCTAGACAACGCGCCAAGCGGCCAAGGATTTAATTTACGGAATTCCCAAAATAGAAAGACGGAGGTAAAAGTCATCGGGCCGGGGGAGATCTGCGGAAGCTGTTGCCAAGCAGGGATAAATAGACGCGTTGTTTTTTCTTGTTGTTGATGAGATCTTTTGAAGAAGTCCCACGTCCATGTCAACGACATACCGTTACCTGTCTTCTCTGTGGAATCCGCATGGCCGGCCACGACCTGGGTTTCTCCCTGGGAAGAGCTCCTAGCTTGCTTGGGCCCGCCGTAAAGGCGAACTGGGTGATGGCATCGTCGCCGCAAGCTCATCCGACCTTGTCCGACGCCGCCTTCTGGTTTTTTTAACGGACTGACGAGGTGGATCGACTAGGATGTGATACTAGTTGGCTGCCATCCGAATGGCAGATACTCATCAGAAAGATATGCTGGTCACCTATCATGACAGCGAGGTCCTATCATGCCACATCGGCGGCCTCCTGTGTCGCTTGAACCAGCACGACTCACTCGTGGGGTCGCAATCCCAGGAAACCTGGAGATTCCGCGAGATAGGCTTCAACATTATAGCTGCTGGCCCTGCTTCTGAGCTTCGTTCGGGCTGAGCGCTTGTGTATCTCACGGATTCGAGGGTGCTTCTAAAATCTCCGGGGGTAGTCCATGCTGGCAGCGCCTGGCGAGCGCATCGAGGACGGGTCATCCCATAATCCGATCGATTCAATGGGCGAAATGCGGGAGATGAGAGATTTCGGCCTCCTAATCCTAGACGAAAGGACATGTGTGCATGTGTATGTTCTTGCCGAGGGAATATTCCACCCTTCACCCCCCTGTTCCGGCAGAACGACCAACAGATCCTCAAATCGTAAACATGTACCGCCTGTCTCTCAACCTCCGCATCTAGTTACAATCTCAGAGCCTCGATTCTTGTGTCCGACGTCTGCCGGAAGGCGATTCGGAATTACCAAAGAATGGGCGACGTCTGATTGAGCTCCCGGCTACGGTTCTCTCTTATACTCGTGCTGCGATTCCCTGGGACCCGCAACTGACACTGTCTCTACCCGGCCTTGTCGTTCTTTTTATCGCCAACCGCCACAATATTCGGGTATCCGCTTCATGGATTACGACTCCTACGACGCGGTCCTTCACTACATCTTCCGCAATGTGCGTATGCGCTCCCTTCATACCCTCATCGGGTTCTGATATTTCTGAGACAGGCCCTCGCCGATGCCTGGTTCAAGCCTTCCGAAGAGAACATTTCCGCAGGCGTCTGCCTGAGGGTAGAGCCTGGTCACTTCAGAGTTTTCCCTTATGAGAACCAATTCCTCGCACCTTTCGAAGCTGCCGTACGCGCCCTCAACCCTCTCGTTGCCGTCAAGGTCCGGTCAGCAGCAGTCCATTCCGCCCTCGGCACTGTGTAAGTTGCATCTCACCGACGCACCATACAGTTTTTGACGTTCGCTGACGACTTCTTTCCCCAGACCGGAGGATGCAACGTTTATGTACATCGACATCAACAGCCGCATCCAAATTCTCGATACCGTAAGCCACTTGCCGAAGGCCGATAAAGAGCAATGTGGGGCTTTCATTGTGAGTTTCCCAACGTGTTCGATCTGCGCCTCCCACACTCAAATGTTGTTCACCACCCCCAGCGGGACGAGCGCGTCTTGATTGTCTGGTCTGATGACCTCGACCAAATTGTCCCACTATGCCATGATTTCGAGGACAAGATGATGAAGCTTGCCTGGCGGGGGCGGAACCACCACCCAACTCCGTCCGTCATCACATCAGTCTCCAACTCCTCCGCCCCATCGACTACGGCCTCGAATGTTAATCTCACGGACAGGACAAGAATTTCCGTCACCGTAGCTGAAGCCGCCGCCGCAACGGCCGCTCTCGCTGAGGAGGAGAAAGATACGGCGCCAGCGGCCACACCTGCCCCGGTGGCCACAAAATCGTGGTGGGGGTGGAAGCTAGGCTCGAAGAAGGCGACGCAGGCCTCTACAGACCCCGAGAAGGCCCGCCAAGCACGGCCTATCCGCCTGTTTGCCCCTCTATACGCTGGAATGGGATTCGGACTATCCCTTTGTGAGTGTCATTCTTGATATCTGCCGCATACACTCACTTAACTCATCAACCACCCATATACAGTCTTCATTGCCTGTGGTCTCATGATGCTCTTGCAAGAATGGCGTCTAGACCACGATTACACGCGCTTCGCCCTCCTCGCCACCGCCCCCTTTCTCGTCTGCGTCTCGCTGGTGAGCTTCCTTCGCTGCATCTCGTGCGAGGAACCACCAGCTGATTCTACCACCCGATGATTCAGTTCTTCGCGTTACAAATTATTACGACTGCCGCAATGATGTGCGCCTCTCCGTTCCTTGTATTCAGCATTCTAACTGACAGCTTACGTCCTGGCGCGTCTCACAGCATCGGCCCTATCGCTCAGTTCCACGAGAACTCGAGGTACTACTCGGCTGTCCGTCCAGAGTCCAACCCGGAGATTGACCAGCGTCTACCACACATAACGGTCGAGATGCCTGTCTACAAGGAGAATCTGGAAGAAACTATGTAAGTCGCTTTCTTATTTGCTCGGCTCCGATTTGGAAAGATGCAGTTACCACGCACACGTGATCTAAGGATCATCTCGCGCTCGGGCCCTGCCCTTCTCTTACTCTCTCATCGCTGTTGCTGACGATGTCTTCGTTGATCCCAGCGCGCCTTCGGTATACTCGCTCAAGAAGGCGATGCAGACGTACGCACGTCAGGGAGGAACATCGGCTATCTTCGTCCACGATGATGGGCTGCAGGCTCTGAGCAAGGAAGAGCAGCAGAAGCGTATCGAGTTCTACAGGGACCACAACATCGGTTGGGTTGCGCGACCACCCCATTCAAACGAGCCTAATGGCTTCAAGCGTGCTGGCAGGTTCAAGAAGGCGTCAAACATGAACTATGGGCTGCAGCTGAGTCTATGCATGGAGAAGCATATCATGGAGCTCGAGTCCTCCGGAGAGAAGTTTAACGGCGACGTCTCGCTTGAGGACAGGGGGCTCGAGCTGGCCATCGAGGAGACCTACAAGGAGTCTGGCAACAAATGGAAACCTTGGGCATGCAACGCTCGCTCGCTCCGCATTGGCGATATCATCTTGATCGTGGACTCTGATACAGTGGTGCCCGAAGTAAGTTAGCCTCAAGCTGAAATGAGATGACTGGCTCATTGATCTTCCGTCTTCTTCATTCACATAGGACTGCTTCAGAGATGCTGCCCGTGAGCTGCACGAATGCCCTGAGGTTGCCATCATCCAACACGAATCAGGCGAGCCAGTCCATTCCTGTCTGCAGGAGGCCGTTCTAATATCGTCTTCGCACAGATGTTATGCAGGTCGCCCACCACTTCTTCGAGAATGGCATCGCTCATTTCACTCGTCGCATCAATAAATGCATCTCGCTTGCATGTGCTAACGGCGACGTCGCCCCTTTCGTCGGACATAATGCCTTCTTGCGCTGGTCTGCCATTCAGGACGCTGCTTTCGTCGACGTGGATGGCGTGAAGAAGATCTGGTCTGAATCGAACGTCTCCGAGGACTTCGACATGGCTCTACGGCTACAGGTTCGTAGTCATGCAATCTGGCAGCGTAGATGGATTGAGCTAATATATCTCAACTACAGCTGAAAGGATACATCATTCGTTGGGCAAACTATTCAGAAGGTGGTTTCAAGGAAGGTGTCTCACTGACAGTCGACGATGAACTTAATAGATGGCAAAAATACTCGTATGGTACGCCTCCTCACCAATCCCTTTATGTTGTTCTTTCGATTGACTCTCTTCGAATAGGGTGCAACGAACTTATCTTCAATCCTTTGAAGGACTGGTGGCGCATGGGCCCTATCACGAAGCAATTGCGTGTCTTCCTCTGGTCTGCGGCCCCTGTCCACTACAAGATAACGATGATGTCCTACATGTTCTCATACTATGGTATCGCTGCATCTGCCGTCCTCGCGATTCTCAATTACCTCCTTCTCGGCCTAGCCTTGGATGTCGACGGCTATTACATGCACAGTTTCGAAATCTGGTTGGCTTGTACCGTTGTATTCCCAGGCGCTGGAAATGTGGCCTACACACTTCTCGAGTACCGGCTCGGCCAACGGGACATTTTCTCGGCATTCCTCGAGAACTTTGGGTATATTCCCTTCTTGTAAGCAATCTTGCCTTTTTTGTCGTATGTCCTTCTCATTTTTGACATCCGCAGCTTGTTCTTCTTCGGTGGCCTCAGCATCCACCTTACAACTTCTATCCTGGCTCACATGTTCTCTTACAACATCTCTTGGGGTGCAACGAAGAAAGTGAGCCTAGACCCCCTATTGAAATACCATGCTCCATATTGATCGTCATCACAGGAAGTCGAAAGGTCGAACTTCTGGATTGAAGTACCTAGAATCGCGAAGCGGTATTGGTTTGTCATTATTGTCTGCACCCTTGCAATCGTTGCCATGATTGTTCTGTCTACCACTCTGGTACCCCCTGCGTGGCGAATCCCGGGGTCATCGTGGGCTGTTATCTTCCCTCTTGCGTACGTCGCGGCTCAGTCATCTTGATGTTCCAGAACTGACTGTCTTCTGTCTTTCTTAATCAGTATTGTCGCAGCAGGACACATTCTTTTCCCGGTATGTCATTTCTTGGAAGAAAGTTGAATGATACTCAATGTATTGACTCCATAGATTGTGCTCAACCCCTGGTTGATGATTTTCTCGTATTAAGGCTCATCATGTCGGCGGCTATTTGGAGTTACTCAGCGTCTATTGCAATCCCTTCTGCGTGTTTCGGCTGACATTTCCGCCACACTCCTTGGACTCGCATCTTTACTCAGCGCAATCATTTTGTTGCTTACGATTTCCGTTATTCCCCCCCATTAATTCACGTTCCAGAAGGACAAGAACCAGCTCGTTGGATTTGTTGTACCTTGTACGTTCTCCGCTATCCTGTCCCCTCATTTTAAAACCTCCCGTTCTTGCAGCGTGCTTGGTGGCGTTTTAAGTTATCACTCCATAGAGTTTTTCTGTTCCTTATCGTAATTCTTCGCTTACTTACCATACATATTGGGCACATTGCATAAGTACAACTTCCTCCGTTCATATTTTTCAGGGTTATCTGGTAGAAAACTATAACTATGGCCCTTGGGCGAACCGGACTTGTTTGATGTCCGATTTACTTCTCGCCCACGTTGAAGTCCATGTTCTATTTAGTCTGTTCAGTGGCCCTCCGTGCGGCGTTGAGAAAGCATGGCCTCCTTGCGTAAGGTCAACATTCACGTTCAGGACGGTGGCCCAACTGTCTGGTGAGACGCTGCTCTAACAGTAGTCATCGCAGCATTGCACCTTTATTATCGCACAGTCCTAATGCTGTATTTACGTGAGAGATATGGTAATTGTACCCGAAGAGGTGATCTGCAGATCAACGCCAGTGGGAAATGCGACTATTTACAATGTCTCCTCGTACCTGCATCACATTTCAGAAAAAAACCCAATCACACATACGCCTTGTGTTCACAAACCTTGACGTGACAGACATTAGGTATTTTTCATAACTTCGCCGAACAATGATGGATATGAACACACCTTGCCCAGGAGACGAGGCCGTCCTGGATCACACTCGGATATCGTACACCGTTTCTCTTCTGGGATTCTAACTTTCTTGTAGAATGCCATAATTGTATCCAGCTTCCCTACGTCCTCATGTCAAACTGTCGACCGGGAACCGATGTCTAAGGACCAGAGTACGTGTTCAGGGCCATTATCTTACAGAAGTTGCGAAAAGTGATCAGATTCATTGTGTCGTGAAAGAACTTTCATTCGGCGCGACGGCAGCGGCTACAGAGAAGAGATGATGGAAGACTTTAACATGTAGGAGCCGTAGCGAAGCCTGCTCTTGTTCTCTTGCGGGGACCGCGAGCCGCGTGGAGGAAAACTGTGGACGACATACCATCACCGAGACATCGCCGACGTTGCGAAATATCGACGACGTTAGATGGGTGTTTGTTGGCACGGCAAGGCTTGTAATGGTGCTTATCGCCCGGGAGGTGTCAATGCCGCCTGGAGATGTCGAGGAAATAAAACGCTGATTACGTTTAGAGGGTATTTCAAGTGTTGAATGGAGTACGAAGTACAAGGAGATGGCATCAGACCGCAGGAACACTTTACTGGACTAATTACCGAGCCCAATTGGCTCAAACGGAGTGCAACTGAACAATGAGGCATTTCAGATTCTCTGGAATCGTATGTACAAGGATGTTCAATTTATTCTTGAGATTCACTCTGAAAATCCAAACCGCACATAGGGAACGATTGGGCAAAGTGAAAAGATCGTTATTCCATAGATAATATAACAAAGAAGATAATTACATAGGTGATCGAATAAAAGCGATAGTGGGCACAAGAGACAGCAAGGAGAGAGCTTTTTTCAGTCCGTTCCGGGGTAGCTAAAGACGTAGTATCCTCCGAGTAGGTAGTAAATAGTAAAAGAAACGGAAGGGGAGAGCATAAAAACAGGGGAGAATAGTTCGAGAAAGCCGTCCATGGTTGTACACCTTTTGTTTTACTGGGCGTCTACATGCCGGGCGTCGTGAACCCAGGCAGCTGAGGCCAGTTACCGAGTTGGGCAGGATCACCACCAATGCGGACCCACTTGGAGTGGCTGGGCGTCGGGCCGTCCAAAATGAACAACATGTGCCATCCGGGAGGGCTGACTCCAGAGTTGGGCGGCGCAATGATCGTGCACGTAGTGCCTGCGCACGTAAACGCCGGGAAGATGTTCCTCGCGCCCATCGTGTTCCCGTGCGTGCTCGAGGTCGCCGCGATGAGGCTGACGCGCATCCCGCTCGTCGTGCCCTGGCGCAGCGTGACCCTGATCTGGTGCGACGAGCCGTACGCCCAATCGCTGCTGCCGACAAACTCGAAGGATGGCTGGGTGAAGCCCTGGTTGAGGTACGGCGGGATGTAGACCTCGATGCGGAACTCCTCGGGGTATCTGGGCGTGCCGTCGGGGTAGTCGGTCTGTGGGTCGGAGCCGGAGACGAGGACGCGGCCGTCGGGGAAGGAGGGTCGCCTCGGAGTGGTACATGCGCGCGACGATGGTGTTGTTGAGGATGGAGAAGCGCGAGCCGTGGGGTTGCGTGGGGTCGTAGAGGACGGCGTTGAGGTTGGGGTCCTCGGCGAGACCGAAGCCGGCGACGCCTTGGTGCGCGCCGTTCATGATCATGACGGTACCGTCGGGAAGAGAGACCATGCAAGGCATGACACGCTTCGAGGGCTGCGAAAAAAAGAGAAATTAAGCAACCGCTCAATAAATTTAAACAGTCGATTACTTACCATACGCTCAACAATCCAGGTCGGGTTAGGTGCCTCCGGCGCGATTGAAACACAGTTGTCAAGGGCGAATCCTGGTCCTTCAGTCGAGCCACCGCAAATGAGGATCTCAAGAGGGTCGGTGTACGGAGCGTGCTGAGGCAGAGGAACCGAAGCGCCCTCAAGAGGGTATGTACGGCCAGCAAGGACTGAATACCGACATAAGAAAATGTCAAGCAATAGAAGAGGTAGACGACGTACAGTTGTTGACCGCTCCAGGGATGTTGGGCAGCTCGACGAGGGTGTCGAAGGTGACAGGGTCCAAGATCCTCGCCTCGTTCCAGTAACCTACAAACAAAGGACAGATGAGCCTCCAAATATTCAAGCAACATAATGAACACTGACCAACGAAGATATGCGTGCTCGGCAGGATCGTCACGAACGGATACAAGTTGTTCGGATCCGTCCTCTGCAACCACTCAAACTCAATGACCGTATCGCCGCCCTCCGGCTTGGGCAAAAGCTCCATATTCGGCTGGGCAATATCGTTGCTCCCAATCTCTCCCCCAATGATAAAGATCGAGCCGTTCGAGAGCACCGCCGCGGTGGGGTACCACCGGCCCCGCTGGAGCTTGAGGACGTGGAAGTCCTCCTCCCAGTCGTTGGTGGAGTTGGTGCCCTCGACGCCGTCGGGGGTGTAGAGCCGCACGCCAAAGGTCGAGTCGAGGGACCACCCGCCGACGTTGATCTGTCGCCCGGCCTTGTCGGGTAGGATCACGCTCCCGGCGCAGAAGACGTCGGTCTTGACGTGCATCTCGCGCCAGGCGGCGGAGAAGTTGTGTGCGAGGGAGAGGTCGAGCTCGTATGCGCCTGTGCTGTTCGGGAATCTGGGAGGGGTTGAGTGTTCATATTTCGAACCAAAACTTGAGCTGACTTACCCTGTGCCTGCTTTTTCGAGGAATGTAACTTTGTCGTTGATACCAACTGTGGCGATCAGCGGAACGACGACACTAGAGAAAGAGAATGGAGAGGGTCAGCCACGAGAGCACGGAGATACAGACCGACGGATCGAGCACTCACCCGGGGACTAAATGCCAACGACAAAAACGAAAGGAAAACGTCAACCGTTAACGCGAATTCATTCACTTAACATTCAGTTCTAGCTTACCGAAGAACTGGACAACATCGTGTCGATGCTCAGCGAAAGTTGAACCGAAAAGCAAAAAAAGCGCTCACCTCGTATCGCCCAATATTCGCCGGCCTATGCCAGTTATTCATCGTTCCGTTCCAGAAGTACGTCGTGAGCCTGTCGCCGTCGCCGCAAAGGTGGATGGGGTCGCCCGGGCAGGGCGTCGTGCACTCGCTCTCGGCCCCAAAGACGCCGTTCTTGTCCGCTACGTCCGTGATGTCGCCGCAGTAGCATTCTTGGCCGTACTGGATAAAATGAACCCAAGAGGCAGGAGTTAGTTAGTAAAGGAAAAGGAAAGGAAACGGGATGATGAGAAGAGAGAGAAAAAAAGGAAAGACGAACCTCAACACCCGCCGCCGGATACCCAAACGCCGCACACTGGCTCATGCACGCGACCGCCGTGTTGTTCGTCGGCCAGATGATCTGGTTGGAGAACATCTTCACGCCTGTCGGTTCCCTGTTGGTTCAAAATGGCAAAAAAAGGCGGGTGCGCCACATGTTAGCATGCATGCTTATTTCCCTTTTGGAAGATGGCGCCCAGATTGGGATTTGCCTCCGCCTCCGCCTCCGCGTGGCTATTCGACTCCGCGCATGTGCCACCCGCGTGGCGCAGCGGCGTGGCTAATTTGCCTCCGCGTCCTGGTAAGGCAATCGCGCCACCCGCCCTGGGCACTGGGCAGGTCCGGCTGCGCCACGCGCCTTGGCGACGACGACCAATGCGCCGTACCACAATGGCCAGTTCAGGGCTCAGGGGATAGGGGCTCGCCATGCGCCACTCAAGCCCAAGCCCAAGCACGACGAAAGGAGCAAAACGAGACGAAAGGAGCAAAGACGACGAATAAAGAAAAACCCACCTCAAACAGCCCGCATACCTCCACTGCCCCGGCAAACCCGTCGTCTGCGCGCTCGGGACGGGGAGGGCGGTGATCGGTCCTTTGGAGTAGACGGAGACGCGGTTCGGACCGCCACATGCTTGACTGTAGACGAGTGCGTTAGCACGAGACTATGCGTATGTGGGTGGGAAGGGTAAAGGGGTAGAGGGGAGGAGGAGGGAACAGGAGGAGGGAGGAAGAGAGGGACAAGGACGCACGTCGTATTCCCCGCACAGCCCATGTTGCACCCGTTGTCCGTCGCGAGGGCGGCGCCGTTGACGAGGGCGTTGCCGCAATCTACATATATGAATATGCGCGTTGGATTAGTACGCATCTTGAGAGGGTGGGTTTAGGTGGACGAGGAAGGTGGTACGTACAGCATTCATCTGTGGATGGGGTATCGTAAGCAGTTTGTTGCATAGAGGCGCATAGGGAAGAGAGAGGGAAAGATACGCACTAGCAAACTCCGTCCCCGCAACCGTATAATTCAACGCCTCGCACTGGCCCACACAGCTCTGTATCGTGTTGCTCGCGCCGCCTGTCACCTGGAACGGCCCTATCCTTCCGTGGGCGTTATCCCTGTTTAAATTCACCACAACCCGTCATTCCCTTCCCCGCCAAAAAAAGGACAAAGAGAACTTACACCCAACAAGCATTATACGCCCACCCACTTGGCAAACCATCCAACACCGGGAACACATCCACTATCCCCCCTCCCCCGCCTCCGCCTCCGCCTCCTCCTCCGGGGCCGGAGATGGGGGGCAGGTCAGACCCGGTATAGTTGTATACGGAGAGCCGGTTGGGGCCGCCGCATAGCTCGGTAGAGTTGCCGGCACAGACCATGTTGCACTCTGCGGCGGGGACGGGGGCGCCGCCGTTTGTTATTTCGGAGGCGCAGTCTATGGAGAAAAAGAGGGGGGAGGGAAGGGGTAAATGGGGGTTAGAAGGTGGGAGAAAGGGGAAGGAGAGGAGGGCTTACAGCATTCACTTTAATAACCAAGGGGGACAAAGGGGAAAAGAAAAGACGTTAGCGCATCGCACAAAAGCCATACGGCGAAAGCAAATAATAATAATAATAAAGATACGCACGCAGAATACTCCGTCCCCGCAATCCCATACCCCGCGTTGAAGCACGCGGTGGTGCACGACTCGATGCTCACGAGGCCCTGCACGGGCGTGCCGTGTGCGATCGCGCGTCCTTGGTCGTTGACGTTGTCGCTGTTTGGGGGTGGGGGGGTGGGGGGAAGGGGGTGAGGTTAGTGATCATTGTTACAGTAAGAGAGGTAAAGTGAAGGCGACAACGTGGACTGAGTGTTGGTCGCGAGCGTGGTCAAAGATAGCTTGTAGCTTGGTGAAGGACGTAGAAAATAGACGGCTCCACGTCGTCAACGAGCAGGAGGTCAACGTCGACATCGGAGTTTGCGTGCGTCGACGTTAGTCTGCTCGGCGCTTCCCATGTTATGTCACGCCACCCCATGCTGGCCCACGTCCAGAATTAATATGAAGATGAAATGCGAAGATGAAGTGTGAAGATGAAGATGGAATGCGAAAAGGAAGATGAAAAGGAAGATGAGAACCCAAAACAAGCTTTTCCCAGCCGGCAGGCCGTCAAGGCGTGTTCGTAGCCTCGTGGTTGAGAGTTTGAGTTCTGTCGACCGCGTGCGTAGGGCGTGCCGAGGAGGAAGAGGAAGTTGGGGAAGGGGAGAAGTGGAAGAGGAAGGAAAAGAAGGAGAGAAGGCAAGAGGAAGAGGAGAAGGCAAGAAGGCAAGTGCAAGACGGGAGTAAGAGACGAACAAGAACGAGAGAAGGGGAAGAGAAAAGGGAGAGCAAGTGCAAGAGAAGACGAAGAGGAAGACTTGAACAAAGACATGAACACGAACACGAACACGAATACGAACGAAAGAACAGAAAGATCGAACACAACCTCACAGAACGCGAGGAATAACCCCAAAAAAAAACGAAAACCAAACACCAAAAGAAACACCCACCTATAGCACCCCAACAAACTCCACAGCCCGACGCTCTCTACGAGCGTTGGGGCGGCGGACGGGGCCTGTCCGTTCCAGAAGAGGGTCATGCGTCCAGCGGCGCCGCACTGCTGTGTCGTGTCTCCTGCGCACGGGGTGTTGCAGTCCGAGAGGGGCGCGGGTGTGTGTCCTGGGGTGAGGGAGTTGCCGCAGTCTGGAGGAGATGGGATGGGGGTGGGGAGGTATTTATGCGAGGAGAGTCAGCGAACGGGAAATGAATCACGCAGGCGAAGGCGAAAAGTAAAGTAAGCAAGCCAAGGAGCGTAGGGTACAAGGAATGAAGGGTATGGCTATGGCTATGGGCCCAGCCAGCGCGAGAGGAAGAGTAGTAAGACGAGACGCGCGAAGAAGCCCGGATCGGCCTGTGGCTACCATTACGCGCTGTCCGAATCGACAATCTCCATCGCGTACGCGCTTCGCTGTCGATGTCGATGTAGGGGGGCAGTGAGCTGATGGGCCCTTGAGCCTGAACGGGCTCGAGCAGAAGTCTTCTCCCAACCCGTTCGGGAAGGCGAGGGAGCAGGAAAAGTAAAAGGGGGTAGGACAAAAGGGGCTAGCGCGGCTCGGAGGCTCGGAGAATGCGCGTGTGAGGGGAGGGTCGGTGATTGGAAGGAGAGACGCGAAGATCGCGAGGAAAGGGGCAGTACGGTACGCTGATGCACGAAAAGAAAGGAAGGAAGGAAGGAGGCTTACAGCATTCGATCTACAAGCACATGAACAAGGCAATGCAATGGCGAGATGGATGGATCAATCAGTGCGGCGGGGAGCATCGGGGAGGGGGACGAGGAGATAGGAAGGGAGATAGGAAGGCAGTCAGCCATCACAAAAAGTTGGGGAGGCAGAAAGGACGCACCCCGAACTCGGTCCCAGCGTACACCATCCCCTGCGCGTCGCAGAACGCGAGACACGTCTCGATCGTCATCGTCGAGCTCGCCTGGGTCGCGCCCTGTAGCGTGCGCGAGCCGACAGCGTCGCTGCATCGTGGTGGTCAAGGTCAGAGACGCGTCATTATGGGAAGGGGACGTACGTGACGCAGCCTTGGAACTCCCATGTGCCCGGGAGCTGGGCGGGGACGGACTGGCGCCGGCCGTGGTGGTGCGTGTACGCGATATGGTCGTGCGCCGATACATAAGGTAGTTGCTGTACCAGGGGGGGTTAGCATATAAGAAAGAAAGAAGGAAGGGGAGTAAGGCGCACAGGAAGGACAGTGAGAGCGACGAGAGCCGCAAAGGAGAGGACGTTCGCCTTTCGTGGAGGCGCACCAGTCGCACGTGGAGGAGCGTCGCCAACACCCATCGCGCTCATACACAGGTTAGAGTTGGGGCCAACCGCTAACGTTACGAAGAGCCTCTCTCTCTCCTACCCCCGAGCTTATATACGCCGCACATCCAGGTCAGGGGGGGAGGAGTCATCTGTACACGCGAAATGCTTGTACGTACGTACCCAACAGCGGTGAGTTCTGCGCGGTCTATTTGCGTTTTACGGAACGCGACATCTCTCATCACCCTTGGCCGAAGGAGGCACCCCGCACCCGTACACACGAAACCGTACGTTACCCGTACGTACATGCGAACGGTGGCCAAGCCGGTACGCGCCGAGGTGCTGATATGGCTCCGTTGTTCCCGTCGACGGACGTTGTTCTTTCGCTTCGATGATCTGAATCCCACACACCCAGCACCTCGGCAAGGTGGTATCAGGGCAGATCTATCTCACTGAGCTGTCCATCTGCCACCACCACTTCTGTCTGTCTGTCTGGTATTACTGGCGATACACCCTTGAAAGTCGGCCTGAACGCGTCTCGTTCTTGGTCGACCGCCTCTGCCACGGACGCGGCGCGCCGAGAATGTCTTTGCCCGGACCATATGTGAGCGTGAACAAGAGAAAACTGTCGACGTCCAAAAAAACTTGATCGCACCTGTCTGACATGTCTGTCTGTCATCTTTCCTTCCTCCGTCCCTTCCTTCACCTGGTCCTGGGACGTCAAAATCAACTGGAACGCCCATCAGGAATCAGGAGCGGTGGATCACCGCGACGCTAGCACTGGGATCAGACGTCCATGCGAAGACGTCCATATCAGCCTTGGGTGGTATGCAAGTGCGAGCGTCGTGGGCTCAGCCGCTCAAGTACTCAGTACTCAGTGCTTGGGGTGTCACGACGTGAAGCAAGGATTCAGAGGGTAGGTGGTATGCGGTCCTTGGGCGAAAGGATCTACTACTAGCCCCACACAACTGTTACTGCACCAGCGACGACTCGACTCGACTCGTAGATTCATCAAGAAATTTATTTTCGTCGCTACTGCAGCTCGAAGGACGTTCACTGGAAGAAAATACCGTGACGAAATAACCTACTAGTACCAAGCATTCCGCTCCCCGGCCGACCTGACCTATCCTGTCCTGTCCTGGCCTGACCACGCCAACGTCCACCAGGTCGATTAATATGTCCTCTGCAGCATACCGAACCTCGCGAACCCTATGCATCGTTCCTCTGCTGACCGACCCGCTTCAGCATTCAACAAGCTTCAAGAACTTCAGTAGTCGCTCACATGGATGAAAAGAAGGTCTTCCACGAGCCTATGCCTGCTCTATAATAAACCGGGACCTTGAGGCCTGAGGCCGGACATACGAGGACGTACCGTGTACAGTACTACAGAAGACCTTCAAGAAGACCTTCAAGAAGAATCGTGACAGCATCGAACGGTCGTGACAGTGCGCTGTCGGACGCGGAGACTTGTCGCAGGAACCGAAGATACCTGATCTGATAAAAATAAAAATAAAAATTGATGCATCATATGCCTCACTTCGAACGAAGAACGAAGAACCACCAGCTGCTCGTCCGAGCGAGCGCTTTTCGCTGCGCCGTCGAACCCAAACTCACACTCAAACGCGTCGAATTCCGGAATCCCGTGCTCGTCGCAGGCGGCTCGTTCGCATTATATAAGTGTCGGGGTTAATGCGCAGATAATGATATCGGCGTCGAAGGCAGGTACAGCAGGACAAGAAAGCACCCAAGACGAGGCGTGTAAGGCAGGAAGATGAAGCCCAAGCGCCCTCGGCGGGCCTCGAGCTCTCACAACCAAACGTACTCGAAACGTAAACGGAGCATCTTGAAGAGTGTAAGAGTGTGAGTACAGCCAAAAGTAAGAGTCTCTCTAACCCCACTTCCTCCTGCACCGTCGACCGAACACAGGTACTGACTGGGCATCCGAGTGCGTTCCTCGTCTTGTCTGTATACAGTATGTATTATCTTGTAAGTACCTTCTTTTGTTGTACAGTCAGTAAAATTACTTACGTTCCGAATCACCGTTGACCGCGTACGGTTTACCTACACGCCACCTCCTCACTAATATCTTACCGTTTACCTTTACCTTTTACGTGCACGCGACACACGTGCCTGGAACCCTGCAAAAATAGGTGCGAGGGTTGACTTACGGGGAACCGTACCTTGCGGTGCGTGCGGTGGGTAAGTCCGTGCCCGTGCCGGGTCGGAGGGAAACTTTAAATGGAGCACAAGGAACAAGGAAGGCGGGAGGATAAGAGGAAAGCGGGAGGATAAGGATAAGAGGATAAGGATAATTATAACCCTCTTCACGAGCATGCGAGGACCGGCTCGAAGGTAGGCGTGAGTAGAGAGGTTGAGTGAGCGCTTGGCGCCAACCCGCCGAGCGCTTAAGCTTGAGCTTATGTTACTGTTACCGTACGGACTCGGACCCAGTCGTTGGACGCCGCCGTCCAACATCCTTCACCGGACACCTTCGCCTTCCGCTGGTTCTCTATGTACACAAACATGAGCCGTTTAGTCGTTCTCGATGTTCTTTCTGTTCCGTCCCTTCTTCAACTTCTATTTGTCTCGTCTCGTCACTTCGCTTCGTTTCACGCTGTCAGCATCGAGGAACCGGCCGCTCTATCCACGTACCACGCCACGGCGGTGCCACCACCCAATACCACCGTCCTCCGTCCACCGTCTACGGTCTATCATAATTTCGGAAGTAACCCACGCCGGAGCCTCCGGAGGCTGAATCAAAACATTAATTGAAGGCTCCGGACGTTGATCCGTCATACGCACTCTAACAAAGGAAAGGGTGTGGTAAGGTATTATGGAATGCGGCTTTTGTTTTGATATCGATTTTGACTACCATCGGAGGGTTTTTGGAAGGCTTAACGTTTGGACGTTGACGCGACGGGTGTACATAAATGCTGTTGGGATGGGAAGCGGCGTCGCCTACGGACTCTGGAGGCGACGAGACGAGGAAAGGTGGACCTAGAGGAGGGGAGGCTTGGATCCAGGCGAAGAGGAGGACAGGCGGGGAGGAGAGGAATGGCAGAGGAATGACAGAAGAAGGAAGGGAGTAGGGAAGAGACGATAAGCGCCCCGACCGCTCTCGTTCTGGTTCTCTCTCATTACTGAAAACCGAGGAGTTGAGGTATTTTACTGTGGCATCGGCAAGGCGTTTGTTCCCTTCCTCCCCACCACCCCGTCTCTGCCTTGCTTCTCTGTCGCATTGCGTTCCGTCTGAGTGTTCTTGCCCTTGTTTTATTTTGCTTCCATGTGCGCTCTTCCTTTATTCCGTCTCCGAGTCCCGACTCCATTTCCCCCGTGTGTCCGTCTTCCGCACGTCCGATAGAGGGTGCCGAGCGGTGAGCGTGGCTCGGGATCAAGAGGTTGGAGCGGAAGCTTGAGCCAGGAACATTATAATTTAAACCATGATCTCGAGGGTTGGAGTGGGAGGTAATTGAGGTGCATGAAGTCTCGCGTGTCAGCGTTCACGGATAATTACTATCATTCCTCCGACTCCAGTCGCGTTCGGCATCGACGAAAACACAGAACGTTTCACCAGCGCAGCCGGCACCGACGCCCCTTCTCTACCCTGTCGGCCCTCTTACTTCTCTTCCTCACTTCGCTGTCCTTGTCAGCTGTAGAGCAACACTGATGTACCTTTCTGGTCTCCACGCGAGGCCTAGGTCTATTATTACGAGGTATATAGAACTAGAACAAAAATAAAAATAGTTTTTCGTACCTGAGCCAGGGGTATTTTGGAGGGCAATAACGAGGGACATGGAGAATTATTACCTGAGTAGAGGTTATTTGCAGTTCTGAGGGCTGCACAAATCCGTGAATCCGATTGGCTTGGGGCCTCCTTCAGTGAACGAGATTTGGACGGTTCTAGGAATATTCGAAGTGAAAATAACCTCTAGTGTTCATTCGCGGGTTGACGCTTTACGCGTCGAACGCGTCGATAGTGTAAGCAGGATCCTGAGCACGAGGGGAATTAACAAGCACTCTGAGGTTGCGGGAAATTCCTATCAGTAGACTTTGGGTACGGATGCTCAAGCGCACGTCCTGTTGTGCACGTAACTTTGGGTCGTCGCGGAGGCACAGTGGCTGGATTGGTCGTCTGCCGTGAAAAGCGCTCACCCATTCCCTTTTATGCTCTCCTCTATCAGTTTGTTCTTTTCTTCGGCGTTCCCTTGTAGGCTCTGTACGTCCAATATTCAGTTGACAGTTGAAATTTGAATCTGAACTACGCACTCGCCTCACCCTGAGGCACAACGCCCCCCAACACCCCCTGGCGCGAATCTTCATTATTTTTTGACTTTGGAAATTACGACCGTATCAGATTTCGATTTTTATGAGGGTTGTCGTAAGCCGGGCTCATCTATCATTAAACACCGAGGTTTTCTCACTGATAAGTGCTTGTTGACGGTTCAGGTCCCTCCAGGTCCGAGCATTCGAGAATCATGGAGGATTACGGGATATGTCAGACGGGAAACTGATGCAGGCAGATCATGTATGATGGAATTGTTCTGTGGTGACTTCGAGGGCGGGTGATGGGCCGTGGCAGAGGCTGATAGAGTACATGCGCATTGGGCGCAAGACGGTCCTTGTCCTTGTTCTTTGTCTTTGAGTCGTACTTGGCCCTTCAGTTAAAGTATGCGAGGCGTCTTTTGGTGGATGGATGTAGAAGGGCAATCATGATCAAGTTCCTCAGCCCCAGAAAGCAGGAATGCGAACGTCGCGCGACAAGAGAGCAGACCTCGAGGTTCTCAAGCCCAGGATCCGAGACGTCGACGGCAGCGATCTTGATTCCTGAGCCCCGTATAAGGCAACGAAGAGAAGGGGCAGAACATGAGCTGCCTCGGGAGGTGTTGCCAGATCAAGAGCTGTCGTAATTTTGTGCATTCTGCGAGGGCGGGCTCTGAGTCGGCGATTATGTCAGCGGGTGGTGGGATTTTGGGATTTGGGTAGAGGCCATCTAGACTTTGGGCTCGTGTGTGGGCGCTGTTCCTTAGGAAGAGCTAAATAATCGACGAGCGCTAATGGAACCGTGGCTCTATCGCGAAATTTAAGCGAAGACCCTGAAGAACTTGGACAGGAATAATGGTTGCCGGGATTCGGTCACACATGGATGCCCGAGGAATTCTAATATGGGGAATTTGGCTGTGGGAGAAGGAGGAGGCGTGGAAGGCGAGGCGTTGGGGCCAATTTCCCTGCTCGTGACTGGAGTACCACGTGACAAACTTTAAGTGAGCGGCTTGGAGGCGGCAGACCAAACAAAGGACGCTGGTTGGACGTCGGGGTCCAATCGCACTCTTTCAAATTCCTCCTCCGCACCAAACCTCCTCTACGGTGAGCCAACTTTATTCTCCAAATCAGAAACTCTAATGCTCACTCCAATCATCTCCATCCAACCCCTGTCCTCATCGTTGCCCCCGATGCTGACGCTTCGTCTCCAGTCCCCACGATGTCTGCTGGCCAGCACAACTCCCTCCAGCATTCGTCCTGGACAGAGCCTCCGTGGTCGGGCTGGATAGAGACCACCGGAGATGCCCTGCTCATCCTCGAGGCTGCCCGTCGCGGCCTCATCCCACGCGTCACCCGTCGCCTCGTCGACTCCGAGCGCAAGATGATCACCTCCGGCTCTGTCTTCGTCTTCGACGAGGACGAGAGCGGCATCAAGCGCTGGACCGACGGATTCTATTGGAGCCCCTCCCGCATCCTCGGCAACTTTCTCCTCTATCGCGAGACGGACAAGCGCGTTCCGGGTCATCGCAACCCCCGCAACGAACCCGAAAACGCTGAGGGCTTTGCCAACGAGAACAACAAGGCCGATGGATCCCTGAGTCGCCCCAAGAACGACACGTTGGCCATTTCCGTGGACAAACACCGAGAAAGGACCCTCATGGGAAGTTTGACCAATAGCTACAAGTTCAAGCCTGATGGCCTGATGAAGAAGGTTGGGATCCTCTGTGTTGCTGCTGCTTTGGAATGGATGGACTTACACCGCGTATCAGACGTTTTCGCTGACGATTGGTGGGGTTGCGCAACATTTGATTTCCTACTACAAGATCGAAGATGTCGAGAACGGTCGCTTGCGCTGCCCTTCCTCACTCCCCGAGCTCGCATCGCTTGACATCAGCCCCGAATACCTCGACAAAACCCACTTCCGAAACCCACCCAAGGTCGAGATCGGCGTCGATGGCATCCCACGGTACCGCGGCGAGGCAGACGACATCGACACTTCGTCGTCCATCCTCTCAGCGCCGCTCTCGACAGGAATGCCCCTTCTCACCGAAGGCCGTCTCGCTGACCCTGCCATCATGGGTGCTGGCCCGTCTAGCGTCATCAAGAGGGAACGAGGAAAGAGATACGAACCGTACGGCTCGCCACCCGTTTCTAAACGCGCCAGGGGGAACACGAAGACTTCCCAGCCAGAGGAAGATTCTCCCATCGATGACGGCCCGGTCACTCCGGAAGCTGCAAGTGCGAGTTCGACGCCTCAGCCTGCCCCACAGCAAATTCAACAACAGACAAGTCAACAAGCAAACCCACCTGCAGCCCTACCAGGCTATCCCGATCCGAATGCACCTTTCAACCTTGGCATGGGTGTCGGCGGCGTGCCGCCCCAGATGCACCCGCCGCCTGGCACCTATCCTGCCTATGGGATGCCGCCTTTCTATCATGGCTACCCACCTCCGCACATGTACGGCGCGCCTCCTCATGGACCAGCCATGACCCAGCAACACGGCGCGACCCCATACACCGCACCTGGAGGCCCGCCACCTGCACCTGGCGTCCAAGCCGCCCCCCAAGGCATCGGTGTTGGCGTTGGCGCTCCAGGTCAGCAAATGGTGCCGTACGGCTACCCACCACAACACATCCCCCCACCTCTCGCTGTTAGCTCCAGCTCCAACCCCGGTTCGAACGCTGGGTCGACACCTGCGACTCCAACCGTGTCCACGCCGACTCACCACGGTGCAGGCACGAACGCAGGAGCGCCGTATGCGACGCAAACGTCCGCCGCGGCGCTGCAACAGCAGCAGGTGCATGGCAGTGATCCATCGCAAGCAGGGCACGCTGTGCCTCCGCCTGGAGCGCCCTCTATCGGCGTCAGTACCTCCACAACCACGACGGGTACTGGTGCTGGTATGACCCAGGCGCAGACACCCGGCCCTGCGACCCCCACCGCCCAGTCGTCGGCGCAAGCGATGCATGTGCATCCCGCGCAGCCGACGATGCATGGCCAGCCGCCGCCGGCATACTACCCGCAGTACTACCACCACCCGCCGCATGCCCACCCGCACGGGTACGCGCCGTACCAGTGGGCCCCGCCTGGTGCGTACGCGCCCTACCCGCCTCCACCCATGAACGCCCCGCATCACCAGATGGGCGTTGGGATGGGGGTTCCGGGCATGGGTATACAGCCCGCGATGCAGCCGCTCCCTGGCATGGGCATGGGGATGCAGATGGGCGTGGGTATGTCGGCCATGGGCCAGCCTCCGCACGCGTACATGTACCACACCCAGCCCGCGCCTGCTCATGCGCCACCTCCGCAACCACAGCAGCAACAGCAGACGGCGATAGCGCACCAGCAGGTGCATGCGCAGACGCAGACTCATAGCCCTGCTGAGTCGCCGCACGGCGGAACTGGGACCGGGGGCGGTGGGGGCGGTGGGGATGGGGATGATGATGGGTCGGGCGAGGGCGAGGAGGATTAAGTCTAGGTGGACGTGATATGGGAAGATGGATGGCTTGTGGTTCCCTGTTGTCGTTGACATCACTTCTCGTCCGTCCGTCTGTCGTCCCGTGTCCTGCTCTTTTTTTATCTATTCTCGCCTCTTTTTTCATCGTTGTTGTGTGTAATGTTCTAACCTCTCCTCTTTCTTCAGCTCTCCTATTTATTTTCTGTCTCCTGCTGTCTAATACCTTTGGCTCTGGCTCCTGGTCTCGTCTCGTCGTCCTCCCTGCCTTTCTATGCTGATGGTCCTGCCTTCTCCAATTATGCTTACCTTCGCCCTTTCTTTCTTGGTTGTGCGTCTATTGTTTACTACTCTACCCTCCTTTCCTCATGCTATGCTTCCTACCCCCTCTTGTTACGATATGTCTGTTCTATGCTGAAGAATACTCCATTCCCCACCCTCTTGTTGTGATTCTGTTCTTTTAGACTGCTGATGTTGTTCTCGTCCTTCTCTGTACCATACATCTCATTTACCTTTCAGGCTGATTGTTACTATCAAGTCATCTCTCCCCCTCTCTAATCTCAAGTCCCTCCTGTCGTCCTGATGTGAATATGCACCCTTGCTCAAGGCAAATATGGTGTCCCCAGGTTCTAGTTCTCTGCTTTCATCGTCGCTTTTGAATGCTGATTTGATTTGTTACATCATTACCCTTCACTGTCGTTTCGTGGATTGGTAACGTAGTAGTGATGGTGTTAGTGTGTTTTGTCGAGTAGTTGTGCTCTAATCGAACGTTCGGGGTCCGACGTTCTTTATGTTACCTCGAGGGAGTAAACTTGTCTCCAATTTCGGCCCGGACCGGTTTCTCCGATGCTCTGCATTTCTTCTGATCTCAGCTTGCTGCAAACGCCATCTGTCTAGGAAGGAAAACTCACTTCTAGCTGGTTCATCTCGTCTGCAAGCCAAAATGCGACTCGCAGACACTCACAACGCCCTCCCAGCCCAGCCTTGCGTTGATCATTAACAATCTACGCGAAAGCCTCCCTATCGGCGCTTATTCCCATTCACTCTTCTTCTAGCGTCTGCCGCGCCTTCGAAATCCGGGACGAGCACTCAATCAAAATGGAGGATCCGGGGTTTGATTCGTTTCATTTTCATGGATTGTTTTGCCAGCATCGCTGTTCACGATTTCATGATTTCCAAGCACAGAAGGACAGCCTCCGCGTCTGCTGAATGTTGCAAGTCCCACTCCACACGGGAGAGTTCTATGATTTTTGACAGATGACAGGTGAAGGCAGGCTAGGTGATAGTCGAGGCCCACCGCGAGGTCGTGGTTGGCTGTGTCTTTGAGAATATCGAAGGGAGAATGTTTGAACGGGACGTACCAAGGAACTTGGGTATATTTGAAGAATCGCTGTTCCGAATAAGACGATAGTAGTGATTATGTTTTTTGGGAGGTAGTGAGACGCCTGTTACAAATGAATTGAGTAAGGAAGGTATTTCTGAGTCGGGTATGCTACATAACTCGAACATATCCTAGAGTTCCTCCTCAGACATTCAAACTCTTCTGCTCCATATTCAAGATTTGGTGGATGATAGTCTTCATTAACGGATCGTAATGCTAATATCGATCTCTCCGTCGGCCCGAGAGCTCATCACAAATTCTCCATACTCAGATCCACCCGCAGACTTAAAGAAGCGTGAAGGCCTCAACTCTCGGCACGGAATTGGTACATTGACACAGCACTTCGCAGACCGCAGTTCCCCTTCTTTCGAAGTCTACACGGGTGGATCAATGAAAAGCACCGCTTAGTCAATGTTACCCCAGATGACCTTCGGTTTTGGCATCGGTAAGCATGATTGAGGAGCAAGGACAGCCCGGGTCCTCGTGTTTCGGCAGAGGCATTTCTCGGAGAAATGAGAATTGGGACCTCTTCTTCTTTTCGATCATGTTAATTGACTGTTCCGAATACATTTACTTGGGCATCCCAGAGATTTGGGCATTGGGAGATCCGAATCGGATAGATACTGCTTAAAGTAGTTTCGAAGAAGCGGTGAGCTCGCGGAACGACGCGACTCAGGTCAGGTTTCTTTCAAATCTCATCAGTGTGTTTTTTTACTGGCTCGCTTGATGTAGGTTTATTTGCCACTCACTTCTGTGTATTTTTTTTGCAGCGTGAATGCCTCAATCAAAGTTGTATCATGGAGCCGAGATCATTTTCGACGAGAATGTGGCCGTCTTATTGGGTAGGACGCAGGTAGTCCGGGAAAATGAGATAAGGGAAGAGCTGTACTTGTTGTGCTGTAGTGCAAACGTTGAAATCTATCCTCCGAATGAGGCAGCTGGAAAGGGGCCCGACGCGTCGACGCGTCCACAAAGTTTGCTCGTGCTTGGATCATGGTTACGTAAGGATAGACTCCGGCGTGCCGACGGTTTCAGAGCCGCTTCGCTTTCCGAGTCGTTATAACATGTAAGCCTTGTCCCCATCCATGAAATCATATGTCTAATTCATCTTCCTAGTCTGGGAACAACACTTATAAACCCAAACGATGTCCTTTACAGAGTCTGAGGCTTCGAGGTGCTCTCCGAGTCTTTGCGGCTTCAGACGAGAGGACGATTCAGATCCGCGATACGTCCCCCATGCGAGCCCAAGAAAGACGAGCCCCGTACGCCCTGCTTGGACTTCATCAAGCTGGAGGGAAAGATTCGCGAAGCTAGAAATCTTCTCGACCAGTTACTTTCTCAACAACATTCCTTCAAATCCAGAGTCAACGAGGTTCACGATACACTCACCACCAAACTCCCTCCTGAACTCGTCTCGCGGGTCTTCGCGTTCGGTATATCAGAGGACTACCGTGGTGCTCCTGTACTGCAACAGGGCTCAGTTCGAGGTATCTGTCCCCGCCTTTGCTCTTTGGCTCGATATGCAAGACGTGGAGCAAAATCGCTGCATCGACACGCCAGCTGTGGAATCGGCTTCACCTACATATCAGAAAGCGAGATATTAGCTATCAAGCGTGGGCCGTCACAGAGTGGCTGGCACGTTCTGGGCGCCTCCCCCTTTCAATTCGAATTGTTGCTCAGGACCTACGTCCTTCGTCGTCGGGTGTCTACGACCCCATTTTTGATGCGTTGAACCAGCATTCCAATCGTTGGAAGGATTTGAATGCAAGGACTCCGTCAGAAGTGGTGTTCAAGCTACGTGGGGCAATGCAACTATTGACAAGTATTTGCATACGGACCCACCAGTATCGGGGTTGGGACTCGGGGAGACACCAACCCGAATTCGTTCCCTCTGAGATACGCCCGATGCCCGCTGTGGTCCATATTTCTTGCATATTCGGTTCTTTCATACAGCACCCTTCCTAGTATGCTTACATACGGGCCGGTAGTTCTCGTTGGGGACCACACCAGTGATTTCACAACCAACCAACCAACCTTCTGGTGCTCCAGTGTCATGATCTCGGATGACTTCTGGAATTCATTAGGAGGGAGAAGGGGATAACGGACCATAGCTCCTTCCTCACCTTTGACATCTATCCTTCACAGGTGTACGCCACTTCTCTTGCAGTGCCATCACCAAACCTTCTCCTTCGGTCTCCGACCCTGAAATGCGTCACCTACGACCACTTCGAACACTGGAGCTGATGATCGCACGGACTTCATTGATGAGGTAACCATTGGGCGCGTTCTGGAATTAATCAAGGCTGGAGTCCTAATATCCGTCAGGGACGAGAAAAAGGGTGTCAGTTTGGTCAAGCAGTCTCAAAAACATTATCGAGCGTTGGGCGGAGGATTAGCGAGATACAGTGAGGACTGGCTGGAAGACATTGATGGCGAAGATGAGAGCGGAGAAGGAGAGAACTCGGAAAAGGGGTACAGACGATAAAGAAGAGACGGACATCTCGGAGAACTGGAGCGCATAGTATATTAAGGATTTACTCTGAGCCTGTTATTTGACTTGATATTCCAGATGTCAACCAGATGTATCCTTCAGATTTCTGTCAAGCTATGTAAGATCATGCCAGAGACTCTGCAATTCCTCTGCGCTGAGCCCAAACACTAGGCCTTAGGGGTGGCCCCTGACGCTGCGACGCGTTCTTTGCTATTGTTTGGCGCTGAACGCGTCGGCACAAATTTCCAGCTGGCAGCAACCCTCAATTTCCCCTTCAACATCGTTCTACTCTACTTTCTCCTTACCTGATAAGCAATGACTATTTCACCGACTCGAAATGTAGGCAACTCCAAACGAATGCATTTCTTGACATTGCTACCACATCCTGTTTCGATGTTTCTTCAAGCCCCAAGATCGGAAACCAAACCAGGTGGATTCTTTCTTTCACATCCTTAGAACGCATATACCTGAAACCTCGGGCAGCATACTATTTCCCCCGTAACAGGAACCCAGGTTCAACGGTCAAAAGGGGGCTCCACAAGGCACACCCAGCTCGGGCTGTAGGCCAAGTTACTCCAACAAGTTCCTCCCATGGATTCAACAAAATAGATGGGACGACCAATCCTCAGTCTTCTCATTGGCTATGGGATGAGTGGTGGCGCTCCCGGGCTGCCCAAGGGGAACGAGAGCTGGCTCGGGAACCGTGCATATCTTTCATGAGACGACTCTTCGGCGAAATGGGGAACCACAGTGGTGCGTATCTCTGCTTGTTCGCCACTGCGACCTTATTCAGGCTATGCCGTATTTCAGTAGGTCGTATCCTTGGATCACGCCTAGGCTGTTGCGCCCCACTGGCCGGCCATGTGGAGTAGCGGATGAGATGGATAGTTGCTTCCGAGCAGATAAAACCCGCGCCAGCCCACCTCCATGGTTCCCAAGATAACCTACCATGGAGCTCGCATGCAATACAGAAGTCGCGTCAACTCGATGAGAAACGTACGACGGCAGGCCTACAGCGGGTTATGTCTTCCAAGGCAGGGGACACCTATGTCATCGCAAGAGCATTGGTTGGAACAGACAGGGCCTGGATTCTGTCTTTTAGCCTTGCGGCGTAGAAGATCAATGCATTCTGACCTGATGTCCTGTAATCACGGCGAATGCCCTTGCGTTAGCTCCACGCGCGTCTGTTCTCCATCTACCAGCTTTGGATCGGCCACAACCAGCAGCGCAGGTGAGCTTGAAGTCAATCGGTCGAATAGGACCTTCGTCTCATAGGTGTTTTCAGAGATTTCTAGGTCTACGTTGTGCGTTACTCGCTCACTATCAACATTTTGGTCAGAGACGTCGCTGCGTAGCCAGCGCCTGCGTCGGTCAAAACGGAGATCGTCATTTCTCAAAACAAGCGTATGACGCAATGCCAGGAACAGCACTTATAGAAAGGACATCTTTACCCCGCGTTTACCTGCTTTCAGTCCCCCCTTTTTGGCGGCCCATACCTTCACTGTGGCCTTTCCCTCTGCATGGCCACCTAGCACCTTACGATCTCTCCATCCCCTAAGCACTTCGACGTCGCGTGCTAGCTCGTCCCTGGGTCGGACGTGATCAACAATTACCACGCTTTGACGCGTTTGGTAGACACTGCCTCCTTTTTCCCACTGGGACTCATCCTGACAAGAGTCAGTGGGTACTACTGCTAGTCTCTCTCATCACAACGTTCGAGGTATGCACATCTGGACGTCGTACCTCGGACACGCATTACGTTTGCCCCCTCCGGGTGAGTCGCCTGATATGGTACCAGTCTTCGCAAAGCCTAATCGGTGTCGCAGGATGTCGAAAATCATTACGCCTTACTTTCCTAGTTTTCTCTTCGAATTCTGGCTCTCTGCGTAAGTTCTCTTATCCTTGCCTTCTTTGTCGATTCTAAATCGGCGCATCAGAGGACCTACACTCCCCAGTCGTCCCCCACGGGTCCACCTCTATGACATCTACGACAATGAATTGACGGAAACCCACCAAGTACCCAAGCAAGCGACGTCCATCTTCCAGGACCTGGATATTGGCCTTCTGGAGTTCAGAACACGTGCTTGTCTACGCGACGCTGAGATTGCTTTCACGCATCTAGAATCAGAGGTTCAGTCTGTTCTGACCGACCTGTTGAATCGAACAGTATGGAGTGGAGAGGACGTGGCAACCAAGAGATCTCTCTCATTTAATCGAAGCGACGTCGAAACTTTGCGTAAGTATTTCGTGTTTCTACGATTCCGCAACAGCGCAGCATACTCGAAGACTGTCTGTTCTCTTGTGGAGTCCTCTCAAGAGACCCCAGGGGACTTCTCTTCGGCATTCCAGCCGCTCATCGTTGAGTTTTGGATCCGTTACATTCTTGGGAATATCATCGAGTTTTTGTGCCACACGTCAGCTGATGGGCCGTTGGTGAAGACACGTCCAGAGGTTCCAACACTCAGCATATCGGTTAGCGCCTTTCAGGACGCCATGGAGGTTTACTGTTGGAGGCTGTGCGATGCCGAGCTGTGCATCGGAATTGCCACCGAGGACCAGGAGTTCATGCTATCCGATCGGTGCTTTGGCACACTGGACGAAGGATTTGACGAGGATCCGTGAGTATGGTCAATTTTTTGCCTGTATGCAACTTACTAATGTTTCAACAGCGAATGCTGCGATCTCTTCTTTCCTGTCTTCCCAACCCTTGCATTGTATGTCCTTGGAACGGCAGACGGTCACTACCCTTCGGCATCAACCTATCGCCAGAAGAGCCGGTCGACTGTGTGGCTCGATATCGGTCTCGAGTCGGCCTCTGACGTCCATCTGCGAAATGCGATGATCCTTCAGACATATCCCCAGCATCTCTACTTCCAGTCCCTGCGCACTGTCGCACTGTCAATCTCCTCGTACGACGAGTTCCGCTGGATTCAAGAACATCAGGATTACAGCCGGCTCAAGCAGCGATGTCGCCAGAAGTTTCTGCAAGAGACTGTTACGAAGACCTTGGTCGTCAAAGGATCATTAATTGTGACCGATCTCACTGATGAGGTTGTAATCATGGGTGATTCGGCCGTCGCGCATGGGTCATTCTCTGACGTGTGGAAAGGGATGTGGGATGACCCGATCGAAAGACGACCCCGAGTGGTAAATTCTCTACAATGATTGAATAAATTCGTTGAACTGAATAATGTGCAGGTAGCTCTGAAGTTCTTGCGCCAGGTCATGGTGCAGAACATCCGCGAAAAGCTTCTCAAGGTTTGTCTGTTACGATACGATTCGTCCCTCGTCTTAATGATTGTGTAGCGTCTTCAAGCGGAAGTCCTTGCGTGGCATCGTTTATGCCACAGGAACGTCAGTCAGCTCTTCGGCATCGTGCAATCACCCTACAGCATAGCCATGGTCTCGCAGTGGTGTGACAACGGCACCGTTTCGAACTATCTCAAGCAATGCCCAGACGCGAATCGGCTCAAGCTGGTCCGCACTTTTCTTTCTCTGCCATAACGCTGCAATTCACTTTCGTTGTTATCAGTTGGTGCAAGTCGCTTCGGGTATTACCTATCTACATACCTTAAACATTATCCACGGCGACCTGAAGGGTGGCAATATTCTCGTCGACCAGAGCGGGAATGCCATCATCACCGACTTCGGCCTCTCGAAGGTCATGGAAGAGATGTCCGATACTATGAACATGGGCACATCTTTCTTCGCGGGATCGACACGCTGGATGGCTCCTGAGCTCATCAATGCCCTTGTTGCCGATGAAGGCGTGATTCCCTCCATCACGACCTTCAGTGACGTTTACGCTTTTGCCTCAGTATGTCTCGAGGTCAGTTTGGCATCTTGCAGCAATCTTCGACGGCCTCTGACATTCATTTTTCCCACAGCTTGCGTCAGGAAGTCTGCCGTACCCGCACCGATCCAACGACCACGCCGTGACAGTCGACATCCTCAGAGGCATCAGGCCATCTCGAACCGCAATTTGTCTCCTCAAGCTCGACAAAGAAGGCGAAGACGGATTCTGGGACCTGCTCGATCAGTGTTGGAACCTTGACCCAAAGTTGCGTCCAACTATGGCCCACATGTTTTCGTTTTTGGAGGTCTTAGAAACTTCGAGGAGGATTGCCAACGGGTCTTTAGTTCCCAGTGCCTCTTGAAGGGCTTCCCAGCCGTCTGTTCTGTTGCGACCTTCGACCCAGACTACATAGTGACCTGCTAACCGCAGTTTCAGCCATATCGGCCGAACTAGTCCATCGACCCTCATGCAACTCTCTTCATGTCTATCACGTCTTTCATGTTATTTTGCCTTGCACTTACTTTCGCCCGCTATCGTTGTCCATCAACCATGACATCATTTACTCTCTACGCTTCCTCTTTTCACCACCTATCTTTCCTCACGGCATCTATATCTCTTCCTTGCCACACCATCACGACGAAGAAATTATTTTGTGTATTCTGTAAAACCAATAAGTACCATCCGTTTCTCGAGGTGGATTATCAGCTCGTACACTAGGTGCTCGATTTATCTGCTATCTCCGTGCCATCTTTGTCAGCCGCATACAGGTCTGCCCCGAACATCCATGTTGTTCACCAACGCGTCATTGAAACTCTCCGTCCAACCTATTTCTGACGACAAATTGGTCATTCATCCCTCATTCTAGGTATATGGGATGCATATAAATACCAAAGCGTGGATCTTTACTGGCTCATCGTGGCGAGCAAGTCAGAAGCCTCGGTATGGTCAATATGAAAGCCCTCATAACCGCGCCTCAAAATACCGCAGTGGTTGCCGATATTCCTGTCCCTGTACCAGGGCCCAGAGAAATTCGGTGTGTGTGTTAGTAGTAACTTAATTATTGCAGTTCGGCTGACTGTGACCTAGTGTGAAAGTTCATTCCGTCGCACTAAATCCTGTCGACGCCCTTTATGTTGCTTATCCTCTCGACAAACCTGGTCGAGTGGTTGGTAGTGATTTTGCAGGAACGGTGGACCGCGCTGGCGAGGAGGTGACCAGGTGGCGGATTGGCGATAGAGTCGCCGGGTTTGTTCAAGGAGGTACGTTGCATTTGCCTTGCTTTTTCAATTGCAACATTGATCGATCTATGTGCTCCCTGTTATTCCAGCTTCTTCGGGCAACTGGAGACCCGGAGCATTTGCACAATTCGCGATTCTTGAAGGAGACCTTGCTATCAAAGTCCCATCCCGAGTGTCCTTCGAGGAGGCAGCAACTTTGCCCTTGTGCTCCTTAACTGCAGCCCAGGTTGGTGCATCTCTCGTTTCTTCACCATTTATGCGACTGAACAACGATATACCAGGCTCTGTTCATTCGTCTCGAGATCAATAGTCCTTTCCCTAGCCCTTTCCGATTTGACCCACCGAAACTCGACACTCCCGCTATCCTTGTCTACTCTGGAGCAACATCAGTTGGACTATTTGCAATTAGCCTTGCGAAATTGCTTCACACGCCAGCCGGCCACCCCTACCGTATTTTCGCTACTGTGAGCCCTAGAAACCGCGAGAAGCTTTTGGATCTCGGTGTAGAGGCTGCCTACGACTACTATTCCTCCACATGGCCCGAAGATCTCCGCAGAGCTAGTGGCGGCATATCCTATGCCATTGATTGCATTTCCGAAGACGAGAGCACAGCACGCATATCGCAAGCATTCGTGGACGGTGGGGGCAAGATTGCCGTCTTGCGGCAATCAGCTTGGGATAAACAATGTGTTCGCGAAGATGTATTGCCCCTCTACGGGGCAGTTTGGTCTGGGCTTGGTCATGAAGTATTCTATAACAGTAAGCACCCTTCACAGCATCGAGGAATGGAAGTTGAATAAGCTTTGAGTATCGATGACGTCCTGCCCGCATCACCGTCCTGGCGACAATTTACAATTGCCTTCTACCACTTCCTGTCCACTGGAGCTGCCGCTGACGCCTCTAAATTCCCCATACCGGCAAACCCTGTCCGCCTCATGCCAGGTGGACTCGCTAGCATCGTGTCCGACGGTTTTGCTTTGCTCGGCTCTGGAAAAGTCAGAGATCGTCAGTTTACGTCCCAGGGTGTCATGATGAATCCGATCTCCGCTGAAAAGCTTGTTTATAACATTGATGATTAGCGTTGCACATGTCACAAATTGCATTCAATTCATCTTCTCCAGGTGGAAAATATGCTATGCTATGTGGCTTGCTAAAGTCTTCAACCTCCTGAATAATTACGCAATCTACAACTATCGGTTGGGACAGGAAACAACCTTCTGGAAAAGCAGGGATCTTTCGCACTAAGAAACAAGTGCAAATTGTTCGTCAGGTCGGTGCCATCCTCTTTCTTTCTTTTGAATCCTCCTCTGTGCATTTTCACCATGCTTCGACGAATTCGTCACCCAAACACCGTCAAGTTCTTGTTATCAATCGACATTGGTACAACCTACACTGCTGCATCGTACTGCGTCTTCTCGGGAAGGGATAATGCCCCAATTTTTTACGAAGTTCGTCCTCTCTACAATATTCTTTGTCCGAGGGGGCTAATCCTTGAACAACCATTACTCCTAGATCAACCGGTGGCCAAAGCAGGTGGGTATCCCGTTTATTCGTACATTAATAGTCAAGCTAAGCAAAAGTGATCAAAGACTGTTGGCGATGCCAAAGTTCCATCCGTGTTGTATTATGACCGTGACAAGGTTCCTCGCCTGCATGGTGCCGAAACTGAAGATGAAGTATGTTTGTTGGTCTTAAGACCGTGCCACCCTTGACAATGTGACTTAGTCATCGTTGATGGAAGCCGAGCAGGAGCATTGGGAAAAGGCTGAATGGTACGCTTTCTCCTGTAATTAAGCCGCCCATGGGCTCACAGTCTATTAAACTGTATCTCAGGTGGAAACTACGCCTTCGCCCAGAGTACCTAACTTTTCCACCTGGCTTCACGATGGCTTCCCTCCCCGAGGGAATTACTGTTGACGACGTATTCAAAGACCAAATGGCCTACGTCAAAGAGAACGTCCGCGCGTCCGTTATCAAGTCTTTCGGTGACGGCGAAAAAATCTGGGATCAGTTCCGATCTTCGATGTATGTTATCCTGACGACTCCGAATGGCTGGGAAGGTCGTCACCAGAACCGAATGAGGATGCAGCCGTGAAGGCCGGGCTCATGTCTGCTGGAGAAAGAAGCAAAATTCGATTCGTATCTGAGGGAGAGGTTAGTGCAAGCACACTCAACGAGCCCTTTTATTGACTTTTCTTCCTAGGCAGCCATACACTATGCAATAGGACATAGCCCTTCGGTTTATGATGGAATTAGGGTAAGATCGCTTTCCTGTTTTCCTAACAAGCAGTGGTCAATTATGAGAGCCCAGCTAGGAAGTATTCTTCTCATCTGCGATGCCGGCGGTACGGTTATTCCTACCATTCTTAAGCCGGGACAGCTCTCTGACTATTTTTTTCCTCCGGTAGGTGGAACAACGGATATTGGGTAGGTGTTTGTCATTAGGCTAGCCAGAGGTGGTTTATTGAATAACCCTCTTAAGGATCTATAAAGTGAGAAGTGTATCGCCCCTTTATCTCGAGGAAGTTGCGCGTCCTCGCTGTTCGTTCGGTTTTATCATACTCCTCGCCGACTGCGGTGGCTTAGCTCAATTCGTTAGGTCGTATAGCAGGTGGAGTCTTTGTGAACGAAGCAGCAAGAAAGCACATTAAATGTAGGTCTACTTGTTGGACACTGCTCTTAACGCTTACCTCGGCTTTCTAGATCAACTAAGAGGATCAGCACGATTGGACAACGAAGAATGTATAGTGAATGCGGTCAGAGAGTTCGAAAGAACTGCGAAACGAATGGTCTGATGCTACCTCTGCTTTCTTGTCTCATGTTGACTTAGTCTGTAGTTCAAGGGCTCTGAGATCAATAGTTTGGTCAAGGTCGACAGCAGCGGACAAAGCGATGAAAGTCGAAACATTCACCGGGGGCGATTGAGAATTCCGCGGTAACTAAAATCGGTACTTTATCCTCCTCCTGACGCTTATATCATTTTCTGTGTAGCGCCAAGATGATGTCCTTCTTCGACCCCTTAATTAAGCTTGTCGCCCAAGAATTACAGGATACACTGGTATCTAGCGGGGCATTGGTAGTCGATGTGAGTGCACAGTGCAGGTAACCTTCTCCCGTCAATCTGATAATATTTAGAAAATTATCCTTGTCGGTGGATTCGCTGAATCCGAATACGTGTACTCGGAATTAAAAACTTGGGCGAACAAAAGGGGGCTGGAACTAGCGAAGCCGGATGGAGTCTTGTCGAAGGCGATTTCTCATGGTGCTCTTACATGGCACCTGGAGTCCGGAGTTCAACTACGAGTCGCTAAGATGCACTACGGGGCAGAGACCGATCTCGACTATGTTGCCCAGGATCCTGAAATTCATGATCGCAGAACGTTCCAGAATATTTTGGGCCAGTGGCGCGTTCGACACGGCTGGAACACCATAGTCTCTAAGGTAATTTTACATCCTCGGTATGGAAAATATACTCGTATTTACCTTGCGACTTGAATAGAACTCGAGGATAAGGATTGGAGAAGAGCATGCTGCTTGCTTTCATCACGAATTTGGCCAGAATGACAGCTTCATTGTTGAGATGGAGCTATATGCATATCGATGGGAAGAGCCGCCGGCCTTCTTCAAAACAAAAGGTTCGACTTCAGTTAGTCTTGTGCGAGTTTTGAGCCTGATGTTCCCAGATGGAGGTCTAGTTGACGGCTTCGTCCATCTCGGAACAGTGAAAGCCAATCTCACCCAATGTTTTGAGGCAGCGCCCTATTGCATCGCTCCTTCTGGGAAGAAATACAAACGTTTGGACGTACGACTTTGCTCATCTTACGATTTGACGTAATTCTCACCGTGCTTTTATTTAGTATCAGATTTGCCTCTCTTTCGATGAAATTGAGATTTCCGCCAGACTGCGCTGGAAGACGAATGTCAGCCATTATTCGTCTAAGCAGTCGGCGCACTGATTGATTCTTTCTCAGAAATCTTACAAATATGGGGAGGCTACTATCGCATACGATGTTTGACATTGTACATAAATCCTATCCCCGATGGATTTGTAGAAAGCTCGGCTATGAGAACTTTACATCTGATCGCTGTTATGAAGGAGAGATTCTGTGATTACTTCGGGACGAATGAAGCATTTTCTTTCACCATATTCATTGATCTGCTCAAACCCAAACCTGAATGTTCCTAGGACCTGATCACCGTCCTCAGTGCCCATGCCCTTCAAAACACCATCGACGCATCTGCTATCAAATGGCCGGAAGTCCTTGGTCTTGGGATCCTTCGGTGCAATTGTTACCTTTGCCTGGCAAGAGACCAAGTCCTTCTGCATGCTGAGAGATAGATCCCATGCCCTCTGTACGATATCCCTCAATGCCGCTCTTTCACCAACTATGCATGGCTTGATGATGAGTGTTCTGAAGCGTAAAGATTTGCGGAAGTAGGCGCTAATAAATATTTGTTCTACGGCGCTTGACAGGTCGGTGGTGAGTGACTCCACGTCCAGCAGCTCCGTTGCTGCAAAGGCTGCCTCCGCCATAATTGATCGACAACGCTGGAATTCGCGCCAAGATTCTACAAAATAATAAGACGATTAGCAAGCTATCAGGAGGCTCCTGAAGCTACTCACTCTGATCACGTACTTTCAAAAAGAGCCTCTCGAGACAGTCTTTGTCCCTTTGATCTATTCCAGCAAATAGCTCCCCTTCAAAAAATTTGTCGTGGAGCACTGAGCAAAATTTATCGTGAAGTAGAATCTCGAGGGCCAAACTTCTTGCATTTCCATCTTCTGGTGCATTGTCAATCATCATCTGCTGAACGCGTCTCATATGGCCTGTTTCAGATGGGACAAATGAAAAATTGACATCTTTATCTTTATATCTGCCCAGGCGCGAGACTACGCTGTCCGAGGTGTTTGAAATAAAGGACGTCATAGCATAATTCAAATGTTCTACGGCTTTTATGAGAGCCGCTTCCGAGACTCGATCTGCGTTTGAGTTGAAGTAGTCGATAAGACCACGATCAGAGAAGTGGGCAATTATCGAGGGAGAAGATAGCGGCGAGGGTTCAGCAATTGGGTTTCTTCTTGGTTTTGATTTTATGATCGAAGCGGAGGCGTGGATGTCCTCTGTCTCCGAGCCTGTTTCTGGCCATGGGACACATGGATCAGGGCTTGCGAGCGGGGTGAAGAGCCCGCGAATAGCAGCTGCCGAGACCGAGGCCCTCGTCCTGTGAGCGATGGCGTTGCTACTCCCTGTTCACTGAGGAACGGTATTGACATGAGAGGAAATTGGACTTACGGAAAGTTATCGATGCCACTGTGCGCCTTTCTCTTATTACCAACTGGGCCGGGCAGTTGTTTTACCGATTTCCCAGAGCCCCTGGTACTCGTAACCGTAATATCTACACTCGACGGCGGGGGTCTGGAAGTCCTCTGAGGATACCTGGAGTTTGGTTGACTGAAACTACTCTATATGTTTTTTGGGGTGAAGGAGGGAGACATACAACATGGCAACCTGCCTCCTGCGGAAGAGGAGGCGTATGCTCGGCTCTTTCTCCTCTTCAAGACTCTCAATGGGTGAGATTACTTCTGAAGATTGCCTGCGACCTCTCACCGGGGATGAATCAGATTCCCTGTTCTAATACCCTGGAATCTTACCTTTTCCTTTGCGTTTTCCGTCAATTGCTTGCGTGACTGGTTGTTTAGAATTCCCTTTCCCCAAATTTCGCGTCGGGCGCTTCGAGCGTTTGTATTTCGCTTTAACGGGGGCCATCACACAGGCGTGGGCGGTGCTCCCTTTCTTCGCGCTGGAATGGTGCCAGTCGTTATACGATAATGCTGAGACGCGAGTCATGGAAATATCTCAAACTTCCCACGGCTAGTCCTTCCTTCGAAAAGGCACTTGAGCGAGCGAGATCGCTCATTCCAATGGAAGGATGGATAAAAAAATTATCTTATAGAGAGATAAATAAAACGTACTTATAGTCGATCCCCAGTGCCATTTCGAAGCATAGATTGACTCCATCATGCTTGGGAAATTAGGCGCTCAGGGTCAGCGGTTAACATACCGCCAGACTGTCCAAATCCTTCTCCGTGAGGTTGGGACAATGCGGGCGGGGTAGAAGGCGAATGGGGACAAGAGCGCCTTGACTTTTGATAAAGTCTATAAATACGGACGCTGGTGATAGTATACGGATCTATTAGTACTTCACTGGTCGACATTTCATGGTTTTATCATGTCTCCCAGCGCCGTGCTCGACATCCCTGGACCACTTCTTCTGGATCAAAGGCCTGGAAAAGTGAGATCGTTTGGTGAAATATTTTTTGACTCGCATCCTGCGTCGGCAACGGGTGCAGCCAAACTCTCTATTTATAGGTACACAAGTTTCACTGCTGAAGTTCGGCAAAGGACGGCATTCGCCCGCGGTCGGCTTGCCACGGTGAGGGTGGTCTGTCGTAGGACATTATCGTAGGACGTAGGTCGCAAAGTACATGTTGCTCTGACTGGGCAGAACAAACGATTGACGTAGACTATGAAGTGAACAGAACAAGGGAAAGTGCTCTTGCTTACGCCTGCCACTGCCAATGGCTCCAGATCATATGCACGTGCTGTCCTTACCTCTTCTGACCCTCATGGAACCGCCGAACCGCTGATGGCCACACTCTGGTCTGCGGCACAGATGAAATTAAAAGGCTTCATCTCTACGGGGCGTTGCGGCAGACTCGAACGAGCGGGGTTTCAGAGCTTCAGCGCTTCAGCCTTCAACTCCACGACCCAGCAAATAGGCAAGTTCGACACGAAGTAATGGTGGATAAATCCCTTGGTACAAGAACTGCAGCTTCGCGTGGGTTGGACCAAATCAAGGATGCGAAAATGTTAGACTCGTCTTCGTTGCCCAAGAAAAGCCACTTCTCCGTATGTTTAGTATAAAGTTGGGCTCGGAGTTGCTGAATTTGCGTTCCACAGGGAGTGGAAGCACCGAGGTCCGGTCTTGCATATGGATGCATGATGGAGGCGCGGATAGCAGTTTCAACATCGCTGTAAGAACGCGCAGGCGCCGTTGACAAAGATGAACAATTGTGTATGACCGCCCCTATCCATATGTGAGCATTGGTGGACCCACATTGCGGCGCGGTCAAGGGTCACCGTGATATCGGCCATGTCGGGACCCGCAAATCCTCCAAAGTGCGGCGTCAACACAGCTCGCCGGGTAGATGATAAAGACGCAGGAACACGGCGATCACAGGGCCTCTGCATATCTACCCAAACCCCGGAAAGTCGACTTCCATGCCAACAGCGCAATTTTCTGAGATGGGCGCTGAGGACAGTGCTGATGTTCCCCTAGTTGCGCCAACTAAACGTGGCCAAAACGAAGGTGATCATCGAGTACATCATCGCTGGAGGATCAAAGGGCTTGGGGGAGATCAGGAAGGGGTGGGAGAGATCACCGTTGCAGACCAGGTTTGCAGATTGAATCACAAATCAAAGAACTACGAGTAAGCAAAGGCATCAGTGGGATCGGAGGTGGTGGTAAGTAGAAGTGCCTAAAGATAGGTGACTTACCTAAGCTTTTCCGCCCAGCCACAGGTAGCGCTCCTCATTGGTTCTTCCAATCGACGACCAGAGCACATACGTGTATGCATCTCGGGAGATGCATATGAGCTGTGTGAATCAAGTCTTGTAGATTTGCCTTGTCTTCTCCTCTTGCCTTCATCTATCCAGTCATCGCGTCCGTCGCACGGGACCACAAGCTCAGCATCGAGACACTCCCTTACCACTCGCATCGCCTCTAGTCACTCCCTCAACCCTAATTCCATCCTTCTACCCCTCCAACGTCCATCGAGATGTCGGTCCGTCCTATGGGTCCACGAAGCAGGTCGGATCGTCCAGGTGTGCCGCCCTTGTCGCTTACTGGTTCGCTCTCGAGCATGGGTGCACCGATCCCTGACCCTCTCGCGACTGCGCAACAACATCCGCCCATCTTCTCCACTGGCCATTCCAGTGTTTCACCATCTGATACTCCCCGCTTCGTGGGGCCGATCCCAACTCTCAACACGCCTATTCCTCCCCTGAGGCCAGTGCCCATTGGTGGAGGTGCTCCTCGTCATGTTGGCCTCAAGCTCAACATCAGCTCGAATATGGCCGGCAATGCACCGCTGTTCCAGCAAGTCGCTGGTCCTCCTCACATAGAAGACGCTTCGACGACAATGTCTCCTGAAGAAAGGACGATCAGGCCTCACGAAACGTACGCATCACCTTCACAAGCAAGGGCACGGAGTGGTAGCGAAGGATTAGGCACGAGCGAAGGTGGCGGTGCAGGCGGAAGCAGAAGTGCGGGAGGGGATATGAACGGAAATGGGCACGCTGGTGGTGCGCCGGCTCCTTCACCGCCTCTGGTGCCAGACCCCATGGAGGACATCCGGGCTGCTCTCAGTAAAATGGGTACAGGATCGCAGAATGCTTCAGCTTCCCAACTTGACGGGCGACCAGCAGTCACGCCACCCACGAACGACCGTTCGCCAGCATCCGATCGCACCTCTTCATCAGCATCGCTGCCACCCCTTCCCCCGCCAAAAGAATTCTCTGATGATGTGCTTGAGGAACTGTCGCGCCTCGGCGAGGGGGCTGGAGGAGCCGTTCACAAAGTGCGGGACAAACGAGACGACAAAATATACGCACGCAAGACGATCACAACTCGCGAGGTCGCCATGAGGCAAGTCGTGCGCGAGCTGAACATCATATCGACGACACAACACGTGAACATCGTTCAATGTTTCGGCGCGTATATGTCACCGTCGAGCAGCGAGGTGAAGATCATGATGGAATATTGTGATGGTGGCAGCTTGGAGGCGATTGGCAAGAAGATGAAGGAGGTTGGGGCCGTAGTCGGAGAGAGGACGGCTGGAAGGATAGCAGAAGGGGTGAGTAAAGATCAGTCATCCTCGAAGTGGACCGTCTAATAAACTCTCGCTCCTGTGCAGGTTTTGCAAGGATTGGCCTACCTTCATTCGAAGAAGACGATTCATCGCGACATAAAGCCGTCCAACATTTTGGTTTCTCGTGACGGTGTCATCAAATTGTGCGACTTTGGGGTGTCGGGAGAGCTTGTTGAGTCCATTGTGGGGACGTTTACTGGAACTCTGATTTATATGGCCGTAAGCATTTTCGCGTCTTCTTATGCTGGACCGGAGTCTAACTCGTCCTTCAAGCCCGAGCGCGTATCAGGAGGAAAATATACCGTACGATGCGACGTATGGTCCACGGGTATTACTCTCTTGGAACTCGTCCAGAACCGTTTCCCGTTCCCCAGTGATGTCCCAACGTTCGAGGTCATCTTGACAATCAGCAAGAGTGAGGTGCGCCGGTGATATAGTCCTGCTTCTTTGTCGACTGTTGACATGCGATCGCAGCCCCCGAAACTCGAGGACGATCCAGATGCAGGGATTATGTGGAGCGATGAAATGAAAGACTTCATCAAACAAGCGTAAGTTTTTGACTTTTCCAATTTCAAGCGCATATACTTACTAGATTCATCTCTCTTCCTGAAATCACTCCACTTGGCCCTCATGCTGCAATCTGTTGTAATCTTTTGCGTATATATGCACCATACCTGAATGGGGCAGTCTGACTGTCGACCCAGCACACCGTCCGACGCCTCGAGAGATGCTGGCCCATCCATGGATATCGACCACGATGAAGCAAGAGGTGCACATGGCTCGGTGGATAAGGCAGGTCTGGGGTTGGCCTCCTCGGAAACGCAGACGTTCTAGAGACAAGTCAGTTTTTCCGTTCGTTGGTCATGAGGTAATGGTTACTTACGCTTGCTTTTTCAATAGCACTGGCAGCCAGTCGAGGCCTAACACCGCAGGAGGGGACTCGACGCATAGTCAAGATTCCCCTGGGCCGTCAAATGGTCCTTCGGTGGCATGAAGATTGAAGTTGTGTAACGAGTTCGAAATTCTGCCCCAGCTTCTATATCCCTCGGTATTTTGCGGCACTTTCATCCTCCGCTTGAGCAAGAACACCTCCAACTCACGTGTCCATAGCTCTCCTCCACCATTCAAACCATAATCATTCCATCTCCTGACCGCTCCTGTTCCATTCAAATCGACTTCTATGTTTTCACTCACTAACTCTCGATGCACTTGGGTTTCCTATCGCTTTCTCTGAATATTTTTTCTCGTCTAGTTCATATTGCCTAATTGCTTTCCACAGACGGCTCGCAACTCCATCCACTCCTTGTATACACTCTGCCAATCTCACTCGCAATCTCGCATACACACGTAACTCCAATATCTCGTCAATTCCAACTGTCGCGGCCGGGAACGCGTTCGTTCAAGCACTCATCTACGCCTGGGAATTTGTATATAGCGGCTAATACATTCAATCTATTTCTGGCTCTGCTACAAGTTCTTGCTCGTTGATCTGGCTGTGGCTTGGGTTTTCAGAACGCAAGAATACATAGATACTCTACTGTGGCGTTCCACTTCAGAGTTCGCTGAGGTTTCCACGTGCCAATGCCCTTCGCCCAATCTAATCTTATCCATACTTACGCCCGCCTTCCAACACCCGCAGCACGAACCACGGTTGATCCAGCACTGCCATGTCGAGTCCCTGTTTCATGATAATCCAAGAACCATGACAGGCGTCCTCTGCCAGCGTGTCATCCACTTCATCACGATGTAGTGCGGCTTACTCAGTGCCTTTTGCCACAGGCTACAAACAAGTCCTGCTTGGGGCTGCTCGCCTCTCTAACGCGTCTGGCTTGCATCTGGCATACGCGACGAGCTGTAAGTAAAGACGACGCACAAGTCGGTTGTATAGTACGTTGTTTCATTGCATTGATACAGAACCGAAGGCTCCAGGGACGAAACGCTTCCCAGTAGACGTTGCTTGAACGCATCCGATATTAATTGCGCCTCCTTCTTGTCCGTCCAACCTTTTCGAAGAGTCAAAAGGCTTGATCTTCTTCTTTCGCGTCCCTATACTTGACCCCACAACATTCGAAGGCAAGAAGGCACGTCTCCAAGTAGCCTCCATTTACTTACATACTTCCGTAGTCCAGGCTTCCACTTCAAAGCATCACAATCCATCGATTGCTGTCGAGCATTCATTCAACGATGCCGGAGAAGTCGGACACTGTCTGGCAGCAGCTAGACGACCTTTCAGTCCCCTTCACATCCTCCACGATGCCGCATGTGAATCTAACTTCTCGAATCGGAGCCATCTTTCCTCTCCGCTGCCTCGTGTTCATCTCCCATGCCATTCTTTTTTGCTCCCTTTGGTACCTCCGCGCCAGACACGCCTTGCACCTTCTCGTCACCATCGTCGGATTTACGATTCTCGCAGCTTTTGTGGTGTCCTTGATCTCCCGAAAGGGCACGTGGTGTCCACGCCCCAGCCTGTACTCGCATCCCCTCCGTTTCAGCTGCGATGGGGTGTTTGCAGGTCTGAACGCAGCGCTTCCAATCTTAGCTTCACCATATTTCTTCCCGCAGAAGAAATGGCTTGCTTCATTGTACTCTACCATGATCTTACTCGCTGGGTTCAACTGGGCGGAGCCGGTCCTTGACTTGCTGGGGTTGGTGGTGGGAATTACGGTGGCTGCGACCTTCTTCATCTTCGTGCCGCAGCCAGCGCATTTGGAGGACGACGGTGCGTTGCCCTCACCCGTTGGTGCCTTTCCAGCCTCGCCGGTAGCTGGCCCTGAGTCCTGTGGCGGAGAACAGGAGCAGGAAACAGCACTAGTTCCTGCAATCCTCCCGGGACCTCCAGAGCCCGCAGCCAATGGATTCGCCGAACCCATCGTCGAACCTGTCGTCGATGATGTTCCGGATAAAGTGCGGAAGAGGGCGAGCATGTCCTCAGTTCCTCTGCCGAAGGGTCCTCGTCGACAGCGTGCCTCTCCTGGTCGATCCGGGACAGCGCGAACACCACCTCTAGCACCCGCCGTTGAACCCGACGTCCCTCAAGCGCCCCATATACACCCACCACAATCTCATAATCCTCTCCCGCAAGAAACGCGTAGACCCCTTCCTTCGCCACCACGACCCCTGTCCTCTCCCTCACCACGGCCTATTACAGACAAGCCGACATTCCTCGAGAGATTTTCCGGCGACGCCTACGAGAAGCTCGAGATCATCGGACAATCTGCCACACAAACAGTACACAAAGTCCGCCACAGGGATAATGGTAGAGTGTACGCCATGAAGACGATCGTACCTCGAGAAAAGCATGCCCACGAACTCGTCCAAGGTTTCGAAGATTTCATCCGCCTAACGAAACCATTAGGCGAGGGACGAGGGAGAGGTCTGAACCTGGTGCGTTGCTACGAGGCATATATCAATTATGAGAAGGACGAGGCAAGGGTCGTAATGGAGTTCTGTGAAGGGGGAAGTTTGCATGCAGTGAGGCAACGAATAGCAGAAGGTGGGGGAATCGTTGGTGAAGGCGTCGTGGGGAAGCTAGCGATCGGCGTGTGTATCCTTTCTGTCCTGTTCTCATTTATTCTCACAGGTCCATCCCCCAGATTCTCGATGGCCTCTCCTTCCTCCACGAACAAGGAATCATTCATAGAGGAATCACACCTTTCAACGTGCTGCTCACGAAACATGGTGTCGTGAAGCTAAGCGAAGTGCTCGTCACTTCTCACCCGCCATGGGGTTGGGACAAATTCTCCGTTTCGTGTCTCTACGTCTCGGTAAGTCGTCAAAACAATCTCACTGCGAGTCGTCATCCGACATTAACAAACGCAGCCAGAACGGATTCTCGGAAACAAGCCCATCACTGGGCCATCCGACGTCTGGTCCATGGGCATAACCCTCCTCGAGTTTCTGTGGCATCGCCACCCATATCCCGATCTTCCTCCCTTAGACCTCATGGCGCGCATCGTAAACGGAGAGGTGCCTGCTAACCCTCTGTCAATTATGTATATCTGTTACTGAACCCTTCTTCTAGCCTCCGCAGCTCAAGAACGAAGAGGGCGTGCGACGGAGTGCCCAGATGAAGGATTTCTTCAAGCAGCTGTAAGTGACAATGGCTTCCGTGTCGTCTGTTACGTGTAAATGAGCATCTAGCTGACAGACTCCCTGCCTAGGCTGATCGTCGATGCGGCGTCGAGACCGGATGCATGGGCGCTTAAACAACATCCCTGGATCGTGACAAGCATGAGGCGAGAAGTCAACATGAAACGATGGATAGCTGATGTTTGGGGGTGGCCTAGGGTGTAACGACATTTTCTTCTTTACGGCAAGATTCATGCATTTCACGCCCCTTGTATTTTTACCTACACGTGTCCGGTGATGCCTGGATCGAACTCTAGAGGAACCGTTTGTATTGACATATTCTCTGCCCTAGACCTCATAGTATTTATTAACTCCATTATTTATACATTTTGCACCAAATTACATGTATCACTAGTCTACTAGTTTCTTGTAAAACCCACCCCAAATTGCCTTCAAAGTCGTTGGATTGCGATGGGTTGTCCGGCTGGTCCAGCATTCGATCCGAGTCGGTGGACTGATATCCTGTCCTTGGGCGAATATGCGAGGTCGATAAATTTATGGTATTCTTCACTGCGCTTCCAGGTCCCCGGCTTCATATGCCACCCAAGATAGGAACTTCTCTCCGAGTTTGTGGCGGTCGAGGAAACGTCACGATAGACCGCAAAGTACGGGCCGTTCGCTCCTCCCAGCGTCTCGAAAGCACCCTTGTACTTCTCCATATACCTCGCCACCCTCGCCCCCGGGGTTTCAAAGTATATTTGGACATTATTGATATCCATGACTTCCTTTTGAGCCAAGAATTCGGGCCACTCGCGATCGGAGATGTGGGCATCATAGATTTTAAGAGTCCGGATTCGCGAGAGCGGCTTAGTCTGCATGCCCTGGGGCTGGTCGAGAAACTGCCTGAGAAACTGGGCGAGTTTCTTGTACTCGTCCTCACGTCTGCTTATCCTAGGGAAGGGGTCGGTGGAGGTTACGGTGAGGGTAAGCGACTTGAGGTTCGGCGCGTCGATGAAGGGGAGGAGGTAGAAGGGACTGCTTCCCTCGAGGGAGAGCGTCGTGAGCATAGGGAGGTAGATCTTTTGGGTCTGGGTGGCATGTTGGATTAATTTTTGGTCCTTCATGTTCAAACAGACGTTCATGAACGAGATTTGAGTCATCGCAGAAAGCTTCTTGACGGTGAGGTCATCGAAATAACCCATGTAGCGGATGGTTTGGACTCGGGTGGCGGGGTTGGCGGTAGACATTGTTAGAGTTCAAATGTCGAGAGAGAGGAGGGCGTCGGTTGTTGTGGGCTCTACCTGCGAAGCATTTATATACTGAACGCTTTGCGCGCTTAGGCGCGCGTCTCCATTCGCAGGAGTCGGTGGCCAGACAAAGGGCTCTTCCTCTGACATCCAAATTGGGAGATATCAGGTGTCAAAGCGCTTCGCAACCGCATTGGGAAGTAACCGCGCTTGAACGGGATTGTGGCCCACTTTGGCAGGCGTGGCGCGCATTGGCCTTCTGCCTTTTTGGGGTATGAAGCGCGAATTGAGCATAACCATCGCGACGAGAGGTCAACCGGTCATAAAGGATCACATTATCATCACGGGGGGTATCGGGGAAATTTTTGGGCACAAAAATTGCAATGAACGCTGTTGAACCTGTTAGGTATTCCGTATCGTTTGTCTCCTAGAAAATTCATCACGAAAACAGGTTCAATGGTGGGAAGCAAATCCCACCACCGCTTACCAGTGAGGCCGATTTCAAATTTTAATGAATGTTTCGGGCAGGAGAAGGAGATTAAATTTTTTCTGCGCTTTTTCCCCTTTGTCTCCAGGTCAAAAATGCTGTGCTCTACATAAAGTGGTTGCCTCGAGGCGGAAAGGATGTTTAGTGTTTGTAAGTGGCTCTTTGCGTCTCAAATCTACTGGTAAATTTCTTAAGTGTCTTTCAGATGCCTCCGCCTCCGTAACTACGCCATTCCATTTAACATGTTCATTCAGGGTTTGGAGACATTTTTACCACAAAAAATTGACCTATGCGCGGCGTGCATAAGGCATATACATTATAAGCTTTTTTGGACGAGATGGATGATACTAGGTATGGAGAGCAAGAAAAATGATCCGATGGAAGATGTATTCTATAACTTCAGGTCCGCTGCGAAGGAGGAGATCAAACTTGAGATTTGGCTGCTGGAGAGATCGTAGCGATTCCAGAACCCGTTGTCACCGAGCAGGCTCAACGTTCCTGGGGAGTAGAACAGGACCTCCGTATGGATATTCTTGTCCAGATTCTTCCACCCGACGTGCTCGACCTGGTCGTCCAACTGCTTCCACACCTTGATCTGCCGGGTATCCATCTCGCCGAGCATGTAATATGCGTGCGGGTTAGATTTGATGAAGTTATATGTTCGGGTGAGAGCGTTGGCGAAGGATAAGTCGACCTCATGGATTTTCTGTATGCCAGGGTGGCCGAGGCAAGTCATGGCCTCGTTGTTCGACATGTCGCGATCGTGGATCAACAAGCGCTGGAGCCTGCACTTGGACCGTTTAATGAACTCGAATAGATCAAGATAAGTATTCTCGGGACCCAACGGATTGGATCCGTCGCTGACGACGATGTGCATGGTGCGAAGGTTGGGAAGTGTCAGGAGCGCAAGCAGACTGAAGGGACGACCGCCATGGAGCGTGAGGGACTTGATATGCTCAACCACAAACTTCTCGCCGTCATTCGGAGTCGCCGATCTCTTGGTGTTTATATCGAGGACGTAAGCAGTCTTGGCCCATGGTTGGTTGCGCAGGCTGCTGATAGTCTGCTCGTGGCTTGTGGCGACGATGGTAACAGAGGTAAGTTGTGTCATGAGGAAAAGCTTTTCGTGGATGTGAGTCAGTGTTGGGAGAGAATATACCACGGCGAAGGGGATTTTATATGTCTTAGACTTAAGCGACGGTGAAAGCACGTCCACCTCTGAATTTGTGGCAACTTATCTCAATTAGGATACAATACAAAGAGTAAGGTGCCACACCGCTAAACAATGGCCAATAAGTAGACTGATGATGAAATCACGTAGCGAAGGGCGACGGGCCACCGGCGCGCTTCCCAAAAATAGCAGCAGAAGCCTATATGGGCCACTTTCATTTCGCAAATGGCATAGAAGTCGCATTGTTCTACTGAGTGGCCTGTTCTGTAGGCATCTATGTGGCCTCCGCCAGTGTATGAAGGCGACTCACCCTGAGCTGGTCCATTAAGGTCGCTTTGAAACCCAAGCGAGATTGACCCTCTATTTCGGGATCTCCTTGCAACATCCCACAACGTGATCCCACTACGCCTGCTGTGTAATCTTGTGCGTGCACGCTAAGTCATCCAAGGCCGCTAACCTCGCGGTGAGCAGCTTCGCTCCATTAGTATCGGCCGATGCATACCAGCGCTTCATGTTATCGGCCACGGCCCGCCTAGAGCGAGGCGAGGACTAAGACAAACAAACAGAGCCAAAGAACGCGTTCGTGATATTAGTGGCCAAACCCCAATTGCTCTTTTTTTGCGGATCATATCACCCCACTTTCTCTTTCAACTCTTCCAACGCTTATCCTCCGTCGAAAACACAAGTAGAGATGGTAGCTCTGGTCCAACGTCCTGCACCTGCCTTCAAGGCTGAGGCGGTTGCTGAAAGCTTGTTCACTGACGTGTCGCTCGAGGGACTCTTGGGGAAATGGTGTGTCTTTTTGTTGCAGTGGGCGCGAGAGGATGGCTGACGCGTATTTTTGTAGGGTGGTGCTCCTCTTCTACCCCATGTACGTTTTCCTTGTAGTAGGATATACCACCTGCGCTCACCAGCTTTTCGTTGGTTGCCAGGGACTTCACATTTGTCTGCCCGACGTATGTGGCATCTTTCTGCTTCCGGTTCACAACGCACTGACATTTGCGCTATCCCCAGTGAGATTCTTGCTTTCAACGATGCCCTCGACCGCTTCAAGGAGCTGAACACCACGGTCCTCGGTACGATACTCGCACAGCCACACACCATTATGCCAACTCACGTCCATTAGGCATTTCCACCGACTCCAAGTTCTCTCACTTCGCATGGGCCACCCAAACTCGCAAGGAGGGTGGTCTGGGGCCCGATCTTAAGCTGCCGCTCATCGCCGACCGGAACATGTCCATCTCGCGCGACTACGGCGTCCTGCTTGAGGACGAAGGTATTGCCCTGCGCGGTCTCTTCATCATCGACCCCAAGGGCATCCTGCGCCAGATCACCGTTAACGACCTCCCCGTCGGCCGCTCGGTCGAGGAGACGATCCGCCTTATCAAGGCTTTCCAGTTCACCGTGCGTTCCTTTTCTTCGGTCCCGGATTTCCCCATTTTGATAGTGATTGGCGTATTCTTAGGACGAGCATGGCGAGGTCTGCCCAGCTAACTGGACTGAGGGTTCGAAGACTATCAAGGCGGACCCTCTGGCCAAGTTGGAGTACTTCTCTACTGCCAATGCGAACGGTGCGAATGGACATGCCAATGGACACGCTAACGGAAATGCTGATGGTGGTGCCAAGAAGCGCGCTCGCGTTGAGTGAATGCGTCGCCTTTTATTCACCAATATGCCTTTCCCGATCTTGTCCACGTGTGTCCAGTTGCCTCGTTTCATCCTATGGGATCATTGACAGTATTGGCGGTAGATTTTCCCCCACTCATGCTCATGTCTTTTGCCCTAGAGTTACCACTAGATCACACATACTAGACCCTCCTAGAGCAGAATATTTGCACCGTACCTAACTGTCTCTAGATCTACCATTGTACCATGTCACATAATTGACTCGATATTGACCTCGCCTCAAGTGTTGTGTAATTAAGCAATTGAGGATTGCGATATTTTAGTGGGTTATTGCGTAGTAGGAGTACATGAGGTGCGTATTTCACGTTATTACACGATTACTTGGATGATAAAAGTAGTAAGGTACTTAGCTTTGTTCGAGAAATTAATTGTTGGAGGATCGGTTTGTTCCTAGTAATACGCAGGAAATAAAACCTCCATGCACCACATGTACTACACACTCTCTGTGGTATCTCTGACACCGTCATTCGCCGCTCTCGTACCACTTGGAGGAGCGATAGGCGGCTTTTCGGAAAGGCTTCCGTTTCCAACCGGTTTCGTTCCGCCTTGGCCAGCACCGATGTCCCCATTAAACTCCACTCCGTTCCCATTCCCATTCCCATTACCATTACCACTGGCAGCTGCAGCATTCTCGATATGCTTCTCGTCGAGCGCGCCGCTGACGAGTGGTTTTCTTGCCTGCGCAGCTTTGGTCTGCTCCACGAGGTCGTAGCGCGACGAGTACCCGACCGGTACCCATGACCGCGAGGTCCAGGGCTTGCATTTGGGGTCGTTATACATCTATGATTTGGGAGAAGGTAAGATGGAGGAAGGGAGTATGAAAAGATGGGAGTACTGACGTCGTCGACGCTTTCGAGGGATAGGTCGGAACTCTCGTAAAGGAAGCAGTAGACCGTGAGGGCACCGGCCAAGTTGCACGCTAAGATATTTCGCTGATCTAGCGCACGCCACATCGAATTGAATTAAACCGGGCTCACCGGCGAACACGAAACCATATCGAAAGTGAATGGCAGAGACGATGAAGGGTGTGAAGAAAGCGATTAAGAAATTCCATAACCTGTCCTTTGTTAATCAAAGTCTACAAGAAAAAATATCCTTGGCACACCAGTTACTCGCGGTCGACAACGCGCCCTGCTTCGCACGAGTTCTCGTTGGGAATGTCTCGCCGATGAGGATCCAGACGCCAGGCGCCCAAGTCATGGCGTACCCAAGAATAAACATACAGGCGCTTACGATCATCACTAAGTGTCATCATTGGTCGAAATGACGAAATTGAGATCTAAAAATAGCCCGACGCACATTTGCCCGTACCAGAACTCTCCGTCGGATCCTTCGCGGTTCCCGCCGCTGCGAATACAAATAGCCACGCCGACTGCCACACTCCGCCAATGATGAGGGGCCTGCGACGTCCAAACTAGAAAGGAAGATGAGAGTGATATCAGTGGCATCCTCTAACATAAAGGATGGAGAGAACACGACGACACGCACTCTTTCCATGACGTAGAGACCTCCAAACGTACACACGAAATTGACAGCGCCCAAGATAATTTGCGTCACAAAGCTGTCGCTAATCCCCACACTCTGAAAGATAGTCGCCCCATAATAGAAGAAATAGTTCGCCCCGGTGAGTTGTTGGAAGCTCTGCAAGCTCATGCCGAGCAGCGTCCGATAGAGCGTCTTGTTCTTCGGGCTGAAGCAGCTGAGCCACCCCGACTTGATGCGGCGCTCGTGTTCGACCTGGTTCGCGATCTCGTCGACCTCAGATCGGACGTATTGGTTCGTGTCCTCGTCGAGGGACTTGATGCCGTACGAGCGCGCGATAGAGTGGGAGGCTTCCTTGAGCCGGCCGTGAGCGGCGAGCCATCGCGGGGACTCTGGCATGAAGAGGATCCCAACTCCGAGGATGCAAGGCCAGACGAGGCCCAGTCCGATGACGAGTCGCCATGATGCGGCTCCAGGTAGGTCTCGTGCTCCAATTGAGATACAGTCTGATGGATTAAGAGGTCGGTCAGCGGTCACTTCGGAGGCAGCTGAACAACAGACGTACAAGCAACGAGAATACCAAACGTGATGAACAGTTGGTAAGTCGCTGTTAGACTACCACGTATCTGAGCCGGTGCAGTCTCTGCTTGATACTGCGGGGATATGAGGAAAGAAGAAAGGGAAGGACGTAAATACGACTCACCATCGGCACAGCGGCACTTAGAGCACCCACGGCCAGGCCGGAAATGAGGCGGCCGACAGCTATTTGCTGCCACACGCCGAACGTACAAAGCTGGATGATGACACCAACAGCGAAAAGAATACATTCCACCACCATCGCATATCGACGTCCGATTTTATCTGCTATTCTGTTTCCTCGTGAGCACTTAACATCCGATCACACGAAGAAGTGAGCACATACGGAGCACCCATTAGAGCACCAGCCAAAGTCCCAATCGACAGCAACGACACGATGAGCCCTGCCCGCACAGTCGAAAACTCGCATGTGTTATGGTCCGTTGGGTTCGAGCAGGTCGCGAAACGAAGCTTGAAGTCCTCCATGAGGAGGATGTCGCTGATCTGTCCGGTATCGTAACCGAAGATGAAACCACCCATACTCGCGACAAGGGCCAGCATAATCGCTGTGCCCCCGATGGGCATTCCGTGCCTGGCCACCCATCAGCAACTCGTATTTTGATCAGAAAAGAGAGAAGGAATCGCGACGTACATGTAGAAGAGAGGCATAGTCGCGAGATCAATGAGGTATGTCTCAACCGCTACAGGGCGGCCTTTTGTATGGAAGTTGAGATCGTGATGTCATCCTCCTAATGACCGAGGCCGCCTCGTCGGTGTTGAAACCGTTTTGGTTACCCCACTCAGTGTTCTCCCGAGTCGCGGAGGTCTGGTGTTTCTTTTGCACCGACGTGCTCCACAGTGTTCTTTTTTTGAGTCGTGCGTCAATGAAGGCTTTCCCGACTCTAGCGGGGAAGCTAAGAGTGGTGATTTGAATTTCAAGCATGGAACGGAATTTAGAGAAGTAAGATGTACTCAGAAATGGTTCGAGGATAAAGGAGATGAGGATCCCAGAACTGTCGAGTGGGCGCCTAAAATTGCAGCCGCGACGGAACATTGGAATGACGGCTCCGGCTATTCCCGGAAGCCGATGCCGATGCGGGACTGTCCGAGGGTCAGTTTCGTGAGTTTCGCCATGGCCACTAGCACGCCTTCCGTCGCTCGAGCTCTTTGACCTCTAGGTGAATCAATTCTAACTCACCTGAGGGACAACCTCAAGCATCAATAAACGCCAACAAGCTTGCTGAAAAGGTCACTAGCAACCTCTCATGTCCTCTTCTGAGTCGGACGTGCATATCTTTCGGCAAGTCTCTTATGTCCGTTTTCTGACAGAGCTTCTCCTGACGATGGCTTCTGTTGTAGACGAAGACGATATCTACTTGGCGTGTCCCAGAACGATCCAGGACCTTCATAGCAGACAAAGAACCTTCTCGGCTTGGCAGGAAATCAGAAAGATAAAGAATAGATAGTACGTCCTCTGAGGAAATTTCATCAAAAGAACCACTCAACACCACTGCAACCCTTTCCAGTCCTCGCCCTATCTTTCGCACCAGATTAAACGTGTCCCGGCTAAAGTAGTGCAGGCATCTTCATGAGCCTTGCTCTCCCAACCTGAAGGCGTCAAGTGACATAGCCTCCGTGCGCGTGGTGATCCTTCCTTGCTTCGGAGTACTCGGTTAATGCCTCGAGCACTCAGCAAAGGATCGACACAATCGCTCCTTCACGCTTCCTTCCCTCTGCGAGTCCTCGCGGCAGAAGCTCACTGACTTCTAGCAAACCGACCCCGCAATATGGGAAAGACGAACAACGCCTGGCAATTGGTACCACGTGAACTGGGAGCTGACTGGCGACTGACTGGCGATTGTTTCCGCTTACCAGCTCTGCATGGATATTATTTGTCTCTCTTGTCATCGCTCGGCGCCACAATCTCAGCCCTGACGTTTGGATACCAGTCTATCTGTCCGTTATACTTCTTCACATGCGGTCGATGTGATATGATTCATTCCCAAGGTATATATATAAGTATTGGAAGGTTGGAGTGAGGTTCACAGGGTTAAGCCTGGGTCTAAGAGGATGCTTTCGACGTTCCTCTTGCTCTCTTCCCTCTGTCTCTTGATCATCTGGAGGTTCAGGAAGATCAGGCGCTTCCCTTCGCCGCCAGGCCCCAAAGGGTGGCCTCTCATCGGAAATGCGTTCGACTTTCCTACCTCCAACCCGTGGGAGGTCTACTGCAGCTGGGCAAAGCAATATAACAGTACGTCTCGACATCTATGGCTTGAGATGTACACCAGACTGACAATGAGTGGCCACAGGTGATATCCTATACGGAAGTGCCCTCGGAACTCACATCCTCGTCCTCAACAATCGAAGCGACGCTGAAGAGCTCTTGGAGAGAAGGTCGCATAACTATTCCGGCCGGCCATCCATCCCAATGGTCCACCTGTAAGTCTTGCGACATGTTCGGGAATAGAGGCCGCGCTTGACGTACTGTAACTTAGAATGGGTTGGGACTATAACATCGGTCTTATGGACTACGGGCCGCAGTGGCGCTTCCATAGGAAAATCTGTCAGCAAACCTTCCGTCAGGAAGCCGCCGTGTGTTATTACCCCACGCAGGCCCGGAAGGTTCATGAGATATTAGGGAATTTGCTTCTAGCGCCTGAGAAATTGAGGCTCACTGCAAGATGTACGCTCTTGACGCTTTATATCCAAGCATTTGAGCTCACCGGGAAGGCACTTTCAGGCTCTCGGTGGCCATCCCGATGGCGACCATGTACGGCTACGACGTCAAGTCGTTCGAGGACGAATTTATCGACGTCGCAGAGAAAGGACAACACCTAGGAAATAGGCTTCTCGTACCCGGCGCGACGCTCTTGAACATAATCCCCATTCTCTGCCGCCTTCCGCCGATCGCAGGCGCTGCGAGGCTGGCAGCCTACGTTAGACAGCTGACGGAGGATATGCAAAGGCTTCCCATGGAGTTCGCAAAAAATGCGATGGTGCGCACACACTTCCTGTTTTATTTCTATTTGACAATAACGCGCTTGTCGACCTCAAGGCTGCAGGAGATGCTAAACCGTCTTTAGTTACTTCCTTCCTCGAGAAGAAGGCTGCTGGACCCACACGAGAACTCGAGGAGGAAGAGCAGGCAATTTCGAAGATAGCGGCTACGGTATACAGCGGTGAGCACGTCGCCTGTTTTCACCCCAACCTGTGGGCCTTATTCAAACATTCCATCGCCACCTGCCAGCTGCAGCCGACACGGTGGGCCCCTCCGAGCTATGGCGTATTCGGATTCAGTCGATTGACGAACAATTTGCTTCATAAACCAGACGATCGCAGCCACCATGTCATTCTTTTTCGCGATGGTGACGCACCCCCATGTCCAGAGGAAGGCCCAGCAGGAATTGGACGCCACGGTTGGAACGGGCAGGCTGCCTGATTTCTCAGATCGCCAGTCCCTACCGTATCTTGAGGCGATTTATCGTGAGCTGCTCCGATGGCGCCCTCCTGGTCCTCTTGGAGTACCTCATTGCACGTCAGAAGATGACATTTACAACGGATATTTTATTCCGAAAGGTATAGTTCAAATCTCCTGCATTGCTCCCGAAAACTTCAACCCTTCACTTACTTGGCCTTGCTTAGGAACGACTGTCTTCAGTAACATACGGTGCGTAAGTTTATTTCAAAGGGTGACAGACTAATGCGATGTGCACCCATTTCCGAGTCGGCACCTTGTATTTACGGCACTTTTTTGACAGGGCAATGACGCACGACGAAGGGATGTATCCGGAGCCGTCAGAATTTCGTCCCGAGCGTCATTTCACTGCTGATGGAAAGCTGAATGGGGACGATCGCATCCTGGCGTATGGGTTTGGCAGAAGGTCTGTCCTCTCGATGTGATCCGGGTGCATGTTACCAATTAAACTGTTTTTCTTTGTAGAGTCTGTGTCGGCCGCCATGTTGCGAGCTCAACGGTGCGCATGTTTCACTATCTTCTCGTTTGTTGGCAGAATTCTCACAGGAGATCTGGTCAGTTGTGGCTGATGATGGCTTCCGTTCTCGCTACATTCGATATCATGAAAGCGAAGGACGATCTCGGGAACGAGGTCGAGGTGAATACAGAATACACCGATGGGCTAATTAGGTAGCTTCGGCATTCCAACGCGAGAGGATCTGCATTCTCACATCATCTCACAGCCAGAAGAAGCCTTTCAAATGCCTCTTTGTACCTCGATCTAACCAGGCCATCCATCTCATAGAGGAAACCATGAGGACCCACTAGTCCCGGCTAGATAACGATCCTGATTTTACGTCTTCATGACTGCTAGGTGTTTTTTGTCTTGTCTCTTGCTTTCTTCTGATTTGTGTTGTAATTGTACCTCCTTAATGTACAGTCCTTGATCGAATAAATACGTGTAAAATACAAGGGTAGGCGTGAATACATGTTCCGGAATTAAGGGCATTGGGTTAGGTGGACAAGTTGTGCAGGCGTTCAGCCAAGGATCGTCTCCAGGATTGGACCGGCGAAAGGCTGAACCGAGCCAGCACGGTGGCTCCAGAGTTCTTGCCCTTCATATCGAGCATCCTGACCAAAACCCATTCACCCAAGACGAGGTGGTCGAGGCGTGCACAGAAGACGACAATGCGGTCGTCTCTGCCGAACTCGTCCTCATAGATGAGGAATCTTGTCGGGGTCAGATCAAATTTCGGGAATGGAGAGAGGAAGGAAGCTGCATATATGCGCACCTCAGGAAAGCCATCTCGTCTGCCTTGTATTCGTACTCAAAGGTTGATTGCCACAGGACATCCGCGCCTACGTCTGGGGAATGTTGGACCTTAATACTCTTCGATTTCCGCTCGATGTCTCCGCTCGCATGGAAGACCTGGGAGCGAATGTACGTCGAGAATGTCTTCCCACTTCGGCCGTTGGGCGCGGGCACTACAACAAATCATCGTGAAACTCGATGGGAGCAAAGAAAATTCGAGACGAGATCCCTTACATGAGCTGACGCCAACGACCTCCACAACCAATTTTTCCTTATGTCCGTCCACTTTCTCTGCACCCTCCTCCACCGCTTCTTTCCTCATCCTCGCCGGCTTCGACACCCACCCCGGCGTGCCCACGAACATCGCCTCGTTCACCTGCATGCCTCTGTCATACACCTGCCAATTCAGGCTCGCCACCTGGCTCCCATTCCGCCAAAACACCAAAGGATCGAAATTGCTCGAGCCGATGCGGGTGCCTTTGGGGAAGATGCGTCGCAGGTGGCGGGTGCTGTGTGCGATGAGATCGAGCAGGGAGTGTGGGACTAAGGACAGGCAAGTGGATTCGGATATGTTGATGAGGACATTGGCAGGGGAGGTTATTTCTAGATGGGATAGTGGTTAGGGATACGGAGGATTATTAAGCCGGTTGGGGTATATTACGAACGTCGGAGGAGCCAGCCTTTGTGTGGCTTCATGCTGCGTGCGTAGTACCCGTACTCGGCGAGCCCTTCAGAGATTTTGGAGTGCTGGTGGTCGCGTTTCTTGCCTCCTCGTGGCAATGCACCGTTTTCCTCGCCCGCTTTCTGTTCCTCTTCCTCTTCCTCCTCTTCGTCAGACGAAGAAGAGCTTGAAGAAGACGAATCGTCCTCTCCCGTCCCAGCAGCCGCTGGTGGGTAGTACTCGACCTAAAGACCCGTGAAAAAATTCCTACCACACCCAACAGACGGAAGAACGCACCATAAGCACAATCCTGCCTCTTAACTGCGCCGGCGACGCGCCATCATCGCCCTCCTCCGTGCCCTCCAGCTTACCCTTGACCAGCTTATCGCCCCACGCCTCGAGCATCTGCCGTACCAGCTCCTCCTGGCCCTCAACATCGACGTGGCACTCGAGACTGACGAACACGGGCCAACATCCGGGAGTGGCGGCCTCGCCGATCGCCTGGCAGACAGACGAGAAGGAGACGCCCTTGCTGAAGGTGTATCCGTGGGTCACGATCAGGCCTTTTTGGGACGGCCAGACGTCGATTTCTAGTGGGCAAGGAGGAATGGGTGTTAGGGTCGGATGAGTTAGGGATGGGCTCACCGACACAGCGCCCGTTCCGACCAAGGACGTTGGTGTACGAGGCTGCGGAGGACTTTCCAATGATTTGTCGGCACAGAAGGTAAGTGTTATGCGATGATCTGAGTTGCTAGACGCGTCAATCGACCGTCTCTAGATCTACCGCCCACGTACGAGATGAAATAGTCTGTCAGAGGGAAACTATCGTCGACGAGCTTTGGCTGGATGGGCGGTCGTCGGACGACGTCATCTACAGACTGAGACGACCGACGTTAGCTGGATTGGACGGAGCATGGAAAAGTTTGGGGGCCGTACCTCTCCACTATCGAGGATAAACTGCTCGATCTCTGGGCTCAACCTGATATTGCCGTACTCTTCCTCTGGGGAAGGTGGATAGAGATTGTGGTGTGTATGGATCTCAAAGGCGTGCGATAGGTCTGGCTGGATGCTGTCGCTCTCAGACATTCTGGTTGGGTTGAATTAGGATGTGGTTTAGGAATGACCAGGTGGGCGGTCGATGACTCAGAGGGTGTATTGTGGAAACGGGAACGGATGTTGATGAGATCATCGATATCGTTCTTGGCCTGGTTGGTAGGCAGTCTCGGGGTGGCGGTGGTGATGAAGAGGTCGAAGACATTCTCGACACCCCGTGTAATACTTACGGGTCAAAAACTGATCAACACGTCCTTGAGTGAGGGCATATCAGGGGCTATTGATTACCTCCCGACACCCGGCTTGCTTGTTCTAGCGGTTCACTCAGAACTCAATAAATAAATGTCCATTGGCAATAAATAAGATACAACTAAGATCATCGAATAGCAGGTTGTATATGTGGGCGCTACAGGATAGGAATGGTACATGCCCAACGTTGGGTTTTCTTCATGGTGTTCTTCCGCCGGCAGACCTGAGGAGCAGAGACAAGTCGGGCACGCCACGCGGTTGCGAGGCAAAGCGGATCAGACGTCGGGGTGACCTCCATAATTGCCATTGCCGCCGAGGTGGGTCCAGGGTCTCGTTTATTTCCTTCCGCCGAGAGCCCCTTTTTTCTTTTTCTTGCTTCCGTCGGAGCTGGCTACACTGGACGATGAATGCTCGCGTGCGAGTGGGACAGGAGCGGTGGTGCCGTCGCCTTTGCGGATGCTTGAGGCGTTCAGGGCTTTCACGAATCCCCTGCAGGAGGTTGGAAAGACTAATAAGACCACATAAGAGTGGAGTTGCATCAATTGACGCACCGTTGTGTTGCATCAACATAGTCCTCCCTGTCAAACCTCCTCGATGTCTTGACGGCTACTCCGGAAGCTGAAACATCCAATCCCCGCGACTTTAATCTGTAAGAAAGTGACCGAGGTGAGGGGTAATGTTGGCGAACGATAAGGGGAAGGGCTGCGCACGATTCTTTCGTGGCGTTGACGCCTTGGTTCACAGATTTCACGACGAATAGAATGGCGTATACAATGGCTGTCAGCACGCTGATTGTCTATCGTGGGTTCAGTTCACGTCGTATGCAGTACAATTTAGTTACGCTTACAGCAAACAGAGCAAAAAGGTCGATCCTGTGCATCTCAGAGGTTAGCGCACTTCCCCCGCACATCCTGAGAGAATCGAACATACCAGGTGGCCATGACGAAGCAATCGGTGGAAGAAGACAAGACGAAAGTTATAGGGTAACGAGCGGCGAAATGAGAACGAATATGACGCGGTCTGTGGGCGTTCAACGCGGTTTGAAGGGCGGTTTCGGGGAAAGGAATGGCGTGAGTGTGGTGGAAGCTAAAAGCAGGACAGACCGCAGAGCACTGTTTGGATGCTGTGCGAAGTTTGGCCGTGGGAGGATGCTCGCCGGCCTCTCGGCATGGTGGCTATGTGTTCTTGGCGCCGTGAACTGCCTGATTTGTGGAGCAAATCTGCGATTGAGCGCTCGCGGCCTCAAGGCGAATATATGTAGAGCCCTCAGAAGGAAGACCTCATGCTGCGGAAGAAGCGTATTAATAAGGACCAAGAGAGGAAGGCGGGTAACGTTCATGTCCTGGAGCGAAGTTCGAACTAAGTACTTGAATTATGTCAAGGACTGTCATGTTGCATGACAAACAATTAAGTATGATAGCTGGAAGATTATTTCTTGCCTCTTGGGTTGCTCTTAGGCGGAGGAAATTCCGGCAAGGAACAAGCTAGGAGGGGAAAATATTGCGTTGCGCAAATTGGCAGCGCAATGAATATCTGCAAATGCTGCCTTAATTGGGCCTTAACGAACAGAAGAAGAAAGCCGAGATTTAAAACATCAGACGAAGGATCTTCTTGTGGTTGAACCGAAAGCTTTGAACTGAAAGGAATTGGAAAGGAAACAATTCGAGCGCGTCCTTGACGACCGCCCGATTTAGAAACCAATTTAGGTCATGCGTTTTCGTGAACGCGTCTTGTCACGGTTGTCACGCCTATTCTTTTGCCTTTCACCCCGTGCACAAGGACCTCAATATGGGACGCTCTACAGCAGCACGCGCGGGTCCATCTCAATCTCAGAGACCCTCTCAGTCGCAAAGGATGCGTTCAGGACGTAATCGAGTCGAAGAAGCGTCAGAAGAGGAGGAACCGCAAGAAGAGGAAGGAGGAGAGGCTATGGACGTGGATGAGGAGGATAATGCTGACAGTGTGAGTAGTGTCAACCTTCTCCTTGATTTTACCGGTGCTGACGCACTTTTCCCTCATCAGGAGGTTACTCACAAAGCCAACGACCTCGTTCGTCTCGCGCTTTTCATGGAGCACAAACGTGCTGTTTTGCGTCGTGACGATATCAACAAGAAAGGTATGCAGCCTTGATACAACTTTTTTTCTTTGAATTTTCTGACACTTTAAATCAGTGCTGGGTCCGAATGCACGCTCATTCAACCGCGTGTTCGAACTCGCGCAAAAAAAGCTACGAGAAGTGTTCGGGATGGAACTAGTTGAGCTTCCAACGCGTGCAGGCCTGGAGAAGGATGGCAACGAGGAAGGTGCTGACGAGCCTCGTCTGGAGACTGGTCTCAAAAAGAAAGGTTGGGCTGCCACTCCCTTGTTACGACGAAGCCTAATCACCACATCATCCAGCAAACGCGCTCGGTTCCAAGAGCTACATCATCCGGTCCTGCCTGGATCCTGCTCTCATTGAGCTTGCTGCTCAGACGGACGAAGATGTCCTGGCAGAAGAGGCAGGCGACCAGGGCACGCTCTACCCCTCCGCTCTGTCAGACGACGAAGGCGATGGTGGTGACGACGAAGATGGACCACCAAAATTCTATGGCAGCTTGATAGCCTGGAGCAGGGCCGACCAATTGGGCTCTACTGGGATATTATACGTGATTTTGGCTTTGTTGCTCGCGAATGGGAGGGTTATGAGCGATAGTGAGTCTCTTTTTCGAAGACAGCGCTTCAACATTAACCACTACTCGACAGTGGACCTCCGGCGCCACCTGAAGACTCTCCACCTCTCCAGCAACCCAGCCTCCCATCCTGTCAAGTTCAACGCGTCCGCAACCGTCCGTGCACTCACCCTCGATACCTACCTCTCCACCCTCCTTCGGCAAGGCTACCTCGACAGACAACAAATCGGCGGCGAGGCCGCGAAGAAAGGGAAGAAATCCGGCGCGGGGTCGAAGCGCCTGCGCACACAAGCCGAAGATCTTGAGGAAGGACGGATGTACGAATGGCGTTGGGGCGCGAGGGCGTTCTGCGAGGTGGGTGAAGAAGCTGTGGCTAAATTCATTGCGCAATTTATGGTAGAGAGTGAGGGCGACGGTGAGGAGGAAGGCAGGGATGCCAGGAGGCAGGAGGAGTTGATGAAGAAGATGTATAAGGGCATCGAGAAGGCCGCTGGAGGGAAGTTGACAGAGTTGAAGTGAAGGAGCTGGACATTCTTGCGTGAAATGTGTTTAAATCCTATCTGGAATAATTCTAGTTTATTGCTGGCCTATATTAATATTGGATGACTGTCCGTAAGGTATTTATTCCACAGTAGAATATTTCATAACAAAGTCGGACCTCAAATTCAAAGATAATCTTATAATCTATTCATCTGATTAAACCGCAAGCCTCGTGATTAAAGATAATTGTCATTCCCTGGGCCTCCACCCATCTCTAGCCAGCCATGAATGAAGATGCACTCATATTCCAACAATTCACAGAGCAACTTGAAGAGGAGGCAGATGAAGAGTACTGGGAGATGGGTGCTGCTTCACTCGGCGTCATAGTGGGAGGTGCCGAGATCTCACGTCAGTTACGGAATGAACGACGTCGCGAAACCTGCCAATATCTTACCCGCCCTGAACTCCTGGAGAACCCCCGGATTGCGACACCATGGACCTCCCTTTACGACAGCAGGAGTGACCGTGCATATATCACAACCATGGGGTTCGATGTTGCCACCTTCGATTTCATTCTCGAGTCGGGTTTTGTACAGACCTGGCTCACTCCCCCGAACTGATACCTCTCGTTCAGGAGATCCACGACCAGGCGGCCAATCTTTGGATCCCCCAGGGGCCCTTGGCCTTGTCCTCCATTATCTCAGCTCCACGATGCTCGATGTCAGCTTGCAGCAAATCTTTGCTCTCATCCCTGCCACAGTTGTCCGGTATCTTGACTTCTCACTTGACATACTTCTCGAGGTCTTGCGAAGAATGCCAGATGCCCGTATCAAGTGGCCAAAGGGTGGCCCAGGTGGTGGGCAATTCCAAGAATACAATGATCTTATCATTGTTCGACATCCTTGACTGATTGGGGCCTTCGCTGCCATCGACGGATTGAATCTTCCTGTCCAAACATCGGAGGATGAAGATATTGAGAATGCTACCTACAACGGGTGGCTCTCAGAGCATTTTGTCAGCTCAGTACTTGTGTTCTCACCGAAAGGCAAGAACATCAATGCTATTGTAACTTCATTCACTGATAATATCTTAGGTGAAATCATTGATGCTGTTGTAAATGCACCAGGCAGTTGGCACGATGCTAATGTTGCTCGTCCTATTTTTGAACGGCTTCGCACACGAACACCACCTGGATACTACCTCATTGCTGACACAGCATTTCCTCGTGGAACACAATCCATTGCAGGACGCATTCGCGCCCCGCTCAAGGCTGGCCAGGCTGTGCGAGGTACGCCAGACGAGATTGCGGAGCGAATGGCCTATGACCATGAGCTTCTCTCATATCGGCAAACAGCCGAGTGGGGAAATCGAGGTCTTCAAGGAGCATTTGGTCGTCTCCGTGTTCCACTTCCCATTGACAATGCAGAACGTCGAGGAAATCTCCTTGAGATCTGCAATCGCCTCAATAATCTGCGCACAAGACGAGTGGGAATCAATCAGATCCGGACTGTATACATGCGATACTGGCAGGACACAGCTGAGGACATTGATATCTGGCAGAACTTTGAGAATATGCTCTTCTCAGATCAACGAAAGAACGATAGAGTTGCTCGCTTCCATACTTACGCAGAATACATGTAAACAGGTTTGTATTACAAGCAGGTGTATGGTAATTGTAACGGAACACAACAAGTAACAGAACATAAGTGTAGACAGAAGTAGATGTTGCACTACTCTACTCGTCCTTGGGCCCATCAGCATCCTTGACGTATATATCATCATTGTCACCCTCCTCACCATCTTGGTCCTTGCCAGCTGTGGCAGTGGCAGCATTGGGCTGGGAAGTAGTCAAAGCTTGCAACTCTATGCCAAAGTGATGGCCTGACGACGACGACGACGAAGGCTGGTCTCTATAGTCAATGTCACAGCGGTGACGGAAGAAATTGGGGTCCTCGTTCTCCTTATCACTCTCACCCGAGGTAGAGGAGGGATCCGTGACCCAGTACGTGTGTATATC